CAGAAAAGTTGAACAATAGAAAGTTGGATGGAGAATAAGAATCTTCTTACGGAAATCTTGGCAAATGCCCGAATAGCGCTAAGGATTTCGTAGAAAGTGGTTTACAAAAGAGAACATTTCTTGCCAAGTAAGATTTCGCCGGATAAGACAGGTATCCACTCCACTGGCATGAATAACTTTGTCTCCTTCTTCTTATAAACCGAACAAGGCGAAGCGCCGATTTCTGGATGATTTATCATCTTTCTGATTTCTGCGAGTACGGACAAATAAATGACTCTTCTCTGTTTTCATGTCTTCAAGAGTTGAGTTATGAGCGAACAATGCGTGTGCCATATACCATTCCAACTATCGACATCGATCCGAATGCCAGATTATTTCTACTTGATTCCAGATCCAATCTCGTGATGAGCTTGGCTGATGCGATTGCAATAAGAAGAGAAAAAATATTGGAACAAAGAATTACACTCTGACTTTGCGAAGAAGATTGTTGATGCATCACTCATGCCAAGTTATGAGACATGATCTATAAAAATACCTAACATTTGTTAGGCACAGAAAGATACAGATTTATGAGCTGCACCTAAAAAGGAGTGCTTAGGTGAGGCAAAGAAATGTTGCAATTACAAGCATACAATTCCAAGGGTGGGCAAAATACTTTTGTCAAAACATAGTATTTTGAGCTTTGTTCTTCTCCGGGTTTAGATTTCCAGGGTTGTTACACCCATGAGAAGACGATAATCTGCATCTAGTATTCAGCGATTTAAAAAGAAATAAAGTATTTTGACAGTGATTACAAGTAAATTTCTTCACGAAACCGAAACGTGTATTTTCGTTCTTCTCCACGTAGATTCTCGTCTTTTTTTTGGTGTAACAGCCCTGGAAATCCAAACCCTGGGAAGAACATAGCTTAAAATACTAAATTTTAACAAAGTATTTTACCCACCCCTGTAATTCTTCCCCTCTTTACAATATCGTGTAATCGGTTTTGACCAGGGCGCATAAACTTTTTGTTGTCCGTGGTTTCTCTTAAGGGGGTGATGCAGGGATGAGCATTTTTTCAAAAAAAAATTAAAAATTAAACGTTAGGGAATTGCATGCAATTTTCCCATGAATTTGGTTGCCAACCAAATTTTACAAATGATAATATTCTGCACCACGGGCTTCACCCGACCCATATGGTCCCCACTGGTCATATGCTTGACGGATCTTATCAATCGTCGAACTTTATTCCTCATCTTCAGAGATGAAGACCAAGATAAGATTTATTTATTTCATTTTTAATATGTGGTTGACAACCAAATTCATGGGAAAATTGCATGCAATTCCCGAACTTTTAATTTTTAATTTTTTTTGAAAAAATGCTCATCCCTGCATCACCCCCTTAAGAGAAACCACGGACAACAAAAAGTTTATGCGCCCTGGTTTTGACTTATTTTGAAGTCAACCAAGCACTCATTTTGCTGTCGTCTTGTTCCCGGAAGGAATTAATAACACTTCAAATAATATTTGACAAGGTAGAAAAGCCGTCATTAGCAAAGTTTAAGCGATTCAGACTACAGAGAAATCGGTAAAGTAGTTTATTATACAGAAAACAAGGGCAGGAAACAATAAGATGGATTAGTCCGTGAAACAATGCCACACGATTTGATATACTTACAAGACTATAGCTGAATGAAACTTCAAAATAATTAATGGCCGTACATAAATATTTCAAGAAATTATTGAGCAAACCCTGCGACGACGCCGGCTGAGCGAAAGAAATACATATTTCACTCCGCAACCTACCCGAACACACAATTTTTGATCATGAGTAATAAACAGGATTTGAAGAACAAGTAATGTTGAATAATAGCTGTCCCAGTGTGAGTCTAAGTGCAGGAGGAAATGGTGCCGAGGAAAGAAATTTATGTCTTTCTTGTGTAAACGAGAAAGCTCTCCTTGCTGGAAAAAGGTCTTCTTCTTCTTCTTCCTCCCTTAAAAGGAAAGGCTGCCCTCAAAGCAGGCAGGAACGACTATATTGCCTCTCAAGCAACAGCAGTCGAGTGAGATCGCGTGGAAGAAAAGGAAGTAAATTGGGACTGATCTCTTCAAGCTTATTTAATTTACACGGACAGAATTCGCCAGCTACAACGAGTGGAAGACTGTTGCAGGAAGTTAGTAAACTCTGAAATGCATGTTTTCCCTTCTCTCCATCTTGCAATATTTTATTGCACGAGGAGCAGAACCCGAGAGCAAATAGTATTATTGCCATGAATGTGAATGTTTACTTTGCAATGCTCTAACAAGTTTTAACCATTCCCATAATTTGGGCAATATTTTATACCACTTTGCTCCATTTATTAGCCAGAGTGCAACTACTGCAGCTGCAGCAAAGATCGGGTAACTAAATAAATTACTGGGACGAACGGACGAAAACTCAACAATGCAAGAAAGAATGCAATTCTTGTTGTTTTTCTGGTGCAAAACGACGACGACGAGAAGTCGGCCAGGGTAGAAAATATGGCAAAAAGTAGATGGGAGAAAGTAGTGCTTTCTCTTTTTTATCCAGGGAGGGACACGCTTTTACCACGAAAACCGTGCTGGTGGTAAAAATGGAAATGCCAAATCTGAGACGTATTTCTAAGAAGAGAAAGTGCAGTCGTCGTAACAGTGTGAAAGTCGGAGTGAGAAGGAAGGCACTAAGTTCCCATTATAATTTTGAGACCGAGAATGAGACTGATAAATGGCTTTTTCTCTCTCGTACTTCAAATGGTCATGAAATTGGATCTTCCCTTCATGTCAAGTCCTGAGACTTGTTAGTTTAGTAGTAGAAAGAAGTGAGGGACCAGTAGTTTTCTCCTGTTGATGGGTGGACTGTAGAGCATTATTCCTTAATATTACTACCAGTAGTACAACCCTAATACTACCTGGTTCGTGTTTATCCTGTCAAATCGAAAGTTTAGCTACTACAAAAGTAAACTTTTTTTATGATTTTGCAATGTCAAATAATTTGACAAATGTGTGTACATTCGATGTCTTCTTTAACGAGGTACATACGACGGACGTACGTGTATTACACGTCCGTTCCATAACTTGCTCTCTCTCCCACGTAATTTATAGTGGGGCCAATTTGAAAAGAATTTTTGAGACGTATTTATCTACAAAAGTAGCAATCCTTCCAGAGAGACGACCCAATTCTAATATTTGTTGGAGGAATCTCTTCTTCTTCTTCTCTTATGATTCGGTGGAGGAATGTGATGGAGACCGGATTGGCTTAAAGATGATGATGGAATTTCTTGTCAGTGGAATTTACAGAAAGATGATGGATTGCATTTTGATGTAGGACAGAAACCCTCCAGAAAAAACAGAGAGGCGAGGTATTCGGCTTCTTCTTTTCTGATTTGAGATAAGTAATTTTGAGGTAATAACAAAGAATTCAGGCCGGATGGCAGAAAACAGCTATTTATTTATACGTATTTCGTACCTACGTATGGGATTTTTTTCTCTCTCTCCAACTTTTATAATTTGGTCTGTGGCTATTTCTGCCGAGCCCAAGAAGTTGAGTGAGTGGATGTGTGTTGCACTCGAAAGTGGATGAGAATTAGGAATTGCAGGCGAGTAAGTAATGCGATTTTTAATTACTGTTAGAGACTGGTAAAAGAGGTTTCGTAGGTGTTTCTACGAAACGGAAACGCGGTAGCGAGTGGTGAAAATTGAAGAGTACACAACCTTCTCTGCCCTGCACTTAAATCGAAAGGAACAAGATTGAAAGTAAATATTAGATGGGCCAAGGAAAGATAAGTTAACGTACGTGGTGTGGAACTGGCATGAAAAGTTCTGCTACGAAAACAACCTAAAAATACTCTCTTATCTGTTATCTCGTCGAGTGTGAGTATTTGTCTTGGCCCGCAAAAAGTTGTAAAGAACAAATCATTTAGGGAATTTGATGCTCAAATCAACGAATTTAATCACACTTGCTACGCATTTGAGTTGAAAGTTTGAGATGGGTGGGTGTCTCAAAATTAAGCATCAGCATAAATAAATCGAGGCTTTAGCAGTGGCAATTACTCTTCTCCACAAGTATACGACTTGTGGTTGGTTATCTTCATAGAGTCGTATACGCTCTACGTGGGAGTGCAATTAGTATGGATGACTTTCACTGGAAATATGTAGCTCGGCCTACATAATAAACCTCCCCGTTTTCTTACTTACATTAATTAATTACGTAATTAGATGCAAACAAATTAAAAATGAGATGAATCTGCAGCCTGAAACCACCAGAACAGGCATGCATACTCAATCAAGATGATGATTTGGCACTACTTTCTGTTAACTGGTTCAGCATTCCTCTGCACGAAATAAAGTACGTTGTGTCCCGCGGTCTAATTAGAAATTTATTATTCACTCAACTCTTATGTCTTTTCCAGTCCAGCAGAAGGAGCAGCGAGCTAAAAGTAACTTTATTTATGCTCTTGGAGTGGACTTTGTAGTACAAATTTGGGTCTTAGCACAGACATTATTCCACACATTGCATGAAGAATAAGAAGAACCAAGTCCAACTGGAAAAGCTAAATTAATGGCGTAATTTATTTCCACGGATTTTAATCCGTGCCTACTACACCACGATGCGGGATGGAAGTATTATCCATCATAATTAAATCTGCATCTCATGACACACTCCAGTTTATTGTTATGTGTATGTGCATCTTGTTGTGTTGTGATCACCATAACTTTATTAGAAGCTTACTTACTTACTTTAGCCAGCTTTATACGGCGTCACATGAGATGTAGTTAAAACCCTTTGACTTCTGCAACTGACAGCTGGGCTCAGTGTCACTCGGTCCTCCGACTGACTTATTTGCAGGTCTTTACGACATGGTTTTGTCCGTAATGCTTACCTACCTATCAGCCTGTAGGTGATATTCTTAGGTATTCTTCATCCAGGTCGCTGGACTGAAATTGACAAGTATTGATACGTACAAACATTTTATTTTTAAAAATATTTCATTTTTCAATTTCAGAACAGTCAGCGATGAGCTGAGCTGAGAAACCACTCGAGAAATACTTGCTGCTTGTGAAATTACTTCTTCTCAGGAAAATGAATGAATCTCACGTCCTCCTTCCGGTGGATTACCACGTCCACTCCCACATCCAAGAAATGATGGCCAACTGTTCCCTGTCGGACCCCAACTCGACTTATTTTCATGAAAACTGCGAACCCACGGGGTCCGGTCAACCATGGTGGATTCACATGATTGTACAAATTCTTTACGGGATTGTGTGCTGCGTGGGCTTGTGTGGCAACAGTTTGGTCATCTATGTCGTCGTCAGGTTCTCCAAGATGCAGACAGTGACGAATCTCTACATCGTTAATTTGGGTGAATAACGAAATTCTAATATTTGCATATGTGACAAATATTTGTGTTTAATGAAATCATTAATTTGCACTTAATTGGTTTCAGCTATCGCAGACGAGGTGAGTACTCACGGCGTAGTAAATATTTCATTAGTGAAATATTTGTTGCGCCATTATTATTACTTGTCTAACGTTACAATGGAATTTATCTATTGTGAATTTGCTTTGATGTTTAATTGGGAGAATTTAATCAAAGAGTTTCGTGGCATGGTATCACGTGGGCGAACAAAACATTTAATGAACACTTGTTAGCTGTATGTTTATTATGGCTTTCTCTCCCATTTGTAGTCGATTTAAAGTTTGTTGTGCCCCAAACTAAATACAAATGGGGATAGATAAATAATGCCACTTTAATTAATAATGTGTCTACCGTTCCGAACTAAATTGAATTTTCCATGTATCCAGTGTTTCCTCGTCGGCATCCCTTTCCTGATGACGACAATTGGCTTAGGGTAAAATTCCGCATGAATAAAGAAACTTGATAACAAAATTTCATCCCGTAAATGTTTCAAACAGGTACTGGCCCTTTGGCAATATTGTATGCAAAGCGTACTTCACCTCGACTTCCATCAACCAAATAACCAGTTCCATGTTTCTCCTGATTATGTCTGCGGATCGGTAAGACTTTTATTTTATAGCTTGTATCGTTCCCAAGTATTGTCTACCTGTCGCGAATAAATAAATCTGCCCTCAAATCTTTCTCCTCTCAATCTCCCCACTTTCACTGAGAGCTGAAAAGAGAAAAGTCGGGGACAATAAATATTAAGATTATTCCCGTTCACGTCAAAAACAACAATGCACACTTCGCATCAAGATACATACGTGGGGAATGGAATGGCTTTGATTTTTTTATGGCTAGACCGTTACAAAAATAGCTTTGAGGTGTGATTCATTCCGCGAGTCAAGATATGTTCGTAGGTAAGAAGACAGGGGGCCATGTATGTAACTTATAAAAGTATGTGGATCAAGCTGCTCAACTTTCTTTCTTTCTTTCACCGTAAGCGAGCAGTAAAACCATTCATGTCTCAAATCTGACTCTTTATACTTTCTCCAGCTTGACTTTCACTCTTTTGCAAGGAGCGCTCTTACATTCAATCAAATAACAAAAGTGCCAAGAGCAACATTTATTTAACATGAGAAAGGAGAGAGACTAAGAATGAGCAGCGTTTCTTTTCTGTCTGGTGGAAGGGATGAAGGGACGGGTTAGATTCTGAAAAAGTCGGCAGTGTGAGGTAGACAAAGGGGGAAGAGCAGTGTGTGTGGTTGGTTTTATGAAAAATATGGCAGCACATCATATTCCATTACACTGCATCTTTACTCGTACACAAGATGGGCAACTGTAGACCCAGCAGATTCTGCCGCAATAAGTTAAGAGTAGCACTTGGCACATTGTTATCTGCGTTAAATTGTCTTTTATTAAACGAGTTTTCTTCTTGAAGAGAGAGAGAGGGGGATGAGATGTGAGCCAAATATGTATGACTGCTTTGGCTGCCAGTATGCTACGAACGAGTGGAGTACTTACTTGCTGCTTGAACATTTCTCTGGATAAATGCAATAACACGTAACATAAATTTTGCAAACATGGAAAGTTTATGTCAAGTTGAATGATTTGATTTTCCATGTACTTACTTTTCATACATAGATATGCAAAGATTGGAGAGCTTTTATCAAAAACGAGAATTTCTTGTGCAAAAAAAACTAATCTTTTTGGAATGTACAGTATTTCATGGGAATATTTAATTTAAAAATAAGTTCAGTTTAAATAAATTAGTTCTACGTATATTTTTGGAGCTTCTAACCGAATAAAAATTGATTTGAACGAAATAATTCAATACTTCAAATGCATAACAGCAGAAATAACAATGAGCAAGTTTGACAGCTTTTTTTATAGGTATTAAACTACTCAAAAATGCACTTTACTTCTGAACAAGGCCCGAACTAATTGAATTTTAAGAAATGGAAATCAATTTGTGTCCAGATTCTTTTTTTTCGTCTAGGAAATTTTTGAGTGGTTTCATGTCACGGGCAGAATTGAGTGAAATACTTTAATCACAAGTTTCCCTTGAGAGAAAATAATTTATTCATAATTGTGTCCTTATTATACTCGTCTGGCTACCTCGTGATTGGAGAAAGTTTTCATAGGAAAAATCTCAAGTTTTTTAATTTATTTCTATTTCAGATATTTGGCAGTTTGTCATCCAATCAGTGCTCCAAAATGGTAAAATTTCAATCAAAATATCAATTCCGAGCTACGTAATTTTAAAAGCAAAATTGAAACCATTATTATTCCTTATTATTCAGGAGGACACCGCTGATCGCCAAATTTACAGCTTTGACTGCTTGGACTCTCTCAGCCCTGATCATGGTTCCCATCTACATGTACGCAAACACTCTGGAAATTGACAACAAGATGAGTAAATTTTAATATCACCAACATTTTTGATCTCCAAATGCATACATTAAAGTGAAATAATTGTTTTGAAGTTATGCATCATGTGAGTCTACATGTGCCCAAAAAGTAAATTAAATGCGGGAGGGGAGGTACAAACCAAAAGTGAAAGCGGTATTAAAAGTTTCGGAGGTGAAAGGATATTTTCGCCCCGTAATAACGGCAACAAAGCTACAATTACAAAGTTTGGCATGCCAAATGCCGAATGATGAGAGCACCTAGATTAAAATAAAATTTGACCAAGCGTGATTTCAAAGGTAGCCGAGCGGTTATGTAAATAACTCAATCTCATTAGAGGACGAACTTTGACTGCTGGATGCAAATGGCATGTGCTGGTCGGATGGGTTGGTTGCCTAGTTGGTGACAAAGTTCAGAGAAATTTATATTGTTTTGTCCTCTGTGTTCTCTCGATTAGAAAATAATTGGGCGAGGTTAACTCGTGGCGTGTTGTTATTTCTCCTCATCTCAAAATCAGTAATTTAGGTGAGTGGGATGATTTTTGAGAGAAAGCAAACACACATCAATCCCTTCTCGCAGGATCGGACATGGTTTTATGTCCGCCTCGTCCTAAATTTTATGATTGGCCACATAACATTCATGTCAAAATGATGCGTGGCGTTGGTCTAGGCTTTGTTAAAATTCTGGAAAACGGTGGTGCATGGTTTGAGGCATGAGTTCGTTGCGGAAGGGACGACACACAAGGAAATGAAACGACAAGAAGATAAACGCGGATTGTCGGAATGCACGACAATTTACCGGATGTAAGTGCGGTGGTGGGGATATTCTCTCGCATCTTTACCCACGTAAAAGTTTTATGGCTGGAATTGCAATAAAGTGACATGGACATGCCATCCATGATGGTTAACTGCGACATACAGGAGACTTATACATATGTGGAGATGTAGGTAGGGTTGCCGCGGGTAGCGAAATTGCTACCCGTTACCCGACCCGCTACCCGCAGCACAACTACCCGTACCCGCACGGGTACCCGTTACCCGTTGCCCGTTGTGAAAAATAAGCTAAAAGCTAACCAGCCTTCAGAATAAATTTGGTTTAGTCAATTATTTGTTCATTTGGGTTGATCAGGAGATTGAGACAATACTAAGCAAGTAACGCATCATGCGTTACTTCCAAGATTCATTGTAAATTATAATAAGTCTTTATTGTCAAAAGGTAACAACGTGATAACATGCTGATTTCCAACCATTGACATTTAACTAAATACTTAATTAGTAGTATATTTAATTTCAAGCTTAAGATTAACATCTCCTTTTTAAAATATAAGCCGTCAACTTGAATTTGAAGACATCAAGATTTTTTTCATCTTTAATTTCATTTGGTAGTTCATTCCAAAATTTTATTAACCTATGTTTAACACTTTTTTCAAAGAGCACAGTTTTGTGTGGTGGAATAACAAAACAATTTGTGGACCTTGTTTCATGAACCGATCCATGAATAGTAACAAAATTTTGAAGTAATTTAGGAATATATATTTTATAATCATTTGTAAAACTTTTAGCAAAAAGGGAAAGATAGTTTGGGGAAAAGTAGTTAGTAGGAAGTAGTAGTTAGTAGTAGTTAGTAGGAAAAGTAGTTTGGGTACTTGGGTAGTTTAGGTAAATTATGGCATGCGTTACGCATGCCATAATTTGAAATGTCGAGGTCATTGGTTATTGAAACTAAACTTTTAAGCTTACAATGGAAACTTTTCGAGGTATACCGGAATTTCTTAGCGAGTTATATCAAAATTGAATGACCCCTTTGAAGAAAACTATTGGGGGGCAGAATTCAAAGTCCATCATGGTTTTCGTTCAGTGGAGAAAAAATGTGGAGAATATTTACTTTGCTTGCCTAAAATTCAACCTGGCTGCCAATATTTTTGGTGGCTATAATATAAGTGGCTAGTCAAAGGAAAGACTAATAAGTATCACGTAATCCCTAATTTTTGGCTTGACTATGATATAGCTCGCTAGAGAATTTTGGTATGTAGCTTGAACAAATATTCATCATTAGTTTGATGCTTGAAATTTTGATTATAATGAAGTTTTCATTTAAAAAAATCGCCTACCAATTAAATTTTGCCTTTAATCGAATTGAGGTTTTTCACCCGCACAAATCAAATTAAACTGTCGTCCCTCTCAAATACATAAATACAAACAAATTGTGGGCGTTGGTCTTCCGGTGGGCGCTTGGTAGGTCAGAGGTGAGTGCAGTCGGGACGGACTGGGATGAATGTTCCGGAAGTTCACCACACAGTTTGGAGGCGTAAGGCCGTATGTGCGATCGGCAGCCCCACTTATGATGTGAGATACACGAAAGTTGATGTTTTATCGGAATTTCGCACTCGAAATAAGTCACCGAAATGTAATACGCGTCCGCCCGAGAGTTATAGTTTTTTACAGAGCAACTGGTTATCAATTTATTTTACGTAGCCGGAGGATTTTACATTTATGTAACAAGAAAACCAAAATATATTTAGAGGTTGTGGAAACTGTAGAATTATGGGGGACTTTAGGATGGCAGTGGTGGAGAGAGGAGATACGTCTTGGTAGACACCGGAACTCCGTCTGCCAGGATTCTTGGACAGAAGACAGTATATGTCCTTGTTGAAGGAGACGATGTCCTTCAGTCGATGTATGGATAATTTGGAGTGACTGGCCGGTCGAGATATCAATGTATGAATATGGAGACGAGGAAGAGATAGGAGGGGAGGATGCATATGATATGCATAGTTCCCTCAAAATACAAGTCAAATTAGTTCTGGTATCGTGGAGCAGGCACCTTATATATGCTTGAGGAATAATAATTGCTCCGCATTTTTTGGATGTAAAAAATATTTGAGGCTGCCGTAGACTGCTGTGGCTTCCGAAAAGACACGCTCACTACAAAGACTTGTTGCTGGCAAATGGCAAATTTTGAAGTTAATAAATAATAAAATCGTATTTTTGTTAATGTAAGGCCTAACGTTTGTCAACTTTGTTTGTCAGCCAATTTATGCCCAAAATTTAAAAACTTAGCTACCCGTACCCGTGCGGGTAGTTGTAGCTACCCGCAGATAACGGGTACCCGCTAAAATCTTGCGGGTATGCGGGTAACGGGTACCCGACCCGTTACCCGCGGCAACCCTAGATGTAGGTACGTACGACCATGTAGTGGTTGGGTAGGCAGGAGATATGTGTAATAATAAGAGATGGACGAATCGAATCATCAGTTGGTCAGGAATATTATTGCATTCTTGTCATCCGCAAAGCACCCCACAAAATTTCCAATATCGCTGGCTCGCTCGGTTGGGAGTCACATTTCATGACATGACATGTACTGGGGCGTTAATATGATGTTTTTCTGTTTTTTTTCGAACTGCAAATCAACTGCAACATATTTTGGCCCAGTTCGGAAACGTGGACGGGAGAATCGATCTTTATCGTGTATTCATTCATCATCAGTTTCGCTGTAAGTGGATTTTTTAGTATTTGTATTGGTCTTAATTTGTGGGGTTTCATTGAAACTATGAAAAAACACAGGTTCCCCTCACCCTTATCATGATCTTCTATGTCTTCGTAATCTTGAAACTGAAAACTGTGGGTCCAAAACGGCGTCCACCTCCGACGCCGTCGAACCAGAATTTGCCATCCTCCGCCGCCACACCCACAATTGCTCTCTCTGCTGATCGGAAACATTCCGCTGACCCGGTCCCACCACCGGCTCCGTTGGTCAACCACCTGACCCCGCAACAAGCTTCGAGGGCCAGAGACAGGAAAAGATCACATCGCAAAGTTACCAAATTGGTCCTCACCGTCATCACAGGTCAGTCCACATGATACACTCATTTGAATTTGCATAACTATAAGTATTTTTCTTTATGTTTGATAAATTATGGTTTCCACAGTCTACTTTGTTTGCTGGGCTCCGTACTGGGCCACTCAGGTGAGTCACTTTCACCACTTTCACTTTACTAAATAATGTGAAAATGGAATGTTTCACTGGTCACCTTACATAATTTCAATTGCATAACTACCTTTTTCAGAGCTGGGTGATTATTGGTTTTTGAGGGTGGATTAAGGATTATGGATTAACCACAAAACAATGTGGATTGTGATTAAATTATTTCCGTGAGATTAATTCATGTCAGGATTAATCTGGATTAATCCATAAATTCTGAAAATTTCGGGATTATGGATTATGGATTAATAATCCGGATTAATCTGGTGATTAATGATTTTTACACCATATCTAGCGCAAAGAATTTCAACTACGTGGTTTCACATAAAAATGACGCCAGTTTCAATTGATATATGTATGTAGCACAATGCAGCGAGAACATGTTGATTCTTCAAATGGTAGCTGACAGAACAACATTGTGAGAACTTGAGACTTCAAGCTACACTGTGGGATGAATGGAACTATGGGAATTGAACTGAGTAATCCAGATTGAGAATTAATCATGAATACGTAATCATGATTAGTAATCATGATTTGGATTAATCTGGATTAATAATCATGATTAGTAATCATGATTGGGATTAATCAGGATTAGTAATCCGTAATCACGATTATGGATTAATGAAATCAAGTGGGATTATTCCCGGATTAATTCTAATTCCAGAAAAATCGGGATTATGGATTGGGATTAATCTACAAAAAACTCACATTGCCGGATTAGGGATTATGGATTAATAATCCATAATCCGGGATTAAAATCCATAATCCTTAATCAGGATTATCCCAGCTCTGACCTTTTTGTACAACGGTCATTTTGCATAATTACTTACGAAATAATTATGCAGTACGTATTTACATGAAAAGGCTTCTTATGTAAAATGGTTTTTATGCAATATGGCCGCTCTGCATAGGTACATTATCCAAAGTGACCTATGACCGTCTAACTATTTGCTCATGAATTTGATCGTGTTTACAGTTAACCCTGATTTTCATGCCACACGACTCAAATCATTCCGAGACCATGTTGACGCTATTTCTTCTCGCTGGTTGCTTCTCATACTCGAATTCGTAAGCATCCACATCACGTCTTTTCCTATGCATTTGTCATACAACACTTGAAAATAATAATTACTTTCTCTCATTATTTCCAGCACAATGAATCCAATTCTGTACGCGTTCCTGTCGGACAACTTCAAGAAAAGTTTTCTCAAGGCATGCACCTGCGCCAAGGGACAGGTGTGTTTTTAACCTCTCAGTATCCTACTTATTCTAATTTATTGGAAACAATCAGCCCAGTGGGATTAGCATTATTATTCCTTAGTTGCTCTAAACTGCTTTGTTTGTCGCGTTGATTTCCTGTGGGTTGTTTGTTTACTGGTTTTGCTGGTGTATTGTTGGTTAACTTCCCTAAAACTACTTACTACTCTTACTGTACTACTTACAACTACTTGGTTGATACCTGTGTTAAGTTAGGATAAGTGAAAAACTGACAGCTCCTACACCTCCACCACCACTTCGATAACAAAATTAACCCTGCCTAATGAGACGTCTGTCTACACAACCGGGAGGTGAAAACCGATAAAATGATCGCGTCTACAATCTCGAATATTTGAAGGAACCCAGACAGACGAACGGTGGAGGTACTGAAATTCGTGGGCTTGTGTTGCTGCCGAAATTAAATACATTAGCAGATAATCATTCATTCGCAGCTTGGTTATTTTTGCTTCCAGTATTTGCCAAGTTCTCCGCTGTCTCTCTGTTAAGTTGCTTATCAGTCGTCGTATTTAGACGTAAATAAACACACAATAAAACGTCCGCAGAGACTGGCGGACTTTCTCTCTATTTGTTCAGCCTAACGGGGCAAAGCACAATTATTTTTAGGACCATCAATAAATAGTGTCCCACTCAATGCGCACTTGTCTTGTACAGCAAATCAATACGACTTTCTAGTAAATATCTGCAACTTACATAAAAAAAACTCTGCTTGTGAGGAGATTGCTATCTAAATACATAATAGTCACTCAAGAATAAGGGACCATTTACAGATACATACATACGAAACCGTTGACATTTTTTTTCACACCACAAAAGTTCATTCCATTTTTATGAAAAAAGCCAGACATACATTTACCGAAAAGTGGCCACTTATGTCAAACGGCAACCTTGGCCTTTGATGGACAAATGCTTTTAAGCAAGTGAGAAAGAACTCGGTGGTTATGTGCACGCCTCCTCCTCCTCGAATGGCATGGAATGATGAGTACAATAACTTTTGAGCGAGATTTGCATGATATGACCCAAAGATATTTTTATCGTTTGGCCATAACCTTGTCCTCTCTAGCGTGCATGATGTCTTGATAACGTGTACACAGAATCCCACGCTATAGGCAGCATTATGCATGATGAGATCACTGCCACTTAAACTTGTGCCTGCTTTCTCCCCCCAAAAAGTGGTGACATGCCAGTGAGATGCACAACCTTGGTCATGACTATTGTGTAAGAGTCGTCAAATCAAGTGCTTTTTTCAGCTTTTTAGTCAATTGAGTTCTGGCTATTCTGTTGGCAACGTAAAGTCCCCTGAGAAAAGAGGGAGAACAAAAACTCGTTGATGGTTGATGGTCGGTCGTAGTGACATTAGTTTCTTGTTGTTTTTTGTTCCTTTCTTTCGGCTGCTTACGCTCTTCTCTACTCTTCTACTACGTATCGTCGTCCATTCATCCATCTCGCTCCACGCTCGTCCTTGATTCTGGCCGACAAATCTCAACGGTTGACGACACCGGGGACTCTGGGACCTTTGCGATCCACTCCCACGAATACCTTCCATCCACTTGATTGCTGATCTAATTACAAAAAATCGATTTGACGATGAAATGGTGGGGACACTATACGTTCAATTCCCCGGGGTCAAAAGTTCTTTGGATGGAGATCTCCGCCGCCAGTGGAAATTACTCAGGCCACGACTGTCGAGCAGTCCAGTCCTGGACGAGAGTCCGTCCATGCCGTCGGAGTCGTCGGTGGTGGCGGCGAGGAGGGGAAAGAAGTTTGGGACGATTTGGATCTAGATTTGGAAGATGAGGGGTGCTTAGCATTGGGAATGGATTTTCAAAAGGACATCCCACTCGTCCTCTTGTCTCAACCGCAACAACAGCAAAATCAACATTTCTAAAAGCGTGACTATGTTGGCAATGATATGTTAATGAGATATATAAGAAACTGGAGATGGAGAAAGTGTGGGTGGGTGGTCAGACAGACAGATACCGGTTTCTTCTCCCACTTTCTCCAACCAGACAGACTTATGTAATAGTGTAGTCACGTGGAGGAGGAAAAAATCGAAACAACATTAAGTTTGTACATACATAATTATAACTTTAATTAGTAATTTAACTAGAAAATTTTTAGTATGTACATATAATTTGAGGTCACATTTTCTTGTCACGTGCATACAAACATATTTCACCAAACCAAATTAGTATACGCCTTTAAATGTTATTTTCGTCGCTTCCCCAAGGAGTGGAATTGAGGAGTGCAAATTTTCCTATCTACGTCGACAACAAGTGCCCGAGTGGAAAATGAATGTATGGTGCGTGGGCAAGGAAATTTCCGAAACGAAACTCATTATTTTGAGTAGTTGGCTTAAAAATTGGAGATAAACAATTTTGACTGCACAGTCCTTGTTTTTCTTAAGCTGATTGGAGTGCAGTGGTGAAAGTCACCTTTAGAAACAAAGTTGTTGGAAGAGAGCTCTTCTCAAGAACTTTCTATCTGCCTTCGAGTGGTTCTTTACCACAACAACCGCGACGATAATTGGGCAAGACTTTGGTACAGAATAAGAAGCACTCCATTAAGTTAAACCAATCGACTCAAGGATAAGTAGGGACGAGTGAGTAGGTTGGAGAAAGCAGGCAGCATAGAAATGCATAAGCCCAACCAACGTGTATTTAAGTATGTAGGAGTTTTGCTGCTGCCGTCGCACAGCAGGAAGCAGGGATTTATAATGGATTTGTTTTTTTGCATAACAAAATTGTTTTAGGCAATCTTGCAAGAGAGACGAGGAAAAAAAATATTTCATTCCGAGAAGTGAAAGCAAATCAAATTTTAAATAGGGTGAGTTTTTTGTAGGATTTCTTAGAGTCAGAGTCAGACATTTTTTGTGTGTCGCTAATGTGATTTATTTGACGAAGGTTTGCATTCTCTGATTATTTAGATATGTATGAATATTGCGGAGGTGTCTAGTTTGACGCCTACAAGCATAAAGCATTTTCCAATTACGAGGAAAATTCTCAGTTAATTAACTATAAGACCAAAAAAACAAAGTGTATGATAAACTAAATATGTATTAATTATGGACAATATTGTAACCATCTTACGCACATCAACTGAACCAATTGTTGCATACATTCATAACTCTTAACTACTTATTAGAAAAATATGTAACAAATTATTTAGTATTTAGTCAACCAAGATTGTCACCAGCAAAAAAAACCAGTAACGTGTCAAGTTACCTATTTATGTATCTATCTACGTCAAATTCTATATATCTCATGCTTACAGGACGTGAATGCACAGCTCCACATGGAAAATTCGGTCTTTCCTCGGGGGAAGAAATCCGAAAAAGGGAATCGAAAAGGGGTCGTGCCATCCGGCACGTCGGGGGCACTGACGGGTCAAAACACGGGTGGTTCTGGTGCGTCCGGCCTCCTTGGAATGCCCAACAACGCTTCCTCCACAGGGGGACTGGTCGGCGGGGCTAAAAATTTATTGCAGGTCCCTCCATACGGCAACAAGGGGAAAATCCCCCTTGACGAGGATGACGAGTCGGGTGAGTCTGAGGATGACGAGGGGGCCGCCATCCTCGGGGGTGGTGTTGGCAGTGGGTGTGGCTACAACGGGAGCGGGGCGGGATGTGGGCTGAGTGCCCGAAGTCTGCTCAACGTCACGTTGAACAACACGCCCAGCACGAGCACGACGGGGGGAATTAATTCGGAAACCACCCAGAGCACCTTCATCCAGGATGGAGTTCATGTTACCTCACTCTAAATGGTCGTAAACGTAATTGTGTCGTGTCATGTAAAATTTTATGTGTATTACACCCTGTATTTATTTACGGTATGTCGTAAATTATGAATGTCATCCAAGAGTTAATATGTGTGATAGGGAGAGAAAACTTGGTGCATCTATAAATCTGTATGTATTAGATTATGTATGTAAAATGTGCATAATAAATTATTTGAGATCTCAGTATCAAGTTAAACGTAATATCTAAATACATGTATGTCCAAATCAAGAGTGTGTATTTATCTCTTAGTATTTTTAGACAATACAGAGTCATCTAAATAAATGTGTATAATTAATGTGTTTAATGAGAGAAAGTTACATTTTAAGTGAAAATGAATTAAGTAATTAAATGTACTTATTGATTGTAACTTATATTATAACCCAATTTTAAAACGTGAAAATCATGAAATTAAACCGGAGATCAAATTGACATCAAGGACATACAAAAAATGACTTATTTGGACCAATATCCCGGATTTTATCATTAAAATTACAACCATCCAAGAATAATGAGGGTATTAAATCTTATCAAAAATAAAATGGTCTATAGTTTTTTGTATTGCTGTTTAAACTCTTAAGTCATGATGTTATCTGACCTGAATGAATTAAAATTGATTACGTAACTGGATTTTAAAATATTGCCAGAGTTAATGGCTAATCATAAATAAATGTTGTGTAATTAATAAATATTTTAGTTATGATGATTAGATAATAAACATGGATAATGAAAAGAATTATAACATTGGAGAGTAACAAAATCATGGTAGGTTAAATGTAATAGTTTTAAAATCCATGTTACACTTAGCCCTGTGTGTACCTGTACAATTAATCAATTGATGTCGTTCGTATATAACCGTGTCAATAAAATGACTACTTTGTCAATGTGTAGAAACTTTATTGCGTTTCATACAGAAATAAATATACGTGCATAAACACCAGAAAATAATTCAAGAATAAATCCCTACTTGAAAGAAATCTTAACTGATGAGGGTATCATATTTCAGAGCTCAGTTTAAACCAATTACCTCTGTAAATGTGATTTCAAGTAGCCATGCAGAACAGCAAGACAAAATAGTACGTCTTGGTCTTGATATTGGTATTAAGAACGTGTGTATGATGTACGAGCACTATACATTAGAAATTATTCTTATATGGCGAATTTTCTACGATTTTTTTTAAGTTTAGGGACCTAATGTGTACGACTCCTACGTAGTCAGATTTTTGTGATATTTACTCTGTAATACATTTTTTTCTGCATAATTTTCTACATAATAACTCTGTGAATATAATTTAAAAATTCATAACAATAAACGTCTTATATGGCTCGAAATTAAGCTAGGAATTTTTCAATTTTTGATAAATTACCTTATCCTTTAAAATTTGAATGCTCTCTTAGTGGATAATACTCTTAACAAATTTAAAACTGTAGTGCTCCTTCTCTTTAAAGATATGAAGGTGATAAGCGTTGCCCTATTGTCGAAATCATTTTTCTATTACTTCATTTTCGCTCATTTATAAAATTGAAAACCAAGATTTCACAGGCCACAAAGTTCCCTCCTAATTCCTAATAATTCATGTATACTTCTTATTTAGAATAGAAATTTAATATTACTTAAAAACTGAACGCATTATGTGGTACACCCGGATGTGGGGCGCCCATAAAAAGTTAACACAATTGTATCAACTATCGAATTCCACATTTTGTGGTTTCATTGTTTCATAACTAGTAAATAGCCTTGTTTCATAATCCTTAAAGTTAGGCTGTGGAGTTGTTTCGTAATAAATTACAATTTTCTTTCTCAGCGTTCTTATCCGAAAATTTTAATGAATCTTATCATAGCTTTGATACTTCTGTCCCCTTTCGTGGAATCAGATGTGTACAAACCATTTCCGAGTGCGCGTAAGTTAATTATGGTTACCGCTTCACTTCATACTAATTTTATTCTGCCCAGGTTGTCGGAAAAATAATATGACCGGGTGCATGAGAGTCAGTGATCAAGGCTATTATTTTGATCAGACAGCAAATGAATGTAAACTAATAAATCTGAAGTGGGAGAATTGTGAGGCCAGTAATTACTGGGCCAAAGGAGAAGATTGCATTAAGGAGTGTGAAGGAGAAGAAGTTTTTGAAGCAAAAAGACACGAGAAAGAAATGAAAGCGAGAAAAAATAGGTATCCTGGGTAAATTACAAGTTAATCGTTCAGGAAGCCAGGTTTTTGTATGCTCTTCTTTAATTTATAACTATAAATAATATAGGTTACATAATACATTACATGATTATGTGGTTGAAATGATAATTTAACGAAGCTTGACATGACATGAGTGGTCAAGTTCTCCTACACATCAATTTGTGTGGGGTTTTATTTATTTATTTGTGGAATTTTATGACAATTTTTGTAATTTTTCTAATGCCAACTTTTCTTGATTATCAAGTGCAGAGTGTACGTATTACTGACCTTTCTACCTGATGCTATACTTTGCATTTATTTTTGGCAACATTATGATTATGTTGGTTGTGCAATTAATTATGAACTATCAGAACAGCTAGATAAAATTGTATGTACATCTTGGTATATTAACAAATAGTGATCTTAATAAATTAAAAACTGTGCTGCTACTTTATTATCCTAAAAATTGTGTTGTCCGGAGAAAATATATTTGGAATACGTATATACGAGCAAGACTGGTGAATATTTAATCTTTCGTATTTTCTATGTGTAGTTTCTACACTAATTTCTTCGTATCTATGTACATAAGTACCTCATTCATTCTTATGTACATCTATTTTTAAAAATAGCCTCGGACTAAATCTAACTTACATGATACATATGAAATAAACACAATAGCCATTGCTGAACTAGTATAGCATTCGAGACTTGCTCGAATCCCACGACGAGTTGCATATTATGCAACTCGTCTTGAAAAGCGTACATAATATATTATTTGCATTATATTATGCTTTTAAAGACGTTAATGCATTTTTCGAAAGTAAAAAGTGAATCCAACTTATAACTTGCGGGAAATGTAACTATCTACGTATGTACATTCCTCATCCAATTAGTTTTCCACGAATCTACGTATATGGACCGACTACTAGGAGAAAGTGTACTCTGATTAAAACATACAATTACATCTATCGTATATCCAATCTTTCTAATTTGTGATATTCATTATGAAATATGTACACACTAATACTAACAATAACAATCCATTCTATATATATATATTTACTTTAAATCATTATTGTGTAGTATGATTAGATTTACTGAATTAATGTCCTGTTGGCCAATTGCTCAACAATCGTCTTGATCAGTTTTTTATGATTCGGGTCATCCTCCTTCATGTCGACAACTACCAAATAATAAGTGATGAAAGCCCCCAATATCTAGAAATAAGTTATAGAAGTATACAAGTTATCAGAAAGGAATATAACACGACGAAATAATGTTGAAAATGAGTTATACCGACAGAACGGTGCGATAATTCACATCAAAAAAGTCCAGCCCTTTCAGATAGATTGATTTTGTAGACACAGTAATCAATTCATATGCCAAATCAGCATTCCCCTGCGCAAAGGTGGCTCTATCCGACATAATTCTGGAGGATAAGTTCTCCGCCTTTTGTATTAAATATAACTGTTAATTTATCCATGCAGATTTTAATAAAATATATTTTGATTACGTTTGCTGCTGCCTCAGAGGCCACAATAATGTGGCCCAGCTTTATTACCATGATGAACATGTGGAGCCATGGTAACTGATCCAATGTTTTTGCTTTGCTAACTAAATGAATTATTAGCACCCCGTAGGGGATCATCTGTACAACACTGGCCATTATCAATGGCCCGATAGCAGAATTGACGGCGTGAATGTGAGATTTGACACTCCTGAAGGCCTCAATTTTCTGTACACAAAAATCCCTCATTTTTTATATGATGATCTACAATTTTAATTAAATGTTTCGACCTCCAACCTTATTGATATCTAGGTCTGGATTGTTGTAGATTTCACGGAGGGTCCTCTCCATCAGGTAAGACGAGAGTGAAATTCCCCATAACATTAAATCAATGTGGAACAGCAATAGCAGGGTCACAACATTCATCGCCATTATTCCAACGCTAAACATAGCAATGCAAAAATTTGAATCTTCACAGAGTAAACGCACGAGCGTGTCAAGGTTGATAATGATTCCTCTAAAGCTAAATCTCGTTTCTTGGTCGTACACAGTGGATGAGAGCCATTCTGTCCAGTTAGTGAGTAAAAAATAACCCAGGGCCAACACGGACGTCACAGTCAAAAGCTGCAAAAATATGAAGACGACAAGAATTGACTGTTTATCAAACAATTCCTCCATTATCATTCATTTATAAAATTGACAACAGTGTCCCCAACTACTAAATTTCTCTCTAATATAACTAGTTATTTTATACTTTTTATTTTGAATAGAAATAAAATTGACAAATGCACATTATGTGGGATGGGATGGGGAACGGATGTTGGACGCCGTTAAAAGTTAACATAGTTGTATATCGAATTCCAGATTTTATGGCTTCATTGTTTCATAACCAATAAACAGCTTAGTTTTCATAATCCTTAACCTTAGTTGCTTCATAATAAATTACAATATTGTTTTTCAGCGTCTTTATCCGAAAATTGTAATGAATCTGGTTATATTTTTGATATTTCTGTCTCCTGCTTTTATGGAATCAAAAGTGTATAAACCATTTCCGACTGCGCGTAAGTTTATTCTGCTTACCGTTTCACTGCATACTAATAATTTTGTTTTGTCCAGGTTGTCAGAATAACAATATGACCGGATGCATGAGAGTCAGTAACCGCGGCTTCCATTATGACAAGACAGCAAAGGAATGTAAGGTATCAAATGCGACGTGGCAGAATTGTGAGAATAGTAATTCTTGGAAACGAGTAGAAGATTGCGTACTTGAGTGTCAAGGAGAAAAAGTTTATGAACAAAAACTGTACGAGGTAGAAATTGAAGCGAGAAAAAATACCGGGTAAATTAAGAGTGAATCTATCAGAGCAGGGAATTTTTGGAAACAGGTAAGTATCAAATTATTATTTGTAGATGCTTTATCAAGATGGTGATCGAGCACCATCACTATAGGAAAGAGCTAATAATAATCTTATGCGTTTCTTTTTTCAGTGCTAAACAAAAATTTAAGTTGGAAATCGGAGCAAATTTAAATTTCATGTAAATATGTATACATATGTATGTATGTAACTCAATAGTTTGCATTAAACTTAAGGTACCACAAGAGAGTTGGCAAGGAATTATACCACTCAGTTTGATTGTAATTTTCTCAGAAATTATAGTAGGTAGAAATTTGGTTCAAATACAAATTTTGTAAAAAAATTACTACTCTAAATTTTGGTAAATGTCCCCTTCTGCTGTTACTTATACTTACGTATTTATATCCAAAATAGTCGACCATGATGAATTTTTTTTAAAACGTCCTAGCGTCAAAACCATACGGAGCACAAACGTGGGACGACTCCCACATCGTGCGAAATAGTTTTACTTGGGGAGCATAATGGGTCTCATTTCCATATTGTCTTCCATACTTTTCGAAATAGCATTTCTATACTTGCCCCTCCATATTATTTTATGTTTCTGAGGACAAAAATGGTTCACATCTCTTTACCAGACACAAATGAGCCCACAAACCGATTATACACCCTGCAGAAATATATAATGATTCCAAATAACAACCATTATGACCTTAAAGTCCATCCCCTCCATCTCGGGGAGCTCTTAAAAATGCCCCAATGCCCTTGTTGTTATGCGGAGCCGTACTTCATGTCTTGACTCATTTTCTCTAAAAAATCATGTTGCTAAGTCCAGAAAAAATTGAAATATTCAACCTCTTGTGGTATTTTTTACTTATGTAAGTATGTTTCAAAACTATTTTACAATAAATATAATTGATTGAAAGATTATTGTAAAGAAAATAAAAAAAATCTATTCTTTTCGGTGGAAATCTGCACTACATTTGGTAATAATGGGGTATACTAAAACAAAGCATTAATACCGGTATGAATAGCACACCGTGTACAAAGTGGTATGGTTTATTACCAGGCTGTAGACATTTTACTACATATTGTAGTACATCTGTCATACATCATGGTATTAATTTTATCCCAGAAAGTGTTCTTTATTACCACTTCGGGTTCAATCAATTTCTTTACCAGTTGGTGGTTATTATTACCGTTTCTGCAGAGTCATATACGTGTGCATTTTGGTAATGATTTGGTAATGATTTCATTTAGAGTGCATGTAGTTACGTGTCTACATATGTAGACACGTAACTAAGTAAAATTCAGGACCTTGGTATAACCAATAAAAGTTACATACGTGCTTAACATGATAATTTTAAATGTTATGGCAAAGTTCTCCAATTTATATTGGGTTTGATCTACTCATAAGTTCAAATTATATTCGAATTTGTCGCTTGGTGTCCAGGGCTGAAAACCAGCACTCGTACTGACGCTCATACGACACCATTAATAAAAACTTCAATCAATCAATCATTATTGCAATTTTACGACATAAATCTAAAGAATCAATAAATCAATTTCTTAAATCGCCCTAAATATAATTAGCACCATTGCAAATCGTGCATTGTTGCAATAAACAATTTTTCCTTACCCTTAACTTCTTTTTTCTGGTCACTTCCGCCACCTGCTCTGACTGGATTTTGAAGCTTTTGTATATCTCTCCAAATTTGTTTCGCTTGAAGGTCACGCAAAACAGATAGCAGAAAAGCATAAGAGTGGATGATGCATCAATCATTAAGATCCCAGTGGTCTCTGGCTTTCCCTTCAACTGGGACCTGGTCCAGGAAATGCTGGTGTCGTATGCCTTGAGTGATGTGGCTCCCATAATCATGCAATTAACAAGTCCCTAGATAATACATAAGACACAGTTTAGAAACAAGCTATAAAAATTCGTTTTCGTTAATTCATGGGAACATTTAATAATTCTGCGATTAAGGCAAGCAAATTTTTTTATGAACGAATGAAAATCCTTGATTGAATCGAACACATCAATTAAAAAGACATTTGTCGCCTTTGTGTCCGGAGAAAGCGAGTGGAAATTAGCATGGACATTTTGGTTAATAAAGTATTGATCGATGTTTTTCATTGAGTTGTACATACGCTTTGATGTGAGGTCTATTTCTGTGCGTGTAAAAAAGCATGAGCGTTGGATGGTATCACGTAATGGATATATAATTATTACTAGTCAGTATTTATGGTATTATTGTTATGCATCTTGATATGTAATTGTGGTATATTCTTGTGAACTAGTCAAATTTTACCATTTTGACATCAGACTAAATTAACAATAATGTCTAAAGAATGAGTATAACTTTCACTCACCGCGTGAATAATGTTACTTTTTAATTCAAAAACGCCGTCGTTTTCCCAGATTCCAAAGGGACAGAGTAACTGACACGCTCCCACATTGACGATGGCCTGAAGGGACTGATGAGCTCCAAGGAAAAGATTCCTCTTCATTTCAGCCATCTCTTTGAAGCGATTTCGGGATGCGTTCACTGCCATCAATTGATTCGCTGCTCCGATAATTCCCATCCCCTCAGGGCCGCCTGCTTGTTGACCGTTGACGATCTCATTTTCCAATTCTTCTTGCTCTGCCTGCTCGTCAAGATTTTGCATTTCGAGTTGGCCATCACGGTTATGCCGTTGAGCATCAATCGGCTGCATCTCCATCCCTTCTTCATTTACCTGGTCGATCTCATTGTCACCCAGATCACCAAGGTCAATCTCTGATTTGTGGATAGTTGTCCAGGCGAGATAATTGGTGTTTGAGATGAGCGACTTCAGAGCGGAAAATGGTTGCATGATGCGCGACTCGGGTGGGAAAATCTCATCAGGAGGAGAAGTGTTCTCATTCGTCTCAAAATTCTCATTCTTCTCAATCTCATCTTGACCCATATGGGGCTCATTTGGTTGCTGTTCTTCATCAATCTCTGCCTCATTTTCAGGAGGGGGTGGTTGATCAGCAGGGTTATCCGTCGGGACAACAGGGGCGCCACCGATTGATCGAATATTGTTGAAAAATTGTCTCAACTTTGTTTTGTAGGGTGGGTCAAGAATGACGCGTGGGGGAAATGGGGATTTGACATAGGGTGCGAGCACGTTCCGTTCCAAGTCATCGTGGCGAATTCGATATGCCGTGTGAGGGCGGGATGTGGGGGGTTGGTATGGTTCGAATTCGAAGTGGGGAGAAGTGTGGGGTCGTTCTTGCCTTGGGTTGGGAGATTGTTGGCTAATTTGGGAATGTGGAGTCTCATGTGATGGTGGGACAGTGGCATTTTGGTTGAAAGATACGTTTTCAGTTGGGGAAGATGGGGTGGGTGGTCCTACGCCGGGTGGCGACGGAGTTGGCTACAAATTACGGAGAAAGTAAAAACTTAAAAAATATGCTGAATGCAATGTACACCAAAGCTAAGTTTTTCCCAGTGGGAAATTTTGTGTGATGACATCGAAATCTACAAATTTATATTCCTGAAGAAATGGAGTCATACTTTGTTTTAAAAATACAAATTATCACAAACTAACTTTCCCCTTAATGCCCTAATGACTAGAAAATGATTCCTGTTTAAAATGCAAAATAATTTTGTTATAAAGTGAAAGTAACCTCATCATCCTTGGCTACATTTCCATTTTCCACTACATGACTTCCGCCTGAATCGGAGTCCGTTGGGGTGTCGTCCTGAAACCGAAGCACGGGTGTCCTCTCCACAATCTCCTCCGAATCGGACGTCGACATGTCCCCAATATCTTCTACCCTCTTGTTGAGAATTGTATAATGCTCATGATTTTTCTGTTCAGTTTATTTCCTTATCTAAATTTGTCTCCTTCCGAGTTTTTACATATCTTAACTATGACGCACATGCATTCGTTTAACTAATGTAATTATCTGTACTTCATGCAAGCCTCCTACCTTTGTGAATCTGACCAGTTTCTAACATTGTTTTTAGCCGTCAAATTTCTCAGTATTCTGTATTCTTCCAGTTTTCAACCCAAACTCAAGGTTTCTATTTTTGCATTTGACTGGTCATTCACTCTCAAATAAGGTTATAAATATTGGTCGACAAGTCGACCTCGCGGTCATTCTTTTACCTAAGCTGCTGTGAGTAGCGTCAATCTTTCCCATTTTTATCAAACTTGTAACAATATTTAAATTGCATAAATCCTGACTTGAAGTAACCTTAAACCATTGTGCACTCGTCTCTGCCTGATTATTCTCAACTTGCCTCAGTTTACAACTACACCATAATCTCTCATAAAAGTATTCATCTCCACCCTGTTGCCATCCATACGATTGAACATCACACTTCAAACTCTCACAAAAACCACACCCCAGTTGGGACCCAACATCCCCAACACCTCTACAATTCCACTTTATTGAAATTGCTTGAAACTGGTGATGTCCTTTGGCACGAGATTTGGCAATTGGTCGGGAGTGAAAATTTTTCTATTGCTTTCTTCCCAAGAAATAGACGCCTACTAAAAGCAGCGTCCTTATCCTGGTGACTAATTGTCCACGGTCTGACGCACATATTCGTAAATGATATCGAGCAATAGATTTTATTTTGATGCGACATACAGTTTTCTTACACGTGTGCTAAAGTAACAGCATATTTGTGTAAATATGATGGCATGCAAACTTTATTTTGCATACGACAACCCAAGCAACTAGTGCAACAGATTCATTAAATATGTAATTTGTCAATCATTTGCACCGATCGCGATCCAGGAACCAAATATGAATGCGTGCCCCTTAATGTTTACCTTGTTTCGGGATAAGCAGTAAACAATATGATAACGCCTTAAAAATCGTCCGAGTAATATGTCAGAGTAAAAGGTATTTAATTGTAGGTTCTATTTATGTTTCAGTGTAATTACACACATATTTTACAAAGTTTGGCATGACATCGACTATCGACTTCACATTACTCATTCTCAGTACGAATGAGAAGAGATAAATACACAATTGAGAGGAGAATTAGCAGCGTTTGGATGACATTTTCTAGTGGTTTAGTAAAATAATAATTGAAGTTTACATAATTGATTTCAGAGGAGTTACCGTTTGGAAAAGATCATTCATTTTTGCGTAAAGTTGAATTAAGTTATAATTTAAATCGCTGCTAAACAAGAGGTAATTTCTTAAAAGAGTAGCAACCACAAGATCACAGGAATTGCATGAGAAACCTGTAATGCAAGAGATTGATATACCCCAAACAAGTCTTTTTCTGGGTTAGCTAGAGTGGACACGCAATCGAAGGGGTGAAAGCATTTATTTGTTTGTACAAAAATGAGCAAGGCACGAATGCGACTCATGTTTTTGTGTTGTAAACTATTTACATTTCAGATTGCATTGTCTTCCATAAACGGAAAGACTGTTGCAATATCACACAATCAATTTCAGGCTGGGTTTATGAATTGAAGATTTTTAAGTCATGCTTTGATCATTCCCTAAAATTTCAATGATAAAAGGCATATTAGTAAAATATGTTTAAAGAATTATCGTTAAATATGCTCTCCATTAAAAAAAATATTCATTACTTATTGGATACAAATGTCGTCTTAAATAACACACAAATTATTCATCTAATTGGAACGTTGTCCCTCGATGTATTATCTAGTGTTTAAGGCTCTTCACCAATATGCATAGATATATAGAAAATAATTTCATACTTTATTAATACCATACAACTTGCAGCGCAACATGAGACCAGATTGAGACTTATGAGACTCCTCACTCAGGAGAGGAGAAAGTTGGTCAAGTGACCCCATTTGTTGTCCAAATCAAGAGAGTATTTATTTCTTAGCATTTTTAGATAATACAGAGTCATCTAAATAAATTTGTATTAATTAATTTATGAGAGAAAGTTACATTTTAAGTGAAAATGAATAAAATAATCGTAGCAAATGAAATGTGTCAATAAGACGAAACAAGTAATTCTCCAACAAATTATGTGGTCACCCCCCATGACCTCGAGGGGGCAGTCAGATTGACCCCGGAAGTGGAAATTATTGGTCTTATATATGATGCTTCAAATCTCGGTTATCTCGATTATTCTCCTGACACTTAGGATTAGCCCTGCGTGTGTCTCTACACGATACAAATAGAGCTGTACATTTAATCAATTGATATCGTTCGCACATAACCGTGTTAATAAGTAGAAACTTTATTACGTCTTATACAAAAATAAATACACGTCATTGATACCAGAAAATGGTGTAAAAACAAATCCCTACTTGAAAGTATTAAGAAATCTTGACTGATAAGGGTGCCATATTAGCAAGTTCAGCTTCAAACAATTTCCTCTGTAAATCTGACTTCAACGAACCGTACTTGGTTTCCAGCTCTCTTCTGTGATACTTTTGCAGAAATATGTTACAATGTCTAATGGTAGCACCCGTATAAATAGTTTTAAATGACATGAGTTGTCCATCCAGGCGAGTTACAAATGGGAGTGACGAAGTAACTATTTCATACGCCGTTCTTCTCATTCTTATGAAACAAATTTTTGTCGAGGGGTTAATATATTTGGCTGTAACAGAGACGAATAATTAATTCTCTGGAACTATAGCATAACAATTAATTGGTTGGCTGATTAATCACCGTATAGCCCAGCTTTGGATAAAGCTACTCCTTGAATACCGTGCAAACTTCGAATCGATTTATTTATCGCCTCCATCAGTGCATTTTGTCTCGTAACATTTCCAGATTTCCATTCTTCTTCCATTTGCACTTCAGCAATAATATATCTAAAAGTTAATTATTTTAGAAATTCAGAATAATTCAATTCAATTCAAACTTTGAATTTCAAAGTATACAAAATCATTTCACGAAATTTGATCTAAAATAAGCCACTTACCTATGCCTTAATCGAACCATCTTTCCTAACGAATAATCAAATTTATTAGTCAAAGTTAGATGAAAATACTAAACAAACCGGAAGTAGTGAAAGTTAAGGAGGAAATATGTGTACTCCTTTCACGTGCAAAATTCTCTCTTCACTGACCAAACCACAGGCCGCGTTCGCTTTCCCTTCTCACATCGACCCATATCAAGTCTCATGTGAAGTCTCAACTTACACCACCGGCTCAAGTTCTGCCTGACAGATCAAGGACTTTCTCCTGCTTGCTTTCACCCTGAAAAGTAAGCTCCATAGTCTGTTCCTTCCTCGAGAATGGACTGCAAAAATAGTGACTCATGCAAAGTCCTTTCAGGGTCAAGTTATGTTACAGGCAGTTGTTTACTCCTCAACAATTCAGCTTCAGTGGTTTTATGACTCATTCTTCAGCCATGCAGTACATAGCGAAGTGATAAAATTGATACGTAACAATTGTTGGACGAAACAACAGTGACGCATATTTGTATCCTCTTAATCCTCTAATAAAAACCGAGTCATACATGTTTCTTGCAAAATATTTGCAAAATGTTGTAGCTATCCAGCAATTTAAATTTTGCTTATTCCAGTAATTGTAATTGTAGTTGAAAGTTCCTGCAATTGTTGAAGACATGCTTATCTCCTATACAGCGCCACATCCACAAAAAGCACCAAACCCACATTTCTTTCAAAAATACAAAGATGCAACCTTTATCAGCAACATTAGTGCATATCAAGAGGCATTTAAGATAACTAATTCTTGCAGGATAAGGAGAACAAGTGACGCAATTATGAAAGGACCAATAGGGTCGAGATTATTGTGGAAAATTCTAGCCTGCTCTCACAAACGTTTTTTGGGATTAAACATGATTTTTTGCATAGTTGCAATTTCGCATGTAAGGATGGATCATGCATCAATTTTTAGAAACGTTACAAATTTTGAAAACTCTTTATATTAATTGTTGGGACCACTTTTCACCAACTATTATAGCATTCATAGTTGTCTCCCAGTTGTAATTAATGCTCCCTAAAATCACTTATTTTTGTCTGGTTTCAAAATTTTGCGAAAAAATAACTTAATTGTTTTATTATATAATCAGGCATTATTTTAAAGATATTATTCGCACATTTTAGTAAATCACCGTAAAAGGTGTACAACCCTCCCGGCTGTAATATGGTAAGCGCTTGTGACTGAACTCACATTCTCATTCTGTAACTCGGGTTGAACAGATCACATTTTGTAAGGACAAAGTTTGCAGTTTTGTGACTTGCAATTTATTCTCAGAATAAAAAGTTGTGTTTTTAAAATAGAAAAGTTTATATCAAATAGTTTTCGAAAAATCACACGTATACATTCTTCAGCGTTTTGTCTTTGGTCTCGAGCTATAATATAAATGAGACTTTACTTGCTGAATGTCTTCGTCTGACGAGAGCAAGAATAAAGAGCACTTGTCCCAAAACAGCCAAAACCACCCCCACCGAGAGGAAGAATCTAGCCAGAATTTGAAGAATAATTCAACTTCAAACCATAGTCAAAATCGAAGCAAGAGTAAAAGCCAGTCCCCGCAGGAATCTTCTGACCCATTTTTCCAAGACTTTTACAACCGAAAGAAAAACCGACCTCGGTTAAGTGAACGGATTTTCAGCAATCGTCCAGGCGGTGGTGTGTTCGAGAAGGATAATTTTGTAGACGACTTAAGGAAACATATTGAAGAGGAGAGGAAAATGTTTTTTGATTCCGACCCATTTGGAAACTTTCCTAGTCATCCGAGGGGTGGTTCTCCAGCACCCGGAGGGGCACATCATGCTGGGAGTGGAAGTCCTAGAGCTGGAAGGGTAAGTATAAATCGGAAATTTTGGCAGTTTTTAATTAATTTCATTCATTTTGGCGTGACGAATTTCAAACTAGCGCTAGGCCACATATTTTTACCCTCATTTGTTCATTCATTCCATTACTGCGATTGTTCAATTGTTCATATAAAATGAAGTAATATAAAACGATGAAGTCAAATATAACCTGGAAATGATCAGTCAGCAATGTTTACAAATCCAGCAAACTGACAGTAGTGCTACTGATTTCAGCGAATTTATTATTACATCAGTTATTCCATACATAAAGTGCATAATGCACTGTGCATTCTATTACATACTTTATTGTTTGTTTTATTACAAAATATGCTGACTAATCTTCTTGTAATCATAAATACCTAGATGTTGTTTACATATTTATTTAGTGATAATGCAGAAAAATGCATTTCATTATGAAAATTGAGATTGTTTTAATTCAATCGTGTATTTGTATTGTTTGAGAATACTTAATTGACTTGTATATAAGCAAGTATGCAATCAAAGTCATGTGTTCATGGTACTGAGGGTAAAAAAGGTAGAAAATTAAACCGCGTTAAGAAGTTTAAGTTTAATTGTGTAGGTGTTTGTTTACGCACCTTTTCAGGTAATCATAAAGGCACTTGACATGAGCTCGTGTTAAAAAATGATGTCATCTTCACTTGCCCTCTGGTCATCTTTGTTTGTAGGTGGGTTGTATTTTATTCGTAGGTTTGCTAAATTTCGGTGGTAACATTTGCATCATCCACTCGTCGCGTTGTTGTAGGCGTCATGCTAATCGGCATTGTTTTTGACAGCAGCAGTTTGCATCATAACATTATGTTTTTAGGTCTGGTAATTATCATTAAAGTAAACATGTACCTGATGATTCCACAATTACTACTACGGTACTTTATCCGGATGAGACAATGTCCTTTTTCTATGTACGTGCGTTAGGTGGAACGGTTGACAGGTCACGTACATATATTCAATTAAAAATCAGGTCCAAGAATCCAGTTACACGCAATTTAGCCATCATTTCAGTTTAGTTGTTCGAGTAAATCTCGAGCAAATGTAAGTTTTTAAGACGGAGATTTCTACAAGGTTTTGAGTTTAATTTATTTGGCATCGAATCACTAATAATACATACGTATTGGCAGACGGTACACATTTGAGGTTTCAGTTTACTTCAGTCCTTGAAATTGCCTGAGTTTTATTGTGCATGTTTAATATGCATACCAAATACGGATCGATGGGGGTAGTAAATAAATAGCAAAGGAGATTCGACCGGACCCTAAAATTAAATAAAACTATAGGATTCATTTGAAACAAAAAAATATTCGAGGAAAGGATAGGAGAAAAAAGAAGAAGATTACAAAGCGATTATGATCATCGACCATTAATCCTACACGTGCATGGATACAGTAGGTGTAGTTTAAATACACTAACTTTTGAACAAAAGATCCGAAGAAGATTATCCTAGCTGGAGCTGTCTTCTAGGTCGCTCCGTAGTGGGTTTATTTGGCATAGATCATTTTTTAAATTAGATTTCAATAATAAATCATACTCGATTTTTTTATGCTGATGAAGAGAAACCCCAAAAACAATTGCATCGCATTGAAAATTGCAAAGTGGTCTCAATCTCTGCCAATTGTGTTGACTAGGAATAAAAAGCTGTTTATGTGACTATACATGGATGTTGGGCTAGTGTGGTGGACGTGCTGATGAGGTAATGCAAACTCAAAGAGATGCGAAAATGTCCAAATTTGCAACCCACACTTACTCAAGTTAATAAAAGGTGTCTTCCCCATCCTTCACGTAGGTCATTCCTTTAACAGACTTGAAACCGAGCATTTATTTTTCATCTGGTTGGAAACATTTCTGCAAAAGAATTGCATTTTGCACTCGACTTTGAGACCTCGTATTGAACTTGACTCGGACAACTGGAGCTTTTCAAAAGTGTGGTGTTTGGCATTTGGTGGTACGTAAGAAAAGTGGTGAGTAATATCGGGTGAATGCATATTTCCGTTCATTTCGTCATCAGCCCTACCGAATTTTAAGACAGATAAGTACATACATACAGTGGTTCATGGTTAGAACGCACCTATCTAAATACGTACGTGCCAGTACTTGGAAGGAAGGAAGGAATTCTTAAAAGCTCGGAAAAAGTGCTAATTTTTTGTGTGAAGTAAGTGCTATACCATTCCTACGCTTACATACTGATCGAATGATTGCTCTATTTTCTATCTGTTCTCGACTGAAATTAATGTATGGTTAGTTAGTGGGTATAGGTTGTCGTAATAGCTTGCAGCTTGGCGTTTTGAGACTTTGCCAAAGTTCAATCTGACTTCTGTCTCACGTAGAGTAGAGCGTTCGGATTTTCCAAGTTTTCAAGCACACACTGTAAAAAAGCATGTGGATGGATTCAATGCAATAAGTGAAGTAATATATATTTGAAAAATACGTACATACAAGTTACGTATGCAGATGAGCATCTTGCTCTTCTATCATCATGCATACATAGATTTTTACTCACGTCTTAAAAATAAACCAATTCTATATGCTTCTCTCCACTACTGAATTGCGTTCTTTAAAAATTATCATAAGACAGGAGGGTGTAAAAACCACTCAAAATTTGGTAGGCATAGATCTTATGCGCTCTTACACGTGATGCATATTGGCTCAATTTTTTTGGTTTTGGTAGGCACTTTTTAGCCGAAGACCTTGGGATGTTTTCTAATCTATTTTGAATAACCTGAAGCGATTTTATGGTGTTTTTTGTGGAATTTGTAATTATGACATTAAACCTGCTTGCTTACGGGTAAATATAAAGAAAGACTGAACTCAATTCCATCAATCCATGTTCCATTTTTCGGATATTAAGAAGGCGGGGGTTTAGTAAATGTCAAGTAATTGTGTCAGTCTGTTATAGGTGGGTGAGTTTCACAGATTCACTCCATTTCCTTCGTATGAATACGTATTTGATGAGAAATTTAGGTTAGGTCATTATTATTTTCCATTAACATTGGCTTAGTTTTTCGGAGAAAATGACTGAGCAAAACGACAGAAAATCGAAATGAAATTAGGTCAGGTTAGCAATTATGAAATTATTACGTGTATTTAGCTTATGATGATACGACTTTATTGTCGGTTTGGTATTTACTGTGATTGGAATCACTCCTTCAACAGATAGTACGCATTATGTACATATGCATGATGACATTTGAGATAGGTTAGGTTTACTTTGAATACACACTTCACATAAAAATATTCCTTGTCACAAGGTCATTTCATTTCGAATCCTCAAGGTTTGTTATTATCCCCGCAAATTATTACTGTCAATTTAATTTACAGCCCCGTATTTCGTTTTCCAGTCGTTACTGCTAGACGCGTGCCTTTGCATGTAATATCCTGTTTTAGCTGAAGGATTAAATCACGGGCAATATAATAATACTAAAATGCTGTATGTGGAATGTAATGATGGTGATAAATGAATGGTCAATATTGACTTCACTTAGTTCTCCAGCCAGCCCTTGTACCAAATTTGCAATAAGATCTCGGCCAGATTTGTGGATTGTATTTCAGTAGTTATCGTCATAATGTAGTGGTAAAAAAGTAAATGCATATGTGTGGGAAGTGACACGTATTATGAAGTTTAGTCGTCGTTCATAGCAAAAAAAAAAGAAGCAAGTTGGATGTGATCCATCAACTACTACTGGTGTGACAGGGAAGGCGCAATAAAAAAGTATAACGACAGGTAATAATTGTTTAGCTAAATAGACGTTAAGGTGTCTATATAGTCATGTCATGTGGGATAACCATCCAACATCTCGTTCTCACTCATGTGGGTGGAAATTCTGCTGACGAACCAAGTTCACTTTAATTACTGGAGAAGAGAAAAGTTCTATAATTTTGTGCATGACATAATATTCACTATTCAGCTCCACCCAGTCTGTTGTCAATCCATTCTATCCATTAATATTATGATGACTGTAAACACGTTCCACTTTTTGCATAGTAAATGTGTATTTATTACATCCATATACTTGTAGCTTCGTTTGTGCAATGTTTCTTTGGACATTTGCCTTGAACTGATGAATATTGAGTGGCGAATAAATTATCGGCATTTCGGTTTGGTTGAATCGGTGGTGGTGGTGATGTGGCATGTTTCAGAGAGATATTCTGCACTCATCTTTCTACACCATCACGGTCTGCAATGTTATGTTGGGCGACGGATGCATTAAATTCGCTCATTCATGTCATCCGGAGAAGGAATGTTCACCATTTGGCGTGAGGTAGGGCTGGTACAGAATTCTCGTCCATTTCGTTTTTTTCCTAGGATTTATGTTGGTGATGATTATGGTTTATGGTGACAGATAGACGGACGAAGGTACTTGAGTCAAGGCCGTTTGATCCTCGTAAAACAGAGAACCTCGACCAACTCATTATGGGCAGGTCAATTTTATTTATTTTATCCTGTCGCACTTGCTCCCGTGTAATGTCTGGAGTTGAAGGTCTGCTTAATATCACTCTGATTTTGTCTCATTGAATTGAGGGCAAAAAAAATACTCGTGACGATATTGTGCTGATTGTTCCTAATAATGGTTGAACCCCTGCATCGACCGATCGATTTGGGCAGCCTTTTATCTAATTTATATGCTCAAAGTGCATATTTGGAATTATTGCATGGGGACAAATTCCTATCGAAATAATTTATTATGATGGTCGACATTTTTTTGTGGACGATTAACTCTAATTACACGCTGCATGAAAATAGGTACGTGCGCATAGGTTCTAGGAAAGCTCATTAATTAATTACAGTGAGTAAATGTGACATTAATTTTAGCTTGTGATAGCTATTTGTAAAAAAAGAAATGGCAGGAAGTTGGCAATCATTTCACATCTTCCAAACGAAGATTGAGTCGCAGATCGACATGAACGATAATTCCACGCTGGTCCATTGTTGTCGTCGTCGTCGTCCCCCATCCTATTTAAGTAATTGCCGGCACATGCATGTTGATTTAATAAGCATTATAATTTTATTACTTCCACTTGCTGTTGGCAATGGCTGGCGTATGGAGGCAATAAAATGTGTATTTATTTTGGTATGACATTTATAATTTTGTCTTGTGTGTAATAATTTCGTAATTTGAATTTGACCAATTGTTGTCAAAAGAATTTGTTAGAAAGTTTTCCTTATTGTTTTCCGTTCTTTACATTCCGCTTTAAAAATTGTTAGGAGACCACGAGGAGTGATGAACTATTGGATTCGGATTCCTTATTTGGAATTGCTTGGCGTCACTCCACTGACAACTGATTTCTATTAGCCCATTTACATCTTGAATTTGTTGTACTCGTTTTTAGTTAGTTTGCTTGGTCTTCTCGACTCGACAATGGAGGTGGCATTTTGTTTTTAAAAAGTACACATTCCAAGCACTTTTGTCTGATAAATCATCAGTTTTGTTACAAGTATCACGACGCAAATAACATGCGTACCGTCTCTCGAAAGATAATGCATTATTATTAACCACACTAATTTATATGGTGCGGACAACAATTAAGGAAATCGAGAGTGAAATTCTGGCACAAATTATTAATGGATAGATGACATCTACATAACTCGATAAGTTATTAACCGATCAGAAAGTGGATAAATACCAATAAGGTGTCCTTCCTCGGGCTGTTGAATATTCAAAAATGGAATCACATAAAAAATTATTGGTAAAAATTACTACAATTCAGATTATGAAAATATTAGCATTCTTATGGTCGAGTTGCTTTTAAATCATCAGAGAATTGATTGAACACTCTCGTCACGTAGTATTATTATTTTCTAAACTTTATTTGATGATACGCATCAGTACGCATTGCATTGAGTGAAAACCTTCTTAATCTCTACCAATTTGTCTGTGGGGCTTATTATAATGGTGACGACTATAGATTAGATATGCCGCATGGCTTGGATGTCCAAATATGGTCTACTTGATGGTGCTAAAAAACAAACTTTTCTTAAGTGTTGACAAGTGGGTTGACAGATTTCGGTTTCTGTATAATTGCACGCAAGATTAGAAAAAAACTTGTTCACCTGGCCTAGTCAATAACATGTTGCGTCTCACCACTCTCTTGATTTGACGACGACAAAGACTAGCGGAAGACGCTAATCTTGTTGCGTGATATTAGTGATAGTTGTGTGGCGTCAAGTAAATGTGAAACTTAATCTTGCGTGGATAATGTACCAGACACACACAACTGTGTAATGAGAACATAAAGTGACGCCGTTGTTGAAGATAATTTGGCTGATGATGACCATATTTGGGATTGACATTTAATTTTTTGTTTGTTTGTTTTATTTCTCAACAGAACGGGGGAGGATTCCCATTTGACAGTACACGATCTCGATTAGACCACGACTTTCCGGGAGCCAGACATCCAATGTTTACCATGAGACGTCCAGCGTGGGAGGATGATCCCTTTGGGGGAAATCCGTTCCATCGTGAAAGACACAACTCTGGATCATCCGGAGGAGGTGCGTCGGGTTCATCGACAGCTTCTACTGGGGAAGAACACATTATACCGATTCGGTGAGATTGCATTTTCTCATTAACATCATCATCAGTAATTTTTAACATGACATGTTTTGAACTTCAGGATTGAACGAAGTGATGGCACGTCGTCCCCCTCATCACACAACGGCCCTGCTCCAAATGCGCATGCAAAAGCTGCTGCGAAAGCAAATGCCTCAGTCCAACGGAGCAATCCCATTTCAACAACGCCGATCCCAATGCCTGCGCCAGAAGGAATGAGTATGAGTCCATCTCCGACACCAGATTCTCACATCAAAATGCATCATATTCCTGGACCCCAGAGAAGCTCTACCGATGAAGTAAGAAAATCGCCATCTCCGGGTCGATCTTCGCGTGCCCAGTCTGCTCCCCCTGATTCGCCCAACAATGACGGCCAAGGTTCTGGTGGTGGCAAAAAATTTGTCTCGAGCATCAACATTGAACCTAAAGTAGTGACGAACCACTCTGTACCTCAACCAACTCAATTGGGTGGAAAATGTACCAAAGAGAAAACCCCACCAAAGGTAGGAACTGATGGACGTCCAATCCCGATATTTGTGGAAGGACGTGGTCCCTCTGTAAACAACGGATATGGACCTGGTCCTGCCACTTCTCAAGAACATTACCAGCAAAACCATGCTGATCCTCCACAGCAACAGAAAGCATCTCGACCTGCCGAACCTCGTGAGGTTACGCCTCCACCAAAGAAACCTACTCCGCCCAAAGACCCATTGGAGAAAGTTGCAGATATTACTCAAGATGTGAACGAATTGAGTGTCAAAATTGATCAATTTACTGGGAAAACAAAGGACAAGGAGTTTTTATTCTTGGACGAGATGCTGACGAGAAATCTCATCAAACTTGGTAGGATTATAAATATGAACATATATAACTAATCCATTAAGACATATCAATCAAAGGTGTCCACGTAAATTTTTTTTGTATGCTTTACTCAACTTGATATTTAATATTTTATTTCAGATGTGATTGAGACTGAGGGCCGAGAGGATGTTCGTAACGCTAGGAAAGAGTGTATAAAACTGATCCAAAGTTGTATTGCTAAACTGGAATCCAAAGTTCCTTCTAACAACAAATCTGGAGCAGAGGAATCAAAGATGGATATCGATGACACTTCTTCAGTAAATCAACAACCTGATGCTGACAAAGGGGGAGAATCTACTGATAGTAATACCAGTCTACAAAACCCTTCTACACCATCCAAAACAAGTACCTCCGCAGAAACGGTCAAAGTTTCAGCATAGTTCAGATAGTCCAGCTAAATATTCGTATATTTTTATGGTAGTAGCTTAACGAATCACTTGTCATCACAGATTACCTTCAGATTCTGCCACCACTGTTTTAAACATTACTGCGATAGGTCAGTATTCGCCTTCAATTTCCTCAGCATTGTATTGCATATTAATTACTGATGTAATTTCTCGTCTTGTATAAGGTGGTTCTGTCGATTTCTCGTCTTGTATAAGGTGGTTCTGTGTTTAAACCTCATTGTGTTGTAATGATTTTGAGTGCTATTAATACTGCATGACCCAATTTATAATAAATAGTTTCTCGTATAGCATGCTAAGGAAAACTGATCAGTTTTAGTTTAATAAATACGTATAGTCAGAATAGAATGCAACAACTATGTATGTAAGAAAAGCAGTTTAGGTAAGCCATGGATGTCGTTCGAGTAAACTATTATTGTTATTATTTACTTCTAGCTTCTATATGATGATGAGGTCTCTTTACGGCTGTGATACACGTTTCACGGTAGGAAAAACTATATGATAGTACTTATTGCAAATATTGTTAATTTTGTTTACATGTAAATTACACGATTGTTGTTACGTTTAATAAGCTAAACTCATTTTCAGTTCAGGAATTTGTGTATTATTATTATTTATGTATCTCACCAAAAGGAGAAAGTATGTACGACCGGTGCCTCATACAACAACACTTATTGTTGCATCTCTCAGCTATTTGTTTTCATTTATTGTGCAGTGTAAATGGAATAAATTGCCAGTAAATCAATGTTGAATAAATATTTAAAGCGTGAATTATTGAGTGTTTGCTCTCTATTTTATTTCCCATGTGCATATTTTTCATTGACTTATAATTATCATATCACAAATGTTTTTATATTAACTAAAAATTACTTGCATCAAAAATGCTAATACGATATTATGATATATGCGATGAGCGATTTGACGTTGGAATATATATTAAAATTAGTAAATTAACAGTATAATTAAATAATTAATATAATATCATGTTAAAGACATGCACCAAACAATTTACGATAAAATATGGGGCCATCCTCAACATTTTGAAGCTTTCGACAAGTTATTTCGATGGCGTGCCCCTCCTCCACCTTTGCGTTTCCCAACAGGCTGTGATTTTACAACGGGAAGAGACTGGCTCATCATAAATCGCTTATCCACCAAATCCTTCTCCGAAGAATCGTCTTCCTTTTCATTATTATTCTTACTCTCGGAATGCAAAACTCCTTTCTTCTTGAAACCCACACTTTCCTCCTCCAGTTTGATGGTTAGTTGCTCCTCTAAATCTTCGTCGGTGTCATCCTGCGAGGAAACGTCATCCTGTGACGAAATATCCGACGGTTCTCCACCATACCCGCAATCTTCTGATCCAATTTCGTCCCTGTCCTTTTTTCCCATCACTTGAGACTGTCCTCGACCACTTTCAACAGCAAGGTCGATGAACATGGTGGCCTCATCGGAGGAGAGATTTATCGAGGCGGCGAGGGCCTTTAAGTCATCAATCATCCATTTCAAGATTAACTCGGCCCCTTCTTTCCTCTCGGGAACGACTCCGGCATCCACGGCAATTCCAAATCTCATTTTCTCTCCGTACGACAAGAACGAGACGGAAACCCCTGAGTAAAATAAAATAAAATATAAAGTCATTCTAGAGAAATAGCATCTACCAACTCACCTGAACTGCCCACATTCGGCAGCCAAAACATCGTATCGACCATAGGATAGCCCCAGATTGTAATGGGTTTAGTTGGCCCTGTTAAAGAATTATGTAACCTTTTAATAGGCCATAAAAAAAATAAGCAATTAAGCCAGTTTATGTACCTGGTAGATTAGAAATGACCAAGGTGCACTGCTTATTGACTATCAACCACCTCGAGAAAGCCACGTTGAACACGCAGAGCAAATCCATGAGAAAGAGGTTGAGGTAGCAATGTGGGGACATGCTCATTATTCGGTTCTGCTTCTCAATTTCACGACATCGTTCCACCGTTTTTGACTTTTGCAACTCCAGTGGGAGATAGACGATGGAGAACTTGTTGACGATCTGGTCACTCGGGTGGTTGGGGGCAGGTACTGGAATTATGGTGTGGATGTTCTTGGGGAGGTCGGACTCCGCGACGCCCTAATTTAATTAATTAAATATTACTGAATTTTTACACCAGGACTTTCTCCGTAATAATGCAGCTCATTTTAGTTTACCCGACTTATCATGTACCGACGACAAGCAGAACTCAAGGTGTTTAATAAAATGGTATTCATTCCGCATCCCAGCCTGGTTTTGAGTTTCTTGAGCCACTTGACATTTACGGGTTTCGCCCAGGCGTGAACTTTCTCCCCACTTAGAACCTAGTGTATTAAATCATGTACGAATATTTCACTACAAATATATTCGCACGCAATAATTAATAATATTATTATTATTCAAACACTAATATTCTTACCAAGTCTGGATTGTGAAGAGGATTATCGTCCATGAAGATCAACTCGCTGTAAAAAGCTCTCGGAGTTTTGAAGAAGAGGTACAACCAGATACAGATCTTTTTGAGCCATGGATTTTCTGGTAGTCTGTGGGGTGGGACGTAGTCCTCCTGATTCGCACCCGCCATGTCTCGCATGACCAGTTTTAAAAATGAAAACCCGTCCCCCAGACCGTGACTGATTCGGACGAGAATGGCGAATTTCTCATCCGCATTTTCCACATTGCCTTCTTCATGTTCGTAATGAAGTTTTGGGATCACGATTATTTCCCAGAGACTTCTCCCCTCTTGAAATTCCGTATTTGAGTATTTTGACACAATGTCCAAGAGTTCGGTTTCCCCGATGGATTTGCTGGATTCGTCAAGCCCTTCGGCAAAACGGACGTGGTGGTTGATGTCCAACGGTTTTGAAGGTCGCCAGCAACTGTGAAGATGCAATCATTAAGTACATTAGTCAGGTAAACTAATAACAATATTATCTAATAAAAAATTCATTCTCTTACTAAAAACCTCCTCTGATTTCCAAATACTGGTGGAATTTGGGATGTGCCAATTTTCCTGTTGCAGGATTAATTTTGCGAGCCGTTTGCTCCACCCTTTTTCTCAATTCTGCAATGTCACACTTGCCTCGGAGAACTTTGAGCGATTTTATAATTTGACGAGATTCTGGCGTGTCCAAGGATCCTGTCGAATCAGCTCCGGTTGTAATGTCGCCGAGTTCGCCGTAGCAAATTTTCATGTACCATTTGACCGACCATCTCCAAAGGACGCTAAAAACGAGTTAATCGTAAAAATAACATGCATTTATTGCAAAATATTGAGATACAATAAACTTACCAAAGTGCGTATGGCTGGCTGACAAAGACGAGCCAAAAAGTGGTGAATAAAACCAGTATCCAATCTTCAATGTGTGTCTTCAATTGTCTGAAAATGCATATTCTAAATCATAACAGAATTTGCTACACCTTCCCCGTCAATATTCTCCATGCGAAATTTTAGACTTTTATGACTTACCTCACACCGGAAATAATCTGATCGTAGAATCTTAAAAAAGTCTTGGTGGCAATCACAGCGGTCAGAAGCGGAGTCAGAGTGGCACAAATGTAGATGGAAAAATCGGACAATAGTTGCTCCATTTTCATGCAGTGAGATGATGACTATTCGAAATCTGAGATACCTTAATAACACTTTCGAAAATAGAAATCCTGACAAACAATTATTGTTTTTGTTGAAATTTTTACGAACTCTTTCAGTTAACCTCGTGCGAAATTATTGTAAAATGTTCTCGAGAAATCCTTACAATCCATGGTTTGATAAAAAATTCACAAAAATGGTAAAGCTGCACCTGATTTTTGGCAATGTATTCGGATTTTAGGTAATTAAGTAACAAAGAAAAAATGCACGTTTTCGAAGACCAAGGTAGACAAAGAATGACCCCAAGCTGTCCAAGTCACGCGTTATTATTTAGTTAGGAACACAGTTGAATGCACTAAATTGAGACCACTTGTAGCATATCTATTATTGATTTATTTAAGCTGGCACGAGTAGTCTGTTGTGTTGCACTTAAGGCACTAATTTATAACAATTTACTTTAAACGAAGTTTAAATATATGTAAAGCAAGGTGTTAATACTGACAGTAGAAAATAAGAGTGGATGAAAATGTGCTTAATAAACGTGTAGCGTGTTGACCGCTCTTAAGTCAAACCTAAATTAAGTATGTACATACAGCTTCTCGAGTACCATTTTGCGCTTGGTTAAGCAGTGCCCCCCAATTTACCACCTCCACGTCGTATAATAGTTTAGGATTAGTTTAGCTGCAAAAGTTAAATAATAATTATTATATCTTTATCACATGCTGACCCTTGCCGTTTAATCGCGCTGTGAACAAGAGAACTGAATAAACTGCAGCAAAATATGTATGCATTTATTTAATAAGTACTGCAGTAACGGAACAAATAAAAATGCAGTTTGTTTCGTGTCAAGTCTAATGAGGAATATAATTGCAATTGCTTATTTAATTAATTTTGCATTGGATTTCATTGCATTTTCATGAAAAGTCGTCATATTGTGGCGTGAATCTATAATTCCCACATATAGAAATTCTATAATAGAATACAGCACTGCATTTTGATAGCTTACATTTTTCAAGGTATTTTAAGTTCATAGTGCTCATTCTCACATCATTTTCAGTAGTTTTTATCCATTAAAAATACTTACTCACCCAAATTAAACCGTCAACGACAACCTCGTTCGAGAAAGAGAGTAGTATTTTATTAAAAATTATATAGCATTATGTATCACGACTGATCTTGGTGATCTGTAATTGTGTCGGTTGAATTTGGTGATGGCACGGTACGGACTACGGAATGCGTGATAACGTGTGCCGTACATACATTCCTACATCCACGTGTATACAAATTACAAGTTGTATAATTTATTAAGTCAGTAGACCGGAGCAATTATGCGTGTACAGGAGCAGGCCGAGGCTCAGAAGGGGTTTGATTAAACACTGCAGTCTTAAATATGAAATTGAGAAATATCCGGTGGATGGATATCATGAACAAAAAGCTGATAAAGATGGTGTTATAAATTATGAATTTAACGTTGCTGTTTGTATTTATTGTGTAGCAGTGCATCTGTTTTTTGAGGTGATCATTTGCATTTGAACTCCTCAATTAATTGCACATATTCGACCTTGTGCACGGGCTATGAACTGTTAATTAAAAAATTCAGACTAACAAATTTTGAAATATTTGCCATCCATGCAAATCATGTTGCCAATTATTTAAGTGTTAACTTAACTTGATCAAGTTGAACCTAGTTTGAGAAGGTACTTAAAAGATGCATTAGTCGTTTGAAGCCGTGTCCTTGGTTTTTGTTCGTGATTGCCTTGTGTCTGTACACTTTTAGGCGATCTCTCACACACTCCTCTCAACGATTATGAAATTGTTTTAATAAATTGTACAGTCACAGTTGACAGACTTTCATTTTGCATTGATTTAATATGTAGTTGGGTCGTTGTGAAATAGCTGTAAAGTCGGCAGATTCATCTCTAACTGTTGTGGTGAATCACAATTTTAGGAAGACAAGAAAACCGTTTTTGTCCAATTCTCCTTGAGTCACAATAACAATTTTTTGTCATCGGGATGGCTGGGTTTGGGGAGTACAAGATGAGTAGTAATTACATGATTAAGCGATTTTTTAATGTCAAATTGTACCTTTTTGAGATGATATGTATTACATACACTCCGGTACTGGAGTGTGTGGTAGAATAACTGTATTTTAAATCTACACGCAGTTAGTGCGTGTAGATTTAATTTTTTAACAGCATTCGAGATGCATTGTGCTAAAATAATTACTTAATCTTAATCGTACCCTGGACAGGAAAAAATTTCCCTGTTATATTTCCTCCCATGAAACTATGTATGCAGATATTTCAAGTTTTAAAAGTGATATAATTCTCGCAAATTATCAAGTTCAACAAAAGCTTGACATGTAATGTTGTATGTAACGAGATCTGTCCATACTAAATAATGCAAGAGTTATGAAAAATGTCTCAACCATAGTTATCAAAATGTTGGTCATTTATGTTTTTGTACTAAAACAATAAAGCATGGAGGAAAAGCTTCCGGGTTAAAATACAATTAAAATAAGTAAAATATTTGAAGTAATTGACTTTACACTAAGATTGTAACGGGAAATACACCTTTCACACATTAAAAAAAGTAGCATTGTCACTTGCTCATCCTCCTGGAACACCATATTTTTTTACCAACGTAATCATATACTCGTCATATTTACAAGGGTCGGGCCACTGTAACGCCTATGTAAGTGTCAAATAATCCCACGTTATGAAAATTGAAATTTTTGCAGTTTCTTTTACATCAATGACCATGTCCATATTATAATCTTAGTTACAAACTGCAAAAAATTAAAACCTCCTGGGAAAAGCGTGAGCTTCCGTATTAAACACCCATTGATCGAGTTGCATCAAGTCAGGTGTGCTGAACAATAGATAAAGGAAACATTACACGAAATCTTGTAACAAATTTCCCATCTTGTAAATGTCTTGATAATGAATAGCAGATAGCATTCGAAATATTGACAAAATAAAGCAAAACTTTTTCTTCGACTTTTCCACTTAACTCCGTGTAATCCAATTATTATAGATAAAGGTACTGCAATACATATAAATTAATATTACCGTACATTTCTCAGCTTATATACATAATTTCAACTTAACTATTATATTTACCTTGAGAACTTCAGCCAAAAAGTACGTCTGTTGCACGTCATCCTGTTCCGGAATATTTTGGTAAACATCCACAATTCCCGACTACCCTTTACCTGGGCCGGCCTTGCAATATCTTTCAATATTCTGGGCAATTTCCCACCCCCAATCTCGATACTTTGTGTCCCCCCTGATTCTGAAGAGGATCACAAAAGTCTCGATAAGCTCGGGTCTCAATTTCCAATCCCGATCCGTTTCAGAGATTCCGACGGCTTCCTCGTCTTCATCAAATCTAAATCTTACTGGACCTGAGAGAAATAAATCGAATGCACATTTGTCACTGCTCTATCGTGATTATTGAGTGAAAAATTCTACCCAATTTTGGAACACTTCGAAGATATGACTCGTAACATGTATTTGTGAAATTAATTGCGAGTTGCATATCCCTCGTTGCATTTGGGTGTTCGCTTCCCATCCAATAAACTCCCAATGCCAGCATTCCACCTGCATCAACATTTTTTACATGCATAAAAGATTTGGAAATATGTATCTTGCAAAACTATTTTTATACCGGCAAAACAAGTCAAATGATGCACCACAGGGTCAGCGGTGCCATTAACCATTTCAGAATTGTATTCAAGATTACTTGGACTTGACGTTTGGATTAAACCATTGTCAAAAAAGGCGTTTATTGAATCGTAGTACATTTGTAGCCCTAAAGTATCTGGAAGTCCGGTTTCAATATATGATTTTAAAAAGTACTCAAAAATACTGTCCGTGGGTGGTCCCATTGATCTGAGAAAATAAATCATAATCATGCACCAAGGTCTTGTATAATTTGTGTTAAAAAAATCATGTAAATACCGGACGTCCACTCTCCAGTAATGACATTGAGTTCGCTAGGATATAAGCCATTATATGGTTTAGGGACTTGATTCAAAAAATTTCGGATAACATCCACCCTTTGCCGATAAGTAGGATTTCCAGTGATATCGGTCAGATAGTTGTATTCCAGGTGTAATGTAGCAACTTCTGCCAAAAAGTTTTTCTCGTTAGTTCGATTTGGTTCCTAAAATGATTGATATAAAAATTCAAGAGGTTTTCAATCCAATAATTCATCAAAAGCTATGCACAACACAAGAATGGTACCCCAGTCAAAATATTGATATGACGATATGGTAAACCAGTAGGTGTGTCAAAAACTGGTTGCAGTAAATCCGTTAGTTGAACAACTTTCTTCAGAAATACGGGATCATTCGACAACGCGTATGCACTCAGAAGACCTCCCATGAACCGAATAGTTGCTTCGAATTGAGATATGGAAGCATCCTTAACACCAAATCAAGGTCATTGCGCATATCTTCATCATCTAATAAATATCATCCTAATTTGCATATTACCACATTCCAGTCCAGCTCGTCACGCACAAAATCTCTCGCCACAGTGAATTCTTCCATCATTTCCATAATGTACAAAGTATCCAATGAATCCACTATCGTGCACCCTACCTTTGCTCCTCCAAAGTGATTACCTGGTTGGCCTACCTCGCTAATCGGTTTCAATTCGTTTTCGCCCCATGCTTTCTCCACGTAGTGGTCCCATGCATCTTTCATCATCTGAAATGTATTCGAATCGCGAGTTGTAGAAAAATTGTATTAATTTGCAATTCCTCTCTTTTAACCTGCTTCACGAAATCCCGTCTTGCACGAATTACGGGGTCGGGATCTTCACCGCCTTGGGTTAGGACGGGTTTTACGAATTGTTGTGCATTTATAGAAATTGTGCAAATTATCAGCAATATTATGCATATCATCGACCAAAAGGGAAATGACGCCATGCTAATGAATTGATAATGACAAAGTTTTCTATTAGTTTCAATCCAAGCGATGCCTCCTAAACCAGAACTGAGCAGAATAAATAAATAATTCAAAATATGTAGACCAATTGATGGTGATGCAGATTAACATCTTAGTTTATCGTGTGTGATGATCATTTTTTTGCTATTGGATAATTATTTATCGTGACACGGGTAAAATATAAAGATTGATGGAGGATTAAATTATGCATGTCCCATTTCACTTGATGTTTATTAATAACAATTGTAAAACGTACAGATAACAGAATCAGCAACAAGGACTATTTGGCAATTTGATAAAATATGTAACCTTTTGTAATAATTTTTAGGTGTGTCTCAAAAAAGGAAGGATTTGTAACGCAAATTCAAAGAGAAAGTTGACAAAAGTGAAAATACATGTATTTCGGATTAAAATCAACCTCAAAAATAAGTTTTCAATATCAATTTAATTCTGTTTATTACCGGATTCATGTTTTTCTCCACACAAAAAACAACACAATTTTGTGTAATTATGTATCATCAATGTAAAGTATATTTAATTGCATACTTTTTTAAATAAATTGTTTTGCATAGAACATCATTGTTTGATAACAAACTGATAAATATAATCTTGCAATATTTATGTATGTAGCTTCTTTCTTTACAAAGATATTTGTGTGTATAAGAGCGTCGTGTAAGTGCAAGTCGATTCAATTTAAAAAGAACAAAAATAAGTTGAATAACGCAGATATGGAAGTCATATCATATTTTCGTGTTTGTATTTAATTATCATAGTAATTTAATGAGATGAGATTTACTGGGTACAAAAAACTGTCCTCGTCCTTCTTAAAAGGACATTTTTATCATAATGTTTCCACCTTTTACATTAATTAACTACTGCATATTTATCAATAATTAATAAAGTTATTAATCATAATATGGCCTGACTAGGACTAAGCAGCTACAAAATATAATTTCCCTACTTGCTAAGGACAAAGACAATAAAATTACGGAATAATTATACGTAGTAATTAATTACTAGAGCAGTTTTAGGGCTTATCATCATCAAAGTAAATTTAATTAACAATATTATCAGCCAATATTGAACATATTTATGTAGCATAAGTTGAGGAATATAAATTTCAGCGACGATGAAATATTTGTCGAAACGAACGCCGGTACAATTATACTTTTATTATTGCCTCCCTCTAGTCTTTCAGCTAAATGTGTGTCTACTATTATCATCAACATATCAACGTCTTTACTGTCTCAATTTTCCCTCTAGGAGGAAATTACAACTTTCTCAATCAATAATTTGTATGTATGTATAACATTTAGGTCAAAGTCTCACTTTCATTTCTAAGCATTCAATATCAGGATGGGAACAACAAATTGGTTTTCGTTACAATTAATCGTAGGTTAAAAACCCACCTCCAGAGATGACCGGTCATCCAGTCAGTTTTTAAAAAATTCAGACGCCTTTGTATTGTACTTAACGATTAACAATGAGCTGAGCTGCGTGGTTGGTTTTGTCGAATTATCATTTTTTTCTTCTTCTAAAGGGCTACAGTAAATGCTGAACAGAACGGTTTTTGTAAATAATAATAAATATGACTAAATGTGGAGTACGCTTTTTTGTTTCGTTTTGTTTTGCATTTTGTTTGTAAATAAATATGTAAATATTGACTAAATTGTATACGAGGAGAAAGTATAATCGTAAAAATGGGTCAGACTACAAACATTACGAATTCAATTTTTTGTTTGGACAAATGTGTATCTTTGTAAAAGTGGTGGCATAATAAATATGTAAATATGACACGAAATGATTATTTTAATTATTATTAGATAGTTAATTCATAACTTTCTGACTCTTTGCATAGTTGCGGTTAATTAATTAACTGCTATTTAGGTCCTGACTGGATTGGATTTGTTGTAAAATATTATTGTGCAAAAATTAAGCAGTTACTTAGCTGAGGAATGGCCGCTGTTTAAATGGAATGAGATAATTAATAATATCGCTAATTATATCGCTGTTTCTTCGTAAAAAATGGGGGAAATATCGTCAAATAATTAGCGGACGTACAGGAAAATTAATTCCGATTCAAGAAGAACAAGAAGAAGGATACGTTTTAAAACGCTGTAGATTTAAACTGACTAAGAATAAAAATCTTTAGCTTTTCTTTCAGTGAGATAAGTAAGTATACATATTTATAGACGCAGTCTATCAGAAATTGAGTATGGTTGGTGTTTCCTGTAATATTTAATTTAATCTGGAAATTTTTTGATGTGTGTGTTAAAGAGCAATAGAATAACGAAATGAACAGCTTTTCATTTGTAGCATGAGTTATTTGACACTGTTTGGTCAAAGAGAGATTAGATTTTAGATTAGAATACTTTTCTGCAACAAATATTAGTTAATTATTACGTAGTTAGCTAACAACACCTGTTAGTTAACTATTGACTGTCCATCATCATCTCACGTAACGTAGGTACATCCTCCTCCAGCTAATAAATGTGTATACAATAGTGTTGCGTGTGTGGTACTTTCTGTTCATCTCATCATGTTTCGTTCGTCGCTGTCCCCTCAGACAGAAGAACAACGAGTTATAAGTCTTAAAGTAATCAAATAGAGCAAATGACTGAAGAGACTTGGTTTGATTATTTGATCATCGTTTAGTAGAAATCGTTCGCTTCTAAGGTTTTGCATCCTTTGCTCAAAGTCGCGTACTGGCCATGGTTTGGTCTAAATATACATATTTAATATTAGCTTAACTTATATGAATAAGTGAGATATCAACGATAAGTTTCCTCCTCTCACCCAACGACGGCGTGACCCATGGTGCTTTCCCCCCTGTAATATCCCCCCGGTGGCATTGTCCCATTCCTGTACCTGTGAATTTTGAGAGAAAGCAACCGTCAGTATGAGTGGAAGTCTGCCGTTGTGGGAATGGGCGGACAATGGGGCCGTATGTTGTGAGAAAAGAGAACAAAATGTAAGCTGAACAATTTCCAGACAAGAATACTTTACGACACAGAAAGGTCCCCATTGACACGCCAGAGAGAAAGAGGTCTACACAGAAAGAAAGAGATAGGAAAGTTTGTAGGAAGCACCCCCACCGTCACCTCTCAGAGAGAAAATCATAAAACAACTTTTGTGTGAGTACATAACTATGTGTGTTTGCTTGTTATGAAATTGTGGACAAAAATCATAAGTGTTTAGTTACAAATAAAATTATTATAAGCATAACATATATTTTCATGCACTTTCACTCCTTCACACACGTACACATGATAACGAAACGATTTATTCATACACAAACAAAATTAAAAACAAAAATTCGTCACAAATCAGCCAAAATCTTGCATTTCACAATAAAACAACGACAAACAACATGCAAAAAACCAGTGCACATGCTAACAATACAAAAACACGATAAATAACCATATATTTAAATTCCATTCAAAACAAGATGTTCGTAGATAATATCCCAGTGTTAATTGTCATATGTTTGAGCAAGTGAAAGCTGAAACGCGTCATGTTATTTACAGTTATTAGTAGATAAATAAATTATGTAAAAAGCGAGAGCACGCGTAAATAAAGTATGTGTTTGAGTTACGAAATCTGATTTGCGCGTAGAAAAGTAGTTTTTGAGGCAGAGAATGGACTAAACAGAGTGACATTTTCGAAAAGTTAAGATTTTCGGAAATATTGGGGGAATGAAAAAAGGTTTTAGTAGTACAAAGGGGTGGTGGTGGGTTGCGTGTCCCAATTTGAAACTATATTATAAGGCGAATTTGACCCCGCGCCTCCTGAACGACGTCCTCCACGACCTGTGCTCCCCGTACCGTGACCGTGGGCATGACTATGACCTCCGTCATAAGACGAGGGAAGGAATGCTATCTCTTCTTTCTGCAAGTACCTCTTCCTGTTATATTCCCAAAATTGGTTAAATTCCAATCAACACCCTTTTCCCAACCTAATTCGAGTTCTGAATTCAATGGTGCAGACCTTCGTTGGATGTAAATCCATGTATGAGAGTCGAATCCGACTAACAGGGTGAAAAGCAGGGCCGTCGCCAAACCTGACACGAGGAGAAGGGCTAACCCAAACAGACTCGTGCCGCAAACCCCCTCCACACCCTTTTTCCAGTGCAAATGAGTGGGCTGACACTCACCCCTTGCTGCGATCTACGGGGACATAAATTAAGGAAAAATAAGTCCCAAAGTCCCACTTACACTGTTAGAAATCTCGTATAGTCTGACAGGGATCGACTTCTCGGTATTCAAGTTGGTACCCACTTGGTACATATTAAAATTATACCGATTACACAGTAAAAATTTGTTACCGATATGGTAAAACTTTACTACCGAGCTATTACTACAGGGTATTACTTGTCACGTAGGTATTCTCGGTATTAAAGTTGCTATTAAAATTATACTGGTCAATAAAAATTTGCTACTGATTTAGTAAAACTTTAATATTGAGTACTCGGTAATACTTATCAATACCACTTGGTAGAGTCATATAAATATGAATAATAATACCCCTTGGTATTAGTTTAATACTGGATTTCTAAGAGTACACATACTCCTCCTCCCTGGATCCCCATAAATAAATATTTAGCCTTGCCAACTTTCCCCGTAAAACAGAGTCATCCCAGATTTGCATAAAATCGCCCCTAAAAACTTTACCTCTTGCAAGTACGCCTCGACATTGTACAGTTCGCGGAAGAGCCCATCAATAATTGTGTCGACATCGCCCGACGGGTAAACCTCGCTCGTAATGGAGTTGATGACTCGTAGCGTGTGCTGTGCGCCGGCCAGAGCTGTTTGACTGTCGAGCACAGAGTTGTCGAAAGTGTCCGTCTTCCCATAAATCGGTTTATTTAGCGAATGTACAGGCTGGACCAGCTCGTGCATGGGGTCTTCCAGCAGATCAAGCATTTTGGGCTCACAATCCTAAATAGAGCAGAGATTATTTTATCTTATCTTCCCAAAAACTTGCTTTAGAAATAATTATTTTGTGTATCTGCGAGCAATGAACTTTGGCATTTGTTGCTCTTACCAAGTAGTAGCTCGAAATTTCTGGAGATATTGAACGACCGATGGATAATTCTGTTACGGCTGCTCGTGTCGGATTGACGCAGATGTCAGCCAGTGCCTAAATAAAAGTAATATCGAGTTTATTATTAGTTTGGGTTGACACATTTGTCATAGGATCGATTTTTTCTGTCAGTCTGGTCGAAGCTACATGCATGTACATGGAATATCTATATATGTTGCTATTTCACTTACCACAGCACTGGCCAAGTAGAAGGATACCAAACACCAATTCAAAATCACGGCTATGAGACCTAAAAATAACAGAAAAGTAACATCGTAGTAGCCAAATAATACGTAAATACACCTTGTGCCTTGGCAGGCTTATCTTTAGTTAATACTCACCTAAAACTGAGAATCTGTGAACAGATAGAGAAAGATCCAATTAGTCTCGAAAATAGGATTACCGACGGGATGATGAAATTAGCGGGATGTGACAGCCCACGTAATTCCATTATTATTAGCAAAGTGAAGGAGCGGACTTACGTGATAAAGCAGCAACGAGAGTGACGAACAATGGCGTAGAACAGGATAACGCAAAATATAATAAAGATTATCAAGAGTGCCAGGGTTGTGGGCCACCTAACAAAAGACATAAAAAATATTTTTATTCCGAAGAAATGTGCGAATATGGAAGAGAAAGCAAGCATTCATTCGACTTTCTCTGCCTGGCATTATCCCAAAAACTGAAACACGGTCTACTGGCGTCTTGACAAATGATTAGTTACATGCTCCATGTTCCTGGAAAAGGATGATGATTCTACATACTTATTTCTCCCCCTTCTTCCCTTCTTTCTCAACCCATCCTGCCAAACTTTCCAAGCAAGACGAACAAGTTTCCCATATAAAAACCTCATCCTTTTCCAGCCACGCTGGGACTTTCACCGTGGGGAAAATAAGTTATGAATTTTCTGGAAAGTATAAACTCCTCGACGTACCTAATCGTCTCAATCAGTTGAGTTGTTGAGTGAGGGGAGACTTGTATTAGCTGAAAATCAATCAGTCCATAAACCGTTAGTAAAGGGTCAACATTCCCAAATATTTACTACTCATGTACCTCATCAAAGTAACGGGCTAACGTTCTCGCATTGTCCAGCGTGCTGGTCATGTTCTGTTCCATGTACGTCATCTGAGCTAGCAATTCCACATGAATTGTGTTATTCGGCTGAAATACAGAGTACACAAAATTCACTTCATGGTCATCATATTGCTAAAATAATAATTCTTGGCGTGTGGGCGAGTACGCATATCTATATTCTTTGGATGGATGGATGGGTATGTATTAATTGAGGCCTTAACATTATGCGGGTTTGGACGAGTGGCCTCGACGCAATTTTAATGAGAATAGACACCGACCGACGGACTGATTGATGGTCTATCCGTCCGTTATATTTAGTATGAGGGCATATCATATCTTTAGTAGAGCTGTCAACAAGGAACTTGATTAACTTACCAGTGGTCTTTCGAATACGACTCCCAGTTGGGACATGAGAGGAAACACTCCCTCAGATATCGAAGATTGAGCTTCTAAAGTCTAAAGGAAGAACAAGTTCAAACAGAATTTCATTAGTTGTTTGTGGGCTTTCTAGCTCGCTCTCTTAATTAGATTCATTCAAAGTGGAGGAGCCTGATGAAACTTGGACAATCTACTTATAGCTGCTAGACATTTCTTCATAAATAAATTAATGCAGAGGCGGGGAACTTATATAGAGTGCAAATTCTGATGAAATTCATCGAGCGGTGGTGGCGTGGTGGTAGTGATTTGAATCAAATCCCACTGCGCGTTGTCTTTTAAATGAAAATCATGATCTTGAATAAATTACTTTTATCATTTCATGACAAATGTATAAATATGAGAAGTGGGTATCATTTCATTGCAACAAGTTTGTCCTGATACGAGGGAAGGAGCCTTGAAAATGATACGGTCGTGTACATACGTGCCACAAAAGTTAAAATTGTAAGTCTGCATGGAGGGATCGAGAGAAGTAAAATTTGTGTTTACGACTCTTCACAGCTCATTATTCCATCGTTCGTTAACTAAAATTTAGAGTTTAACATTCTGAATTTCTGATATGCTGCTCGAATATCTGAAAGTACTTGGCACATTTGTGGGATCAAATTTCTCTCCCTAAAACCAAGAAGGTTTCATATCTCATCCTCACCGAGGATTCCTCAGATAATGAAGAATATTAACGCTGAGATAAGAATTAATCGCTGCATATCATGCCAGGAACAGAACTTAGAAAAGTTTACGACTTGGCCTTAATGTAAACAAAAGTAATGTTTTTCTGAGAAATATTTTGTCTTGCAGTTTATATTGCATTTTAGTTTAAATTAAACAAATCCTGATGAAATTTCTGATATGCACCTATCTATTAATACCTTACAATATCTTTCGATAACAATTTGTAGAGAAAATTCTAAAATATGTATTTATGTAGAATCATGTAAATTACCTGATTTTTAACGAAATCAAAGTACGCTTGAATATTCCTCAACGATGAGACAAATGACTCGATCCTGTGGGGCATGAAAAAATACGTATTTTATAAATGAAACAATAAAATAACTCATATTTTATAAATAAAAAACCAACCCGTTATGAAAATCGTCATTCCCATACAAACCGAGTCCGATGGCAGCACTATAAAGAAATCGATTTAAAAAATCATTACAATTTACAGAATTCGATGCATATTTTCTCAAATTTTTCTTACCAGCACGTAAGCGCAAGAAATCCTAACAACACTTTAAGACAAATTAAGGGTCTATCTCTCTTCGCATGTCGGTCACAACATCTCGTGAGCAAGTATAAGAGGAGGATCAAGAGGAAAAATATAAGCAGGAGGGCCGGAAGACAGGCCAAAATTCCCAACGATTCGACATAAACCTCGTTTCGCCAATCGAACGTGGAGTTGACCCGATGACCCGTGACATTCACGTGGGGGAAACGATGGAAAAAACGGGCCAACCAAGGGGGCAACCCTTGCGGATAAACTTTCCCTAGTCCACTATTGCTACTCGACATTCCTCCACTGTTCATCATCATGATTACAGTTAGTTCTTTTTGTAAATTGTCTCGTTTGAATTATTAACTATTCCCCACACTAATAATTGCATGAGATCTTTCAGGTTTGCACTCAGACTCTGTCATTTTCCGGAGATTTTGGCACAGTATAAAATATCAGCAGCAGCAGGTTTAACTTGAAGCAGGTCACTACAGAAATTAAGAAGGATTTACATTTTACACAAATTTTGTGTCGTGGCGTGGAAGTTACACGAATTTTAGACGATGTATTAGTAGTTGGGAAAAGAACTTTTAGGTAGTTTAGTAATGTAATGTCACATTCTTCTCGAAATTCAAATTTCAACTATGCACGATCAGTAATGAGTCATTCCGAATGGATCCGTCTTATCCTCCTAGGGAGCGGACTGGTTAGTTCTTAACGTGGCGTGGTACTGACTCAGATGTCCTTTAAGATGTTGAATAAAGGGTGATGATGATGCTGCTGGTGATGAATGAATGAATTGAATAAACATCGTCACATTGCGAAATCCAGTGTAATAATAAGAAGCGATATCGTATAACGTCTCAAATGTATGTACAGTTATAATCGCAATTTGGTTAAGTTAGTCACCAACTAGTAGAATTATTTATTCGCATTTTGCAATAAATTGCCTCCGCTATAAAACTCATTATTATCGTCGTAGTAGCCATGCACTCACTCAATACTAACTCTACTGTCTTGAGACACTTCTTATCTGGTCTAATTTTACAACATGGTTAAAGTTAAACGACTGTCTATTGGAACAATGGACAATGCGTGTTTTATGGTTATTTCCGTCGCATCGGTCGTACCCTCTCAAGTAACTGGATCTATCTCGTCGTCGTCGGTGTTTCGCGTCCAGGATGGAAGACGAAGGACGGATGTCTCCCTGTGAGAAAGGACTCTCGCACACAGAGCAGATTATTTGAGAGACTGACGAATTCGGGTTGGATTTCAGCGGAAATCAATAGTAGAGGGCCACTCCTTGCTGCCCCTTCTTTCTTGCGCACCCACCACACACACATTGCATATAAGCACTTGAGCCGCTGCTTTCTATCCCCGTTGCATTATTACACATACATGAATACCACTTTTGTTACACAGCAGAGAAGCAGCGTCTGCTTAAAGAGACCCGTCCGTCCATCTGGCCGACTCGCTGGATTCAATAGAGATACGGCTAAAAGAGGTAGAGAGAGAGAGATCTGCAGAAGAGTAGTACATCTGTACGTACGCTTAAATGCTTTAGCACGTTAGTTCAGGGAGCATCATGATCATGGAGAGAGAGAGCAATAACAACAACACATAAAGTGCTGTGGGTAATGTAATGGCTATAAAAGAGCAGAAAAGATATTGCCACATGTAGTACAATGGATTGGATGGATGTAAAAGGTTTTTGTACGCGGAGGTTTCCCATTCAGCGGAGATGATAAGAGCTTTAGTACGAGTAGTAAAAGGGAGAAAGTCTTATCAGAAACATTGGATTGGATCTGCGTCCAATACGCGAGCAGGATTTGGCAGAACAGAGTGGAATTGGAATGCGACATTATTATTCGGCCATTATTTTGACTTGGGTGACATTTGTGATATGCCTTTGTTCCAATTATACGACTTATATGAAATTGTTATTTGATTATGTACATACATTCCTCAGGCTTTATTATGATAACGTGCTGTATATATTTACTTATCTGTACGTGGTTTTAACTGTCCTTCTGGGCTATACGTTATGTTACGTATTCATGAAGATTGTATTCATGCATTGTGAGATGATTTCTTTTTAATGACCGTTTCGACTGTCACCCGTTTTTGCGAGGTCCAATTAGAAGATGCATAAATCGGGCGTTTGCTAGCATCCCATTAGTCATGTCGTGCATCCATCAATGTCTGACTTTTAATGCATTAATATTATGCAATTTATCTCTATTACTAAATAGATTCAGACAGAGCTTCCAATTGCGTGTCACATTGCAACTCTAGAAATTGGCCGAAGCCATTACGAGGAATACATACATACTTCAACTATTGTGCTATTATGCTATGAAAATATGTGCAGTGGGTCAATAGTCCATAAGCAGATAAAATGAGACGCTAAATAAATGCATTTTTGATAAGAGACTCAAATAATAAACATGACATAAAACCTAAATCAACTCTCTCTCTTTGTGTCCATTCGTCAGTGGGAATTCCTATTATGCATAAAACCCAGGTCCAGTTCCAGACATTTTTATATCCGTTGGAAGTAATAAATTCATGAGAATTTATACATTCGGAGGAATATGATACATAAATGCAGTCACTTTTATTACATCACTACTTTCATGACCTATAAGGATTAATGCATTTTATGAAATGTGATCCGATCAAAAATCACATACGTCGTAAAAAAATTTACCTTTCCATTCGACTTCAAATTAACCTGAAAAAAAGGTTTGCATGCAAAAAATGTACATACATGATTAAGTAAAAAGTCCTTTAAACACGGAACTGACATGATTTTCCCCTCGCTAAAAAAGGAAGCACATTTTTGGGTAGTCATTATATTCCCAAACTTTTACATATACCACTGCTACTCACAATACTACCAGTTGATACGGGTACATAATAATATATGCACAATAATAATACGTACGCTGAACCGTCTCTAATACAGAAATGTCTCAATTTTGGTCTACGTATTGGTTTGGTGAGCAAAGTGACGATATGTTTTTTCTTCAAGGAAATCACAACACAAACAGGAGTGAAAGAGCGTATATTCCACAGTTGGGTTGAATATGAAGGCAATGTGAGGATGGTTAAAAGAGCTATGTGCACTGCACTAAGGGTGGGACATCATCATCTTCAATTCTCAACATTTAATTGCATTCAATTTTTAATGGTGGTTAGTTTAGTTGGCTAACTTAATATTTAGTACCATTTCGTTAGACTTACACACATTCATATACTTACTTATTACACACTACTACATACTCGCTGGATTTATGTATGTATGTACATCCAGCCTTCTTTTAAGCAGCTCCTCTCCTCTTGATCTTAATTCTTCTTCCAGTGCACGTATTTATATTTGCTGTATTATTTCTGTTTTGTGGTGTGTTTAGGTGAGTAATAAATTTCGTTTGTTTTCAAACTTATTCTTATTTCTAAGAGTTTTATCAGGGTTGTATTTACATTTAACGGTTGTGGTTAGAATAGTTTAGTTGGTTAGTCTGATGATGAGTGAGGGTTTATGTACGTCCAGTAAGTATTTAGGGAATAAAAGGTTATTGTGATATTGACACTTGACAGATAACAACGGAGGTTATCGTCATCGTGATGTGCTACATTTTGGGGCCTTTTCTGTAATGAGAATCCTAACCTACCTTAACGACGACAAACAGGAAGGAAGTTGATAAGTGGACGGATTGGTTAAAACGGAAATCAGTCAAATCGGAACGATAAGTGAAAAATGTCGTCCCTGATAAACCGAGGGTGTTGTGGGTGGAAATTTAACTTCAATCCGGACGAAATCGAGCAGAGATCAAGGTCCAGACAGATTGACAAGGTGCTAGAAAAAGAGCGACGAGATAGGAGGAAGCAAGTAAGTGGATGGAGAAAGCAGTCAGATTTTGTCAAACTTCGAGTCCGAATTGGAAAATAAAAATGTACTCGTATTTAATTATTAGGTTCGAGTGCTTTTACTCGGAGCTGGTGAAAGTGGAAAGTCTACATTTTTAAAACAAATGAGAATTATTCACGGATTGGGATTTGATGCGGACGCAGTTCAAGAATTTCAACACATAATTTATCTCAACACTATACAAGGTGAGGAGGAGGGGGAGGACCGCAAATAATACAAAATAATACAAATTTTGAAGTATTTAGTATATAGTTTGGAAACTACGAATTTCTTTGTAATGTTTATAACTAATATTCATGACTAAATTCTACTCCTGCTTCTGTATTTATGTAAATTAATAATTCTACGCTTTGTGTTGATTATCTGCTGCTTTTTAAAAATTCGCCGGAAGAAGATTTTATGGTTGGGCTTCCAAAAATGGTACTGTACTTCCTGCAACTCTTTCTTGTCCATAGTTGGAAAAAAGCTCTATGAATAGTAACAATTTAAAAGATTTAAATGCTAATCAAACTTGTTAAATGCAGGAATGAGGGTTTTAGTGGATGCCAGAAACAAACTTGGGGTTCCGTGGGAGAACCCCCAAAATAGTATACACGGGGACATACTGCTCAGTTACCAGCCAGGTTTTGTCGACCAATGGACCTTTACGAGATTTGTTCCTTCCATACGAGCTTGTTGGACAGATGAGGCGATTAGGACCGTGTTCAATAAGCGGTCGCTCTTCCAAATTGCGGATGCCGTCGAATACTTTTTCAATCACTTGGATGCGATTGCAAACAAAGTATGTATAGAAATGCTTTATGATAATATGAACTAATAATTCTTACTGATGTGAACTGTACCATAGGATTGGGTGCCTACGAACAATGATATTGTTCATGCCAGAAGAGCAACCAAAGGGATAAGTGAGCTTACCATTGGTAAGGAATTGATTTAGCAAACATGTAACTTTAAAATATTAATGTGCAGTTGTTTGTTACAGCCATCAACGGAATTCCATTTCGTTTTGTAAGGAAAATAATTTTTCATCCAAAATATTGGATAATGATCATAAGTAATGTTACTAATGATGCTTTAAATTATTATAATGCAGATCGACGTGGGTGGACAGAGGTCACAAAGAGTCAAATGGTTACAATGTTTTGACAATATTACGTCAATATTATTTCTTGTCGCCAGCTCGGAATTTGATCAGGTATGAACTAAACTAAATATAATTGACCTTATCATTTCCCTATGAAAAAGTATCAACTAAAAAGTGCTGTAATTGATCAGGTGCTGCTGGAAGATAGGCAGACGAACCGATTGGAAGAAAGTCGCACAATCTTTGATGCCATCGTCAATAATAGAATATTTACAAACGTGTCGATTATTCTGTTTCTCAACAAGTCAGATCTATTGAGGGCAAAGGTGAGTTGTAGGTCACATGTAAAATATAACCTTAACCAAAATCCTTACATTTCTTTATCTGACAGATTGGAAGAGGAATTAAAGTATCCGACTTTTTCCCCAACTACAAAGGAGACGACGCCTCGTTGGAATCCGTTCAGCAATTCATCCTTAACTTATTCATTAGTTTACGACGACACGAGTCTGGCCAACTATTCTACCATTTTACTAGTGCCATCGACACGGAAAACATTCGAGTCGTGTTTAACGCCGTGAAGAAAACGATTTTGAAAAAGAATCTAGAAAATTTAATGCTTCAATGAGAATGTGGTTTCAGAAGACGATGGACAGAAGACGGACACATTTTTGTACTATGAATGATGAAGCCACTAAATATTTTATGTATACATCACAAGCACAATTCATTTTACAGCCTGACGTGGGATAAGAAAATCCTAATTTCCGTTTATATACGCTTTGTCTCAATTTTAATTTTGATATTCTACAGACAGATCTGATTTAATTTCTATCACAAATTTGCATCACGGTATAAAATGCATTACATCAGATATTCTGCACATTTCGCATCACTCACTCACAACGCTAGCCAACAGAGTCTCGTTTTTATCGACACAAAACTTGCAAGAAAGGAGAAACACTACATTTCCATGTTCTTATTATTATTCACGACGACAAATAATTGAGAGTATTTAATTTAATTTAATTTATAAAATAACTTTGTGTACGCTTTTCCTGCATGATGATATATTATTATGACGAATAAAGTTTTATTTAAATGAACCGAATAAAGAATTATGTAAAAAAGAACTGTATCGCTGTTAATTTAGTCATATAAATTTTTATTGCGTTGTTGTATGATAAATTTTTAATTAGTTCATCTCACCAAACTACTTATATCTAAAAAAAAACAGTCAAACAACGTACATATTTCTAATTTAGTCTCATCTCCTCCCTTATCAATGATTTGTTATCAAAAGACCACACACTACTACACTAATACACGCACGATAACGATACCACCAACCAGAAATCAATCAACTTAACCAATAAACGTAATAAAAATATCTATACAAGTTTCGCAACTAATTCGACATCGAAACTAAATACTATACTGGAAATAAAAGTAGTAACGTAATAATATTACATCTTTTTAAGGTTGTTCTTTATACAACTCAATTGCTAATTCTATTTTTTTAGTAATTAATACATATTCGGAAAAAGTAAAGTAATAATAAAGCTGTAAATATTAGCCCATGAATGAAGGCTTTTTATCACATCGTGAATGATGCTGCTACCCCTTTAAATCCAAAATCGTTATTTATTAGAAATCGAAATAATCTAAATACTCACTCGTGTGAAGTTAAAACGATTCTCACAAAACTTAACTGTAATAATTGATGGTTATTAGTGTAATAATATGTAGAAGATGGCCATGAAGATGAAGTGATTGTGTGAGCAATTTTGGCAAATCGGTCATCGCATGATTACATATATTACTACATCACTCGTCGCATACATTTACCTGGAGATGTTTCAATATTTTTTTGTGATGGATGAATGAAACTTCATCCCATACAGAAAGGCACTTGATTGAATTTTTCAGCTCGAAAGCTAACTTAAGTACATTTTCCCATTTAATATGTGGAAGGAATATGATGATGAAATCTATTACTCTTTTTTTCTGTGTGTGTGTGGCTAATAAAACTGATCTGTTTTCTGCTAGTAGTCGTTTGAGCATAACTTTTCAAATACTTTTGCTTTTTTTACGTACGTATTTCAGGGTAGGTGTCGACTATTATTGCGATTCTTTTTCCTGCCCAAGTTAATTGATAATAATTGCACCATAATATTTTGGTAAGATTTTTTTTACACAATCTAAACATCTGAAAGATCTGTACAAACCTGACGGACGACGTCAAAATTATCTTTCTCTCTCTCTGATTATTATATAGCAAAGTCTACCTTAAAGAATGAATGTCCTGCAATCACTAGAAAAATCTTTAGTTTGTATAATAACTTGGTTATCCGACTATATATATTTTTATCTTGTTTAGTTTTAGTTGCCTGCAATGTGTATTATTGGACGTTGATATTAAAATCTTGGAAAGTTTCGTTCAGCACAGAATTATTAAAGTTTTCCTTGCTTTGATGATGAAGTACAAGCATATATTTAGTATTGCATAAAAATACATTCTGTTGCCCTCATAGAAGGCCACCGAAATTGTTGGAGGTAGAATTTGTTTTAAGTTGGTTCATGGGAGTCTTGCCACCAGCACCAGCCTGGTTTCGGCTGTTGGATCTTCCGAGGTTCAGGTCATCCATGGTTATGTTTAAGTCAGACCAGGTCGTACCCTAGAAAGTGTTCCATAAAAAATTGTAATCGTCTCAATTATTTAAAGAAATGATTATACATTTATTTTGGATAAATTGTATTAACCTGCAGGCTTTGTTTAGTGGAGTTGTTATTATTATTAAGCGTGGGAACATTCCCATTGACCGATCCTCCGCCTGATGAAGATTTGGCTGGTTCAAGGACTGGAGCAAGAATATTATTCCCCCCATAATTCATTTGAGGTAGAGCCTGAGCCATTGGTTGTGTAGGTGAAGCCATTGAAGGAAAAGTGGTAGTAGAAAATCCTGGAGAAAATTGTCCCATTCCGACAGGAGATGAAACTGATGGCGAACCAAATGAAGCAAAATCCAACACATTCGATGCTGGAGAGGTATTTGTTACTGAAGGCATGGAATTTGAGAAAAGATCGTCAGATAGCAAATTGGAAGAAGGCAACGCCGTCGACCTTCCTCTCAAGTCGAGAGATAAGCCGAGTAGGTCATCTGCTTTTGATTCAGTTCTATTTGGTGGTTCTTCAGCTTTTGTCGTAATTGGTTTGGAATCTCCAAAGGCGGATTGAAAACTGAAAAATCATAATTTTGTTACTTGACCATTTTCGAACTATTCTATCATGCATACACAAAATAATGAAACCTAATAATCTTACTCAGCAAAATCTCCATCAGTGGAATCTTTTTTGACCGGAGAAGGCACTGGTTTGGCGGATACTGCACTTGTGAAATCTCCAAAATCCGACGCCTTCTCTTCTCTTCTGGGATCAAAATCGTCTGAAATTTCTAATCCAGGAGATGGTGGTGCAGGCTTATTTGTTTTGAATGAGCTGGAGGAGTTGCTGTAATACATAATTATAATTTGTTATTTATGCGTGCATAACAAAATTTAAAAATATTAACTTTCTTTTTAACTTACTGATTATTATTGAAGGAATTTGAGCTAGAACTTTTCTTGAAATCTGTGTCCATATCGCTGAACGTTTTAAAACTGGACTTTCCAAATGTTGGACTAGGACTGCGCGACTTTTTGTTTCTGTTGTTGACACATTAGAACACAGATTGAAATTGTGAGACTATTTTATAATTTCAATTCAGTATTTGACAAATACTCACCCAAAGTCATCATCATAGCCACCGCCCCCATTTCCACCACCATAGTCATTATTATCCCACTTGGAAGTGGTCATCCTGTCGGACCCAATTCCCACATACTTATCTCGGTTCTTGCGTGCTTTCTTTCTTTCGTCGCGAAGTCTCTCTTCGTCCTGGTAGCGAAAAACAGTAATACATAATGTAAATCCCACCACCAGTATATCACAACCAAAGTCAATATGTATGTACCTGAATAAGTTCAACAAGTTCTTTCGCTTTAACGCGAACATTAAGTTCACCATCTTTAGTTTCAGTCCCAGACGGAGGAATGATTGCGTCTAAATTAAATCCGGGCTCGTAAATAACGTGATAGTCTTGCAAAGATCTAATTTCATAAAGACGGTCCTGAGCTGCTCGAACAACGCGATCGGATCCATGAAGAAGTAGGTGATGTAAAAGTAGCATGCTCTTGTAAATTCTTCTAGGGCTCCTTTTGTTTTCAGCAATTCGCTTCCAAAGCTGTAATGTAATTAATGTAAGTAAAGCTATTTGACTTATTAAACTTTAAATATTTAAAGAGCTAATTCAAAATTTTTACCATTCCCATAACCTCAGGAAAGGACTGAAATTATAATAAGTGATATTAGAATTTTTCTTAATACACATATAATTTATTTGATGTCATTCTCACCTCATAGCTGAAGGTAGCTTGAGATAACTCATGCTTGATTGTTCCTGTAGAAAAGAAAGTTGTGTTTATAATAACGCCACAAATGAAAGTCTTAAAATAAAGTACCAGTTGGGCCCCACGGTTCATCATTTGTCGCTTCCCTAACTCGTGATTCAATATCCGTATAATTCATCACCACGTTCGTTCTAAAATTTTAAATAAAAAACATGTCAGAATAATTCAAAATTTACCGTTTATAAATTCTATTTAGTAATATTTCACTTACAACTTATCAGTCAATTCTCGTACCTTCCACATTTTGTCTATAGCTTTTGTTTAATCTACTAAATCACAACCAAAAAGCAGTAACACTTCCGTAAATCACAACTAAATTTGTTACAAAACTAAATATTTGTGACTTTGTAAACTAAAGAATGAAAGAAAAAATATTTGTGACACCTCCAACTTGTGATAAAGCACCATAAAAACGAATTACTACTAATCCCCACCCCTCAAATATCCTAGACTTTCAAGTCCCAACGTCAATTATTAACTTATCGTCTAGAGAAACGAATAATTAGTATTTAAACACTGATTAATTATTTGAACTGGATAATTTTCAGACTAAATAAAATATAAAATCTGATGACGGGCTGGGCCTGGATTGGATTTAATTTAAACAGTTAGCTGCCTGTTAAATATTGCACATTATGTAGTAACTTTACTACGTGGCCAGGTTGTATATACACATACAAGTCGTAAATATTAGTGAAGGGTATAGAAGAAGAAGTGCAACAGCAAACTGTAATCAAGTGCATCTAATTTTAATATTATTACAAAACAGAACAGATTTTTTTATGTACAGTTTCGAAGAGGAGCCTATATTTTCGTCGTGTAATGTAAAGTGCAAGCAAATATGGGGCTCCTGATGATAATATAATGGCTCAAAGTAAAGTGAATAAGAATTTAATGGGACGAGGCCACGTATATATCATCCTGAAGAATGAACAACTTTTACTCTGCTGGTGAGTGAGTTGGTTGGTAGCACTAATAGTGTTGTTGGTTTGGTCTCACAGGATTAAATATGTATAGTTAATGCTTGAGTTAACAGAATACTTACAGCTAAAATTCGTCCTATATTGTTATTGTTTGTCATGCAAATTGAAGAGTTAGAGCCTGTTAGTTAGGTGGTACTTTTTTAGTAGAGATTGGCGATAGGATGACGTGACAGGGGCTGCGGTGATTTGTTATCTTTTTTTAGGTTTGGTAGGTAATAATCTATTTGTAGGTGTAGAGAGTAGTTTAATGTGGTATCAGGTTAAGTACTTTTATTGAAATGTTGATGAGCTCTCCTTCCTTCCTGTACTCCTTCCTGCCGATGAGAAGATGAGCTGAGATTGGAGCATGCGGAGACAAAAAAGGAAGAAAAGTGCATGGATGGAAAGTGGAGAAAGTCGAGTCGTGTGAATGTGGGATACTTTGTGTTATGGGGTTTTATTACTCGTTCTGGTCGGCATTTATTTGCATAGCCATATTTATTTTTAATTAAGCTGGACTTTGTAGAGGAGGCTCAATTTGTTAAAAAAATCTGGTCAGTATCTCTAAAATCTTGGTACATAGTATCATCGTCATCACACATCACCACCCATCCTGTCTGATTGGCCAACTCGGATTGAATTGATGAGCTGTGTGGCAAAAAAGTGGCATTCCATTTACTCACTAAACAAGTCCAGGCCGAACAGGTAGTTAAAAAGTTTTGAATAAAATGTTATGTGTGAGTAAATTGCATGGCCAGGAGAGCATACTAATAAAGCCGAAATGAGATGCAGTTGCATGCACAATTACATTTGGTGTTGGAGCAAAGTCGGATAATATATTTGGTGGAAAACAGAATGGATTATTGGTGTTATGGATGGACAGTGTGTGTGTGCAATAAAAAGAATCTCTATCTCATGGATGGAATTATGGGACGTGTGTAAATGTGTTGCTTACTGAGATACTTGTACAAGTTAAGTTTTTGTAAGGTTTTTTTTTACTCTAATCTAAAGAGTAAAGCTTAACATGGATGCAAGCTTAATTATGAATAATTCCATTTAAAAATAATTAAATCTAAACTGATAGGTATTACATTGGTTTTTGCTAATTTCTACAAAATTCCAGCAACAGTGAATTTGGGCCTCACTCAATATGGAATTTCGAGTTGGATAAATGATGGTAATTTTTTCTCGAACATATGCACAAATTTTTAATTTAGGCCTAACTTTTAAGCATATATTTAGACGTGCTCCCATGTCTTCAACTCGCATTTTCATTACCAACTTACCCCATCGCTTAATAAATCAACTACTATCTATGCTTACGCTTTACTTTTAGTACCGCAAGTAAGTGCTGGACTTGTTTTTTTAACCAGTATCATCAGCGTTGGTTGTAATGGAAATACATATTTCTGACTTGTGGGGTGGAATGGTTCGTGAATGCAACTGACGCTTGGCACTGAATTGGTGTCCCATTGGTGGAGTTCAAATCTGAGTTTTTCCGTTGGCTCAATTTCCCCACCAACAACTCTCCTTTTGCTGCGTCCTCTTCTCCCTCCACCACAAACTCTCCCACCAACTAAATCCAGTATTTTATTCCAATATAAACAGTTTATCCTCAAGATAAATTTCTGGAAAATAAGTCACAAGTCCGTTTGTGGTTGTGGGTGTAACGAGCAAGAAAATGGTCAAGGCTAAGGCGAGGATTAGCGAGAAGGTGAGTGTTCATAAATTGTTGCTGGATTTTGTAACGTATCCTGTAATAGTTCGTTTCGTGGTTGGAGAAAGTTTTGTTTACTAATGTGAAATGTGAAACTTTAGTCGCTGGATGTACTGAAAAGTACGAAAAAGGCTGGATCTCAACCTCAAACGCAAAGTGTGCGGGCCAGGTCACGTTCACGGTCAAGAACTCCGGCAAGGGTAATAATAATTACGGATTTAAATCCGTAATAGGTTAAATTGTATGATTAAGTTATATGAGATGATGTCTGCCCTTTTTCATGGACAGATTACACTCTAGATGACTTTTTGCACTTAATGCTTGAGGGATTTATTACTTGTGCTATTTGCATCTGTCAAGCAAGACAGTTTCTTGGGCGTTAATGTAATGATTCTATTTCATGTTCCATGCACAATATAGCCTCAACCTGCCACACCCACTACTCCTACACGAGGGAGAGGAAGGGTGAGTTCGTCTTCGTCTCCTTTTTTGTACTAATTTGTCTTAATTATTGCTTTCACCCTGGAGAAATCCAGGAACCACGTTATCACAGCTATTTGGTTGGGTTTCTTTAATTTTGCGTCGCTTGTGTTTTTTCGATAGTAGAGAATTATAGTACAGCGTACAGTAGAGAACTAGTTAGGTAGTAGTAGAGTGGATTGGGCGATGTAATATAATTATGAATGCAATTTACTATAATTTTTCGTTTCATCATTAACAGCCACGCAAGACTCCTACCCGTGCAGCCGCTCCGACTCCGAAAACTCCGGCCCCTGCAAAGAAACCAACGCCCAAGACCAAGTCTCCAAAAAAGGCAAAGAAAGCTGTCTCAAAAACGAAGAAGCTACCAAAGCGGGTTGGAAAGACACCCACAGAAAAAAAGAAGCCCGCTGCAAAACAAGGTATTTAACTATTTACAATTTTTTAAGACATTTGTCCATGTTTTCATTATAATCTAATGAACTTTTCCGGTATAACAGCTACCAGAAGATCTACGTCAAGGTCTAGAGCAGCGGAGAAATCAAGCCCTAAAGTTGCTGAGAGAAAGGCAACTCCAAAGTCCACTAGGAAGACACCTACTCGCGCTAGTGCGCGATCAAATGCCAATTATCCACTTCGCAATAAGGTCCCTATTGATGCCACGGAGGTACCAATTAAGCGATCACAGTCCAATGCCTCAATGTCCAGCAAAAAATCGACGGGAGGAGGATGGTTCTCAAAGTGTCAAATTGTCTAGCACCTTTTAAAAGGAGTTTTTTTAGAGGGAGGCATATTTTCTCACTTTGCAATCCCATTTTAACTGCCCCTCATATCGTGGTTATACATCAGATTTTTAAATTTATTATGACACTGTATTATTACTATAGTAGACGAAGCGACAAACTCTCTTTAAATGAAACGAGGACATGTATAAAAGTTATTATGTTTCCTGCAGATTTACAAAAGACTGCAGCTTTATCACTGCCACAGGCGTATGTAGTTTTGGTGAAGGGCATATATATATAGTAAACTAGACAACCCTGGCGAACTGGCTTGCCAATTTTTTTTACATGTACATAGTGCCATCATTATTTTCTTAGAAGATGAGTCTTGGTATAATTTTTAACCTATAATTATTATGATAATGTACAAAATAGGAAAGTGATGACACTCTGTTTTCTGAAGGTAAAGAGTTTTCACATAATTTGAAACTTTAACACTAATTGATTTCTAATCTCTATTTAAAGCCACAGAGTTATGAAGCTTTTTACGAATTTAACTTTCTTTGTGACCCTAGTACTTGGCAAAAGTAAACAATTATGCAATACTCAGTTTTACAAACAAAATAATCACGACATATTAGAAATAAGAAAATATCCCAAACAACAAAATGACGATAGGATTGAGAATGGAATTGGTTTAGTGATTTATTCCGAGCTGTTATTATGACCGTGTTCATTACAATACAATGATATTTTCCAGACAAGGCAACTTTCAGGTAAACCATATTACGTATATATTCCTAGTGCCCTTGATAAAGTTTTCTTACAAATACTAATACAAAATTAAAATTATCCAACAAATTTTACTACCAACAAACAACAATAACCAACTTGTGTCGTAGCATCTGCATGTCTGCTGCTTCCATGAATCAATTTAATTCAAACTTTAATTCAGTACTACTTTAAATAAGCAAAGACAAACACAAGTACAAAAAATATCGTGATCTACAATAAGATTAATTTTTGAAACCAAAAATTATATATCCGAAAGCAGAAGTATAGAAATACCATGATGATACGCGTCACATTTTTAGTAGACCCACAACAACCAGGCATCATCTCAATGAAAGTGTTAACCAAATATTACAAATATTAAATGTGTATACAAAGATTCCGAATGGCATATAATGGCCCAGGCAAGACAAAATTATGAAATCATCTCAATTCGCTTTTAAAAAACTCTTGTTATTATTGATGTTATGATGAAGGAGAGTGTTACATGCAATACATTACGTAACTTTAGATTAAGATTTAAGATGAAACTTGAGAGATTATATTGTACTACTGTTCTATTGTTACTGTTGTTACAACTATTTTGTAGATCATTGATCACATGACATCACACACAAACTAAACCTCATGCTCTGCTCAACATTTGATTTAGTTACATAGTTTTAAATTATTGGTAAACTACATTAGAATTATTATTATTATGACTTGATCCATCTCTACACACACTGAATATAATATACAAACTCCACCCAACCAGCTCCACACAAACCAGCAGTTAAATAATGATTAGTACATATTATCATACACGGCACAGTGTTAGCAGTTTAACGTTTATTTCCATGTTATACTCGGATTAAGTGTTGAAAACTAAATTCCTGCATAATTTGTTGTACATGATACATTTCACACCTAAAAAAACAGCAGCAAAAAGTATCACGCTATGAGAAAAAATGTTAAAAATCCGTACAATAATATAATAATACAAATAGGACAATTACTGTAGTTTGTTTATTCTCAAAGTAAATATAGATAAATAAATAAATAAATAAATTGTTTGTACCCGAACAAGCTTCTAAAACTTTATTGACATTGGATTACTACACGTTGAAGTCTAAATTGTTACGTCTTCTTCTTCTCCGCTATTTTAAACCCCCTGCGACTTTTCTTTCTTTATTAGTCAACAATGCCAAAGGACGACGTAACGTTGCCTGATTCTTATTTCTGCGTCTTTTTCATTTATGTTTTAAAGCCGAGATCAACCTCTATCAAAATATCTCCAAGAGATGAAGAGCCTGCCTGAATGGATGGGTGAATGAATGGATGCATCAATAATATAATGAGAGAGAGGAGGTTGCATTTATTTACCTTTTTAGACTTCTCTCCTCATCGTAAGGACAGTTGAATTGTGCATCTGAATAAATGTCCAACTCGGGCTGAATAAGGGCATGACAAATTAGGACTTTGACTTTGATTATTTTGACGTGGCGTGGGATTGGACATGGTTCAATTTAGATTGTACAGAATAAAAGTGGCGTTTTGATTTTGCTACTGCCACTTCTTTTTTGCCTGCTCGTTAGTTAATGCTTCTTGGGCATATGGGTCACTCGTTTGGTAATTGTGATTAAAAGTAATCTTGACTCTGTGTAGAAGAGATGGGTAGATAGTGGTCGACGCTATTCAAACAAACTTGAATGACACATATTATGAATGATCATATCCGAGAGAGGAGGAACCTGAGGGGATGAATAGCCTGAAAATGTGCTAAAAAGACCGGGTTTTATATGTACATGTGTATGACGGGTGACATACTATATATTCATAAAAAAGATATATGCAAAATAATCCCAATAATTCAACAGGTGAGTGAATGAGTGAATGAGTAGTAGCTCTACCACAAATTACGAGTTATTTACTACCGCAGAACAGCAAAGCAGTTAGTTAGCAGTAGTAAAACTAGTAAATAATAATTCAGGAACGGGTACAAAGGACTCGATTCGTGTGAATGAACATGCTGCGAGATGCCGAATGACTGCGAGTAGATACATACATAATATGCATTAAATATGCATGCCGTATTCTCCAATTTTAATTTAGCACCATATATGCACTCTTGTTTATTTTATTTGTTTGTTTGTAAAGTCCCCCCGGTCAATGCTATTTAATGCACCTCTCCTCTTCCTTTTAGAGAGAAGACTAAGAGCAGCGAGATCCTTTCCAACTCCTAAACTTATCATTTACAAGTTTCTTAAAATGGGAACGTTAAAGGTAAACCAGGTAGTCGGACGAGAAAAATCTAAACAATATGCCCTCACTCATACATCGCCGAATTGATTCTACCTCATGCATGCATACGTTTAAAAATGCGTGATCCCATCGTCCCATCGTGCCAATAAAAATATTTTGACTTGATATGTATGTACAACTCTTCTTCATAAGTAGTGTGTTGTGTGGTAACTAAAAATATGATTCCAACACAAGAATAATCTAGCCGGCATGCATGTGGTTTCGTACGAATTATCATTACGACAACGACGACGACTTGAATGAATATTTCATTTTTACTCACGGCAAATCCTCCTCCTTTTTTAACTTCATCATCTCGAGTTTAATCTTTACCTGCCGATGATGATAGCACAGCGCGGAGGATGTCAAGTCAAGGGAATAATTTTGATTCCAAATTCAAGCAGCGTCTCACTCAACAATGAATGCTACCAAGCACCATGCACGGGATAAATGATGATGATGGATCAACTACATGCGATGCAATTCAAATTTTTATCCATTCTCTCCTCGACGAGAGAAAAATTATAGTGCATTTTTATTTCATCATGTCTCTCAGCATTTATTTTATTAAATGTTTTCTTAACTGCTACGCACATTATGTATTTCATTTCATTTCATTTAAGAAACAGCAACACGACGACGATGAAATCAAATTGTGAAATATTTCTGACTCGAGTGAGACGAAGAAATAAATACCTTTCTTAATGAAAAATGTGTGTGTATTTATTTATTTAAATACCGTCTTATGACATCGCACCCATCATTCATCATCTCCGTTATGATATGCTACTACTACTATTATTATTCTGTATTATCTACTTTTCTATAGTGGTGGTGGTGGTCCTTCATTTCAAAATGCAGGCATACATACATACATGCGACATTAAGAGAGGAGAGGCATGAGAAAAGCATGAACTCATTGTGGTTTGATTTGGGTTTGGTTTTACGTAGTTTTATGTCGAGATTTTTAAGTGCCTGTTGAGCTGTCCTCACAAAAAGCACAATAACAATACGCAATCATGAATTAAATGTGCTTGCATTGCATGCATGCATGCAGGTGTGTAATGCAGACCATTATTTTCTAGCATGTAGGAGAGGACAGGTAAAATAAACTCGTATTGGTATTAGATGATTCGAGTGTGTGTACGAACGAGATGACCACGACGACGACGACGGTGCGGTCGGTGGTGTGGTGGTAAACACGAGTTTGTAAATAATGATATGAAGAGAAAAAGGTTTGAATCCGCCTAACGTGACGGTTATATTGGTGCTCATGCAGAATAAGAAGGTGTGTGTGACTGACTGAGGTGGGATAAAAGTATGAGAAGAGATGTGATGAGAAAATACATCATGAAGACTTGAAGTAAAGTAGGGCAGACTCGTCGGTGGAGTTAGTCAGCTTTATTATACAAACTAAACTTTGTCAGCCAACTATGTACTAAAAGCACAATCTTTTTCTTATAACAATGAATTTGCAATCAGTTCTTTATACCTCGGCTCGATTTTGTTGATTATAGAGCAGTCCGTACGTCCATAGTATTTAATAGCGTACTAGTCGTCCGTCGTCCATACAGTGTGAGATTTTTACATGCTATATATTCGCATTAAATGCAAGTTTGCAAATGCATGGATGAAATGAACCATCATCATCATCATCAAATCGAGTATTGACTGCTTATTTGAGATGGGATTATTATGGTGTGTGTGTGTGTGTCGTAGTAAATAGTAATGAGAAGAAATAGTCGACTCGTATACATACACGGAGGATAGAGAAAGAATAAGAGGACAGCTTTTATATCAATTTTATTAAGTAGCTTCAGCTACTTTATGTGAAGACTTTGTCTGTCTGTCTGTCCGTCTGTCAGCAGGATAACGGGAGAACGGATAAAGATAATCGAAATCGCCATCATACATAAGACCCCAGGGGGAGGATCCTATCAACTTTTGGGTGCAACCGGACCACACCCCCTGCCGCCAGGGGGTGTGGTCGGGGCAAAATGAGATTTTTAGTGCAATCGAATCTATGGATGAACTAGAGTGAAATTTTGTGTATCCCTTATGTGCCACACCCCCTGGGCGTCAGGGGGTGTGGTCGGGGCTAAATGAGATTTTTACAAAAATTGAATCTATAGCTGAAATAGAGTGAAATTAAGTGTTCCCGAGTTGTACCACACCCCCTGTGCGCCAGGAGTGTTGTTGGGGCAAAATGAGATTTTCAGTGAAATTAAAAAACATGGATGAAATACACTGAAATTAAGTGTTCCCCCGCTGTCGTAGGGGTGGAGTGAATCTGAAGCTACTTCCGTATGCGCGTTTGCGACGGTTTATTTTATACAAGCTTTTACACAACAACTTTGCTGGTGAGTAGTGAGACTTGCCCATATTATTCTCTGCTGGTTGGTACGTATATTATACATACAGTGGGATAAAATAATGCAGCCCTAATAAGAAACCCACCTAACTAACTAACTCCACCAACTTCTTTTCTTATTTAACGTGAGACGATCCGATGCATGGCATATCCTCGAGTAAGAAATGAGGAATAAGAGAATCCTTATTACAGAAGAGAATAGAGATATGCATGCTTTGTAAAGGATCGCAGCGAGTAAAGGCAAAAGGGATGCAATATTATAGTAAAAGATCGACCAGAATAGTAAAGTGAATGGTCTCTCTCTCTCTCTCTCTCTCTAATTTCAACTCTAGTATTTTAGCTTAATAAGGGTAGAGATAGACAGCGAATGAATAGTTAAGTTTAAGTTTTTAACTTTTAAGTTTTTGAATACAAATTTAGTTTGGAATCTCAACGGAATTGCGACAGTATTTTTTTCTGGTATATTTATTCCTTAATGAGGAGATCATTTCCTAATTGGTTTACGCCCTTGGTTTTTACACAGAGCGAAAAGTTATTAAAAGTGTATACATAAAAGTCATAAATATAAAAATGTATTTATTGAATGAGCCAAAGGACGAGTGAGTGCTGCTATTTAGTAAAGTTGTTAAATACAATATCGCATTTTTATTTTACGACATGCAAACCAACAAACCAAGGTGTGTTTAACGAGAGAAAAAAGAAAGAGGAAAAGGTGTGTAAGTGTGTGTTTGCTTTATGATTTTAAAATGTAGTAATTATCATTTTGTGTAAACATGCAGCGGAGATATTATTTGTGTGATTGTACTACGTACTCGTGCTGTAGGATTTATTTTGTGTTATTTTTTAAGAGTTGGGTATTGATTTGGAGGAAGTTATTTGATAGTGTTTTTATATATAGTAATTTTGTGTTTGCAGATAAAAAAGATTAGCTAAGAGGCAGTGAGAAATAATATTGGAGATTTATTAAGATTTATTATTCGAGTTACGAGGAAATATAAAATTTTGGTGAATGAAGAAACCAATTGAAGACTGTTCTGAGTTGGAGGAAGACGAAAAGTCGAGATCGAGATGGTCGCCGATTGTCCTAAATTTATCCCCAATATCTTTAATTCGTCAAAGTGTTCCAGTTGTTTTAAGACGAGGGAGGAACATGGGGACATAGCGTTGGACTCCAAGGTGGACATAGTTAATTAGTCTGAAGAACGGCGGAGAATTGAGTAGATAGTTAATTCATTTCTTTTTTGTCATCTTGTTTAAAGTCCTTGAGGAAAGTGGTGAAATGCGGGTATCTCTTTGTCGCTCCGAGGGACTGGGATTTTTGCAATCCTGCAGTTTATCGGGCCAAGGTTGGTTTGTGTAATATTCAAATTGACTTAAATTGTGAATTCAATGGATGCTTATTGAAATCTCAGAGATGGCAACGCCGTTGGTTCGTATTGTGGACCGATGACCAATTAACGTGGTCCATTGACGATCAGGTTTTTGTAATAAATAATGAAACATAAATCATCATTTAAAGAATCAAATCAATAATTCACTTCGTTCGTATTAGTTGGACACCATTCCTCAAGGAACTCTGGATATGAGGGAGATCTTGGAAGTAAAAAATGCAGAAGACATCACCGAAAATCCTTACAGCCTTGCCTTAACTGGAAAACAAGCCACCTTCATTAAAGGCCAGGTAAGAAAGCGTAACTAAATTGGCCAAAGTTATTTTATGCCATTTTGCAAGCAATTAATTATGGCCTTTTTTGACTTTGTAGAACAATGAAGACATTAAATCATGGCAATCCGTCCTTACAAAATATGGCAATAGACTTATCACTACCGGAAATGGCAAGAGAAGTCTCACTCTTCCAGGAGGATTCGGGGGGTCGAGTTCAACAAGATTTGGTACAATTATTAAAATAGCAGTTAATAATGGGGGATTTTCAGACGTTTAGCTAACAAAATCAATGTTGCAGAAACTGGAGTGGTCATCGGGCCATCATCCCGACCAAGATTTCACAGTGTAACAACTTCGAGTCCTATTGGATTATTGCCCTCGCCAACGAGACCTTATGGCAAGTCTACATCTGTTATTTACCCCAGCACCGCTAGTAGTGGGGGGGATAATGATGATGATGACAGGGATCATCTCTTTATTTCTTCCACCTCCTCCTCTCCAATTTCAACTTTGGGAGCGGTCACGCCAAAAGTTTCTGCTGTTAATTCTGCTCCTACATCTTTCGGGAACAATAAAAACGATCACCAAATTTCGGTTCCACAAGCGTCCCCCATCATTGCAAATACAGCAGTATCGACGACTACCACGACGAGCCGATCTTTTTATTTGTCCGTGTCAAATGTTCCAACGGGAAAATCGTGTCGAAGTTTCCCTGCCACAAATCCTTCGCTGAGACCTTCACCAGCTTCAGCTCGACTTCTCTCATCTACTATTTTGCCTCCCTCCTCCTCCTGTGCTTCTCAAACTGCATGTACTGATACTATTTTTGATTTCTCATTTTTTTTAGTTTGCACATATTAGCCCACAATCTGAAAAATAGTGGATTGGGAATGCAATATGTATGCTTCTTATGAAAATTGACAATTGTTATCTATTTACTTGCAGCTTCTACAGATGAAGAAATTCCTACTTCATCAATTACATCCCAAGAATTTGAAAAGCGATTTGAATCCGTGGATGTTACGGACGATTCGTGTCCATGTCCAACTAATTCGGTTCGAGCGGTGTGTGCAATATTTTACGGTTGATATTGAATAAATTGAATGTGTACATATCAATCAATGGGGAATTTTAATATCGCAGCTTCGAGGTGATCCGGATGGATGCGGTGGTCTAGATAACTTAGATGGTGGCCCATTAAGGAAGGGATGGCTACTTCGACAAACCAATAGCGTGAGAATAATGATTAGTACATAATTTTAAGCATAATGTTAATGAAATAACTATTCCTTCCAGGATTGGACAAAACACTGGTTTGTCCTCCAGAATAATTCATTAGTGTATTATGAAAATTCTGAAGAGCTGAATCCTTTGGGAAACATTGAAATTAATGAAGACACAACCATTAGACAATTTGAATCCAGTCGTGTAAGTCAAAAATAATTGTTTTAAGCTTATATATAGCTTTAGATTAGTTGGATGACTGGAACAATTTTTTTTCTCCCTTTTTTTAGCATTACGGATTTGAAGTCATAAATAAATCGACGATACATAAATTGTCTGCCATCACTAATGGGATGAGAGGTGAGATTTATTCATTATTTTTCAATTCACACGGTTAAAAGCAAAGTATTCAAAAATAAAAAAACATGTTTTTTGTACAAATCAGGTATTTGGATGAAAGCATTAGAGGCAGCCAAGAGCAGGCCTCGCAGTGCTGAAGAAATTATCCAAGAACCTTCCCCATCTTCGATTGCCAATCCTCCAAGTCCTCCCTTGAAATCAAAGAAGGCAAGATGGCGAAAAAAGACGGACTTGAAACTATTCGAATCTCTAAAAGACGAATTTAACGAGAGAGAAAGAGAATTGGAGAATTTCAAGAGAACGGAGCTTAGAGTCGACTCTCCTCGAATGAGAGAACTCTTAAAAAGTCAAGCGTTGCAAATTGACAATTTTAGGACTCAAATTTCCTCGGGATTTATGGAAATTGAAAAATTGGAGTTGTACTGTAAAAATCGAGAGTCAGAGTACGGAGAAAGTTTAAAGTGCAAAGATGAAATCATTGAAGAAATTAAGGAAGCACTATCTCAAGAAATTTCATTGAGAGAAAAATTAATGGAACAATCTCGCCTGGTGCTCACGGATTTAAAACGGGTATTACGACAAACCGAGGAGGAAGCGGATATGGAAAATATTCACTGCAAGGAAATAGAAAATCTTTTGGAAGCGAGGAATATGCAGCAGTGTCATGAATTGGATCTCCTTAAATATCGCTGTAATGATCTAACGGAAAAGCTATATCAGTCGGAAAAAACTGCCAAAAGTCTGAAAACTAAATTAGGCCGGGTGAAAAGTCAATCGTTAAAGGACAGGCAAATTGAATCAGATGTGCTCCACAAAATCAGCGATTTGGAAGAAAAAATTGGTAAACTTGATGCATCGACTCCGTTGTCACCCACATCTCCAAGTTCCGGACCGATTTCTTTAACATCTCCAATTCCAAGTCCTCGTGATGGTGGAAGTGGAATTGTAAATGTCATCATGAAACTGAACGATTTAGACCAAAGAGTGGACAAAGCAGTAGATTCTTATTGGTTCAGACGTGGTGAGCTGGAAGTGATCGGAACATGTCAAAACTGTCAACTGCTCGAGTTGGAGGTGCAGGATCGTGAAGAGAGGTTGGACGCCTTGGAGGAAAATTTGATGCATCTGGAATCAGATTTTAACAACAAAGTGAAGGAATTGAAAGAATTTGTCAAAGAGCAGCCCGTGAATGCGGAATCTCGTCCTATGACGGCGCAAGCAGTTAGCAAATATCAAGCAGAAATTGAACAACTAAGAAACCTATGTGCTAAAGGTCTCGAAGCGATGGAAAATTCTCATCGCAGGATGGTCATGGAACTCGAGGAGAAACACAGAAGAGATCTTTTGGCGTTGAAAATAGAAAAAGAAAATGAGCTTGCAGAGGAGACTAAGGTAAATATGAAATTTATTTATTTATTTAGTCCAGTTTTCGCATACTTTCTCACCTTTATAACTATTTTTTTACAAATTACAGGCCACACTTTCCGCATTGGACGCAATGAGAAAGAATCACCAAATGGAGTTGCAGAAAGAAATTACAAAATTCAAGGAAGAATTCATGTCCAAGTTTAGCACGGGTCAAGATTTGACAGATTTGCATAGAGAACACGAGCAAGAATTGACGGAAGTCAAGGACGAGATTTTGAGGTTATCGGACAAATATTCCTTAAAATGTGTGAGTGAAAAGTCAATCGTGATCCCAGATAGTTGTTTTATAATATCCGACAAACTCATACAAATACTCTCATACTCTGGTATTAGAGTATGTATGAGTATGAGTATGTCATAGTATGTCATACCAGAGTATGTCATACCAATACAAAAATGCGTAGTTAAGCACCTATGTATAAATTAAGAATAAATTGAAATTAAAACATGCACAGGTCGAAGCATCCAAACTTGAGGAAACAATTTCTTTCCTAAAAACGCAACTAAACGACGCAAAGAGACGAATTTTAGACCAAGAAGGCAGTGATTTCCAAAGCATAATTAGCTGTGCCTCATCTGCCAATAAGGTGAGGTGCATTTTTCTGTAAATATTGCTTGTGTTTTTGTTGGTGTTTATGTATGCACTGTGTTTTGTTTCAGCTACTTGCACTTGTTTTGTTTCTGAATGTTTGTTTATTCATGGATTGCTTTCTCTATGTATCACTGTTTTTAGAAACCCGACCAAATCTCCGCTTTACGATCACGCTTAATGCACTTAATGGACGGATATCAGGGCAAGTGATAAATTTGTAATATATGTACAAAGCACGATAAGCGCTTAAATGTATGGAGCATAAACGGAGTGACAAATTTAGGATTATAGTAGTTACTCGTTGATTAGATCGAAAAATCGAGAAAATCAGAGAAATACTATTCATTATCACGGATCCATATTGGATATTCTCTGTTGTCTGTGTGAATTTAATCTCCGGTCCCATAAAATCGAACAGCATTAATGTTTATTTGTTTTTCGTCAAATATCTTCAACCAAAGCATGAGTTTTTGTGTAAATTGTTATTAATTTGCTCGCTCTTCCCCGTGGGTTTTTGTTTTGTTTTTACAAATATTGTTGGGAATTATGCACTGCTTGGTACAAAAATATGTGATCAAGTACATATGAAATATGAACTAATTGAAATGAAAACATGTCCAGGCCGTCCCGTCGACGAGACCAAAACCAAAGCCCAGAATGAGCAAGTCGGGGGCAAAAGCGGAGGGTGGAGCAGCCATGAAAATGGAGGAAATTCCTCCTCCAATTCCACCCCCAAAAAACCGAGGCATTCCATAATCAGGTCGCCAAGCTGTCCCAAACTGACAGGAGATGCCCGACTGACTCTTCTCCAATGAATCTAGTTCAAATTTCTTCCAGTATAATGTAATTCCAATCTAAAAATATGACATTTGACAATTTATTATGACTTGTACGTAAATATGTATGTGTAGCTGTAGCATAAATACATAGTAATTAATACTTTTAGCAGAAATTATAAGAACTCTTCTTGAAATCATTACACGCAGTACTTAATAAGATTTTAGTAACAATCCATAATCAATAATCCTGAAGAAGCCAACATAACGATGATCCAGCAACTGGGAACAATCACACAGAAATAGAAACAAATTTACTGTACTTATATTTCACTATTTAATTACTATTTAAACCTATACTACTGCCTGCCACGTCTGCCCGTGTATACGTATAACAATATTTATGAGAAAACCCATGTGCAACTATATTGTGCAAATACTAGAATTTTTAACATTATACGAGTCGAATCAAATTACGAAACTTATTAATTTATGAAATGTATTACTAGTAGTGTGACATTTAGTTGTCTAAAATTGAATCGGGTTGTGCCGAGAGAGATACAGTTTTGCTTTTAATATCGTGTACGTCAATAATACTTTACACGCGACAAACCCACCGGCAGCTAATAAACGTGCAATACAATAAATTACAGTAAATCCAAGTACTTATTTACATGCTCATTTTTCATCGCATTCCAGTATTTTTTTCTGTCATCAAAATTTTGAGTATTATTATTTTTCTGATTTATTTTCTTCATATGTATGCAAATACATTCATAATGTTCTCGTTGACAATCGCAATATGCATAATTTTTTTCAATTTTTGCAGTTACATGGAAAATTTGCATTGTTGTTTTCTGATTGAATCCGTGAAATTAATTACAATGACAATGCATCGTCTTACATACATACACGTCATTCATGCCCATGTCTGCCTTGCCTGCCCATTACATACCTTTGTACTTCTGGTCATTGTCACCCAGTTTATCACTTTCGCTGTTGGTCGTATATTTACTGTATGATTAAAAACTAATCAAGCAGAAGAAGAGGATTGTTCAGATCAGTGTAACTATTTTTGGCAAGAAAGATTATCTCCCAAGTTGCATATTTCATAAGCTTCTGCATCTCGACCCAACGCCTGCCACATACAAACATGCCTATCTCCATATGCGCATAATGAGACAATAACTTTTGAACAATTTCTTCAACACAGCAACAAAAATGCCAACCGTCTGCCACACATTTAGAGATTGAGATAATGGGTAATTGAGAAACTTGAGACAAGGTTGAACTCTACTAACTCTTCATCTTCTTCTGGTGGCTTGGCTGCTGGTGGGGAAAGTTGATGATTCAGATTCAAGCACTGAATCACTTTCAAATATTTTGGATTCAAACGTCAATTTAAATTTGGAATTTGAAAAGGATGAATAGCCGGCAAGCACAGTCAGCAGTCCATCATCTTGTTCTCTTCTTGTTGTGTGTGAGAATTTGAGAATAGGAAACGAAGATGATAGCATAATGGGTTTTTTTTTCTTATCCGTCACAAGTCAACCTATCCATGGCGTGATGATGTTTGATACCATTATTTAAAGAGAGTAGTAGTCGTAGTAGTAGTGGAAGTAATAATAATCATGATAATGGACCAGCTCAAAGTTTTGATCCTTTGTTGTCAAAGTCTCAAAGATTTTATGCAGATGCTCAAATAAGGAGTCAAAGTCAATGCCTGCCTGCCTACCTGCCTTTTCTTCTGTGAACTAGTTCATATGCAGCTGACTACTATCAGATACATACTTGTAGTGCTTATTGTAAGGAGGAATTTGTACTCAAAATTTGCAAATTGTAAATGAGCAGCGCCAGATAATGGTGCACTTTAGTGAAGAAAAGTGAATTCAGTCAGTGCCCCTTGTCCGTGGTGTAATTGTTGAAGCCGTTTATTATTCAAACGAATACTCTGCTCTCCTTGACTGTGAATTGGTGCGTGCCCAACTCTTTTATTCGGGTGTTGTTGGTTAAAAGTGAGTTTTCTTATCCGCAACAAGAAAAGTTTGCAAGTTGCAATTATCTCCGGAGAACAAAGTGTGTGAATTGAATGGATGGTGTGATGACCGATTTTCTTTAACACACACACGCACACAATTCAAAGAAGAAGAAGAAGAAGATGCATTTTGAATTTGTTTAAATTTATGCATTTCAGCAATTATTTATTTATTTATTTCAAATTCACTTTTGCATGTTTATTTTTCAATTTATCTTACCTGCCCCCGGATAGCTTTTGAGGTGCATTTCTTTTAAAACCATGTACATACGTAGATCATTATAATAAGATATCTGAAAAAATGGCACAAACTGTAAATGCTCAATCAAACAAGTAACATCATATTTTCATGTTGCTGCCATGTTCCTTTTTCATACAAGTGTGTAGCTTGGGTGCATTAATAACAATATAATAATATGGTCTATTTCCACTCCACCAAGGCGATGTATTATCCGAATTGCATACTTAAGTAGTCGTGTCGCCTCCTTTGTCCTATAAATGACTGCACGTGTCCAAAGCTAATAGAAGAAAGTATGTAATTTCACACAGCCTCATCAATACTCGGAATACAATTCTAATTTTGCACTAATAAATAACAAAGTGACAGTTTACACCCCGAGCAACACCACGTCCAATGTAAATCAACGTCCAATTCAAGAATTATAATATGATTTTTCTCTCTCTCTCTCTCGATGATGAATGCATTCGCAATGCAAGGCATATATAAATAAATACATAAATAAACAATAAATGCCTCACTCACTCTACATTCTATTCATTGATTGACATTGACGGTGCGTACCTTATTTCGGATTTGCTTCAATACCCAACTAACTAATTGTCTCGAATCCGTACTTATAATTAGTGCTACAAAGAAGAACCCATAAGGAATTGGGTGACTGACTCTTTTGTCTCTTCGTCAACATCAATGATCATAAACTTTGTTGATTTCAGCCTGACAAGACAAGATTGGACTAATGATTAACGTTTTGATGACTATATACATAGATATTTATGTAGATACTAAACTCCTCCGATGATGATGACCAGCAGACAGACCACATGGTGAATCTCAATTATAAAAATCGTCAAAAAAATTAATGTAGTACGTAAAGGAGGATCATCTCAAGATGATGATGATGACGTTCCCCCGCCGTATGGGGTGCTCCTCGTTCGTCGTTGTTTAAAACTGGTACAAATTAATTTAATATGCATACAAATATTTCTTTAAATTTTGAAAATCAAGTTCGCCAACCAACTGTGAATGTAGATTTATAGTGGAAACGCGATACTACGCGATGAACAAATGGTGTGTGTACAGACGCCATGAACGAAGAATGAATGAATGAATTACACCTGTTGTACGGTTGTTAAAGAAAGAAACAGCGTTTGCCTTGTCGCTTGCTTGGCTCAACGCTCATCCGTTTTGTTTTAATTGAATTTTTCGTAATTAAAATACACTGAGTGTTATTTTTACGCTAGACATTAGACCAAAAACTAAATGAGCAAGCAGCCAGGCAGCAAAGAAGGAATGATGATGACTCGTTGATTTGAACATTGTTGAAAAGTGCATGCAGCATATTTAGTTGACGTATTCTGCACAGTTTATGTATAAATTTACTTATTGTACATTCACACTTTTTTTAGCCTGGTTATCTGATTTCTCTTCACTACGAATAATTCATGCATTTCTGTAGGAATTTTTCTCTAATATTTATTTTGTCCTGCATCCTATTGATCATTCATGGGAGGAAAGAAACACTTGACATTTTTGTGGTCAAGATCAAAAGGACCACAGCAGCAAAAGTAATATTATAAAAGTAATGACAACAACAACAAAGTGACGTTTTTAAGTTTAACCCAAATCTCTGAATAACAATGATTTCTTAAATTGCCTCATTTTTTCGAGTTTTTGTACAAAAAAAATCATATTTTTTTGGTGTTGTAAATATTTTTTTCCAAATCAAAGAAAGCGTCGTCGTCATTGGAAGGTTGATGAGTTTCTTGCATCGACATTAGCACTGGTCATGTCAAAGTCATTGCTGCCGGTTTTTTTTTCTCGCCTTCTTCTTCTTGGTGGACGGACGAATAGGCCAGAAAAGTTTCAAATGCACTGAAATCTGCATGGCTGGCAGACGGTTTTCGAATAAGAATGCAATGTCACTGCACGAATTTGCTCCTAATCAGGTGCATAGCAAATACGCACAAAAGGATTTAAGTGGACTGCGGACCCTTATTGACTCTTCTTTTCATGTGCGGTTATTGTAAAATTGATGGTAAGTCAGCAGGTTTACATGTGTTATAATATAATTACATTCATAATAATTATCCATTTGTGCAATAGACGCACGCTTTAATTAAATTACTGTTGCAATCCTTTATCCTGCTCAAAGTCATGTTCATATTATAAATAAATTAAACGCCACCTGTTTGCAGTTGCATAAGTCCAATATGAATTTGATGAGGTCTTTAATTGCACCTTTTTTATGCTTACTGCTACGCTATTATTGTGAGGGGAAGAAAAATTGCAGTTTTATTTTGTATGTATGCACTAAATATCATCCTCCACACACAAAAATGTGTAGGAAGCACAGTCAATTTTTGTTATTAAATATTAGCTCGTATAAAATGAAATATGAATCTCTTCTCGTCTCTCTTTTCTCAGTTGGCAATTTATCGTCGACAAGGATTTGATTGCATTGGTTGCTTGCTGCACTGTTGGACATCTATTGTTGCCATTTTTTGAATTTAAACATGAGCCATTCAAATCCGAGAGAGATAGATGATGACCAACGTTGAATTGGTTCAGACGTGGTGGATGGACTGCTGTGAACCGTTGAAAGAAATCAGTGACAGTTGGTAGTGCCAATAATAAAGACTAATTGCGAATAATATCTCATATATGGCATGCATGGGAATATTTTCCCATTGTTGTTGTCAATGTTTGTGTGTGTTAATCGCATCACCCATTGTATCAACATGGGCAACTGTTCCACAACCAACTTTCGGGCTGAATGGAAACGTTGGCAAATTTCGAATGAAAAATTGTATACTTCTTGAAGGGCTACCACTAGAGAAAAAATACAGGGTGCCAATAATAATAAACCGTCGCAAACGCGCATACGGAAGTAGCTTCAGACGTACTTCACCCCAAACGGTCCCACCACAACTCGGGAACACTTAATTTCACTCTATTTCACCTATAGATTAATTTTTTGTAAAAATCTCATTTTGCCCCGACCACACCCCCTGGCGACGAGGGGGTGTGGAACAACTCGAGAACACTTAATTTCACTCTATTTCATCTATAGATTAATTTTTTATAAAAATCTCATTTTGCCCCAACCACACCCGCTGGCGCCGAAGGGGTGCGGCAAAATCGGGGAAACACTCAATTTCACTTAATTTCACTTAATTTCATTTAATTTCACTCAATTTCACTTAATTTTACCCATAGAATAAATTGCACTAAAAATCTCATTTTGCCCCAACCACACCCCCTGGGGCCGAGGGGGTGTGGCACAATCGGGGAAGCACTTAATTTCACTTAATTTCACTTAATTTCATTTAATTTCACTCAATTTCACCTAATTTTACCCATAGATTAAATTGCACTAAAAATCTCATTTTGCCCCAACCACACCCCCTGGCGCCGAGGGGGTGTGGCACAACTCCGGAACACATAATTTTACTCTATTTCACCTATAGATTAAATTGCACTAAAAATCTCATTTTGCCCCGACCACACCCCCTGTCGCCAAAGGGGGTGTGGTCCGGTTGCCCCAAAAAGTTGATAGGATCCTCCCCCTGGGGTCTTATGTATGATGGCGAAAACCGATTTCGATTATCTCGATCCGTTCTCCTGATATCCTGCTGACAGACAGACGGACAGACAGACAGACAGACAGACAGACAGACAAAGTCTTCACATAAAGTAGCTGAAGCTACTTAATAATGTAATAATAATAGTGACCTACAATATTTAGATATATTTTGCAAAGTAGAGGATCACAGGATAAAACACGGTTTACAAATATTGATGGTCATTCTTTGGAATAGGTATCATACTCTTTTTAAGAATTTCAAATACATAATGGGAGGGCACAAATAGTAAATAAAGGTAAATCTAGGTCTTGAAAATCTGGGTCTCTCGCATGTCTGAAAATTCATCCAGTTAATATCCGTTAAAATTTGCAATTAGTTAATCATTGATAAAACCCTGGGATGATAAAACATACAAATTTACATATATGGAGACCGGTGTAGGGTTTGGGCGGATCAAGGCGATCGAGGGTGTGATTATTACAAACGGTTTCAGTGCGTGGATCATTAGTTGAAAATTAATGCATTGATTGACATCAACACAAAATCAATTGACCGTTTTAAAGAACGTCCGGGAATGAATGGGAATGCGCGCTCTAGCGAGTATATTGACAAATCAATAAACCCGCGAACTATAATAATTTAAATTTCTGAAAGCCCACTTCATTAGGGTCAATTTGGTATATCACTCTTAAATTTCAAAAATGGATAAGGGTAGAAGAAGCTTGTTTGAAAGGGAGCTGTTAGCAAAACGAGTGATGGAGTTCTACAACACGACAGCCAACCGAGACTCCAAGGTGACCTGGAACTTTTTTAAGCAGGAAGGAATTCCAAGTTCAAATGTGTATTCCTACATAAAAAAGTTCAAGGATTCCGAAAATGTGCAATTCAAGAAGCCAGCTGGTCGTCCGGCGAAGCTAGCGACCACTCGAGTGAAAAATAGAATTGAAAAAATTTTCAAAACCAAGCCATCAACGTCAGTAGCTGTAGCTGCCAGGAAAGTCAAAATTTCCAAAAGCTACCTGGGGGAAATTAAGGTCCATAAATTAGGAATCAAAGCAAGGACCAAAAAACCTGCACCAAATTACAAGCCCGTACAAGAAAGTCGGATCAAGGATTGCTGTCAAAAATTGTTGAAGAAAATGCGTGGAAAAGTAGTGATCCTGGATGACGAAACGTATGTTCCGGTTGACCCTTCAAATCTTCCAGGGCGTCATTTTTTTCATAGCTCGGATCCCTCTGAAGTGGCTTATGAAGAAAAAGTACGAAAAAAAGACAAATTTCCAAAGAAATATTGCATTTGGCAATGCATCTCCAGTCACGGACATGTATCAGACCCGGTAGTTCTCGAAGGGAATATCAATCAAGATATTTATCTGAAAAATTGCGTCAAGGCTGGATTGGAAGCATTTATTAATAGGTTTCACAAAAATGATAAAGTTTTGTTTTGGCCTGACCTCGCCACTTGTCACTATGCAAAGAAAGTGACCGAGTACCTCAGAAAGAAAAATATTGATTTCGTACCAAAAGATATCAACCCACCTAATGTACCCCAACTCCGCCCAATCGAAAAATTCTGGGCACGTTCTAAGTCAGTATACTCCCGGCTTCAAGATGTGCCTGACACCTTTCGAAAATTCAAAGGACGATGGAAGAAAATCACCTCGGAAGTGGCAAAAACTTCGGGAAAAAATTTAATGAAAAATCTTCGCAAGAAAATCGAACTAGTCGCCAACGGGGGTGTGGCGGCCTTAGCTATTAATTAAATTATGTAGGTACGTATTTGGTATTATACATATGCAAAAAGTTTAAAATTCCGATAACTCATTGTGATTTTATGACCACATTTTCAGACCATTCCCATTCATTCCCGGACGTTCTTTACATACATCCTCGGATGGAAATGATGAGCAAATTAGCGAAAAGAAAATTATCAAGCTTTTCCCGCATGAATGGTGGTTGGTAACTGTCACTTTATCGACTAATTATGGTTGACGATGATTCTTTACACGACCATAATATGCAAAAGTTGAGTCTTTTTCATAAGTCACATGTACAGCGACGACGGTTCGTTATCAAGGAACACTTACAACCAATTTATGTATTTCTAAATAGTAAAGTCCTTTTTAAGTCTGCATTGAAAACTAATCGCTCGGAATCCCGAAGAGGAGAGAAAGTTTGGAAATATCTACTTAAAATTTTACATTTGTATTTAAAATGAGAAATGTTAACATATGTACATGTGCTCGAGGTACATGTACTTATGCACGACTGACATATTACACCATATACTTTGCCTCTTACTTTTGCTTGGATAAGTTTAAGAAAAGATGAGAATGGAAATTAATAGCCGTATCGCTTGCTACTACAACTGCATTATTTATTGCATTTATTTATTATTACGAATTTACTGCTACTGATACTACGCATCAGTCCAAACATGCACTTTAGTGCCATTAATGGCCACTTTTATTTACTTTCTCGGTCGTAAACTGAAAAACCAACAAAATGCTCATTACATACCTAAATATATTGTTAATAGAAATTAGAAATCTAATAAATAAATAAATAATCGTATGTATTCATCCCAAGTTTAGCAAATTATTATCCAGTCGCAAATATTTTTCATATTTGGAGGCACACACGAATACTTTGTAAATAGTTGCAAATTGCAATATTCTTGGTGAAATTGTGCGTGTGTATCCGGTCTCGAGGAGGATAAAGAGAAGTGAAAGCTTATCTGTGCATTACCCACGAAATAAATACTCGTACGTATTTATGCACAAGCGGAAGAAAGGAACAACTTCTCTCGCCAATTGAATATTATTGAATTGATGAATGGCCAACGTTATTTATTATTATGTGGCAAACTTTATCTACTCCACACACATGCTGCAATACTACATGACACCTAATAATAAAAATACTGCGTACTTACGTGTGCGGTGGTGGAAAAGAAAGTTTTCACAAATTGAAGGGTTTCTATAATAAGAAGAAGATAAACCTTGTCTGAGAAATTACAGAATGGTTTATCGAACCCGGATTTAGCAGCTCCACCAACTTATTATTTAGCCACGTCATAAAAGTATTAGCCAATTTTAAAAAAGGAAATCACCAAATCTACGTGATTTACAAGATTCTCGGTATGCATCCATCATCCCATAATAAATAATAGGGATTCATTTTCATCATAAAATTTGTAACTATAAACCGAAATTATTATCAATTTCGAGAAAAACGCAGCCAGCATTACGACTACTTATTTGCAGTACTTACTTGGCACGGTGGAATGAAAGTGACAATAAGATGATGATTCACCGTGACCAGATCCAACACCAGCCAGCCACATAAAAATGGGTAATTCAGGGTTTTGTTATGTAGCGTTTATTTATTGAGTGAAAAGTTCTCGTCCTGTGTTTACCTGTAAGAATGGGAAATGATTAAAGACTAATTAAAGGGAGATCTCTAAATCTCAAATACATAAAATAAATAAAAAAAACATCGTCTTCTTGGTCTTTTCATCAGCAAAGATTTGTTGGTTTCTTGGTGGTGAGATGATGATGATGATGATGAGCATTGAACTTGACTATGAGAGAAATGGAACCATCCTCATCTCCTTCTACACTTATTTACTATCCATCTTGTTCTTCTTCTTCTCTTTAGCCACACTTTTCTATTTTTGGGTGCATTTGCTCTCGATAGTTGACAATACAATGGATCTCGGTATAAATACACCTACAACTCTTCCACATCCCATCAGTTCGTCCCGTCTCACTCTCCCCTCTACATCTCTCCTCCTTATTAAGTGGAAATAATATCTCATCCTATAATCTCATCTTGCCTCCTCCGTGATAAGATGGAATAATCAGTTGACATTATTGGAACATTTGCCTGCTCTCTTTGTGCCAGTGAAGGATAAAAACGTACGAGAAAAAAATGGAAAGATCTCACCATTTCGGAGTTGTGTTCTTGGCCGTGCTTCTCGGCACGGTTGTGTCCACCGTGATTGGGGGGACGAATTCGTCGTCATCGTCGTACAGTGGGAAGGAATCGAGTAGCAATAGTAATAAACAGAGCATTACGCCGTCACAGCTCATGCCGAATACGATTGCTGGGTCGGCGTCGTCGATAAGCAACTCGATCGTTCAGGAGAAAGCGACTTCTCGACAGGCGAGAGACTACTCGCCACCTGGACAGAGTTATGGCGCAGTGGGTGGTGGCGGAGGTGGGGCGGATGGTGGTGCTGGGGGACAGGTGGCGTCCAGTTATGGAGCCCCGCAAGCTATTTCCGGTGGGTATGGAGGCTCTGCGCAGGGAGGTGGATACACACCGCAGTATGCGATCCCACCAATTGTCCTGGTATGTGCATATTAATTGTGTTCATTAATTGGCTATAAGTGATCATTCAAAATGTTGTAATAATTTGTATTTGTCATGATTCAATAGCAAAGTCAGGCAAGTGGAATGGGGGGAGGTTGGGGTCAAATGGGTGGTGGTGGAGGGGGTGGATGGGGGATGGGAATGGATGACGAAGACGAAGGTGGTGGTGACCTGAAGGACTTGATTGGTCTTGCGGGACTCGGTGGATTGAAGGGACTCAAGGGACTGAAGGGGTTGAAAGCCTTGAAGGCTGCGAAGGGGCTGGGACTTTTGGCATTGAGCCCGATTTTGCTGCCCCTCTTACTCTTGGCCCCACTCCTGTTGTTACTGCCACTTCTGTTATTGCTCTTCATCCCAATTCCAGTACGTGGCGGATTAATATGATAAGGTTGTACTGGCTGGAATTTCTAATTTGTGTTGTTTTTGAACTTAGGTCATCACTACGGGAAGACGAAAGCGTGACGTTAACGGGCAAGAGATCCCAACCAAAAAGTCACTGCTTCAGGTATGTACTTGCATATATTTATAACACTCACTGTACTTTTGCATAGACTAGAAAATGCAGGCTTGTCAACTAGCAATTAATTTTTCAATAGGAAACATTGGACGACATTATGAGACAAATTCCATCAGATTTTGCTCGTCTGGACTGGCGTGACGTTGATGGATGCATGGACAAATTTGTTTGCGATACGGGGGTAAGTAGTGCTTAACTGATCTCTGAATTTGAGATTTCTAACTTCATCTCTAACGACATTTGAAATTTCAACGTTTATACCTGAAATATATCCAAGAAATTTATTGACTTTCAATTAATTTTGATTCCTAGCATTTGAAATAAGGGTTGAAATTGGTTAAAAATTCAAATGTTCTACAAAATAACCCATTGCTTTGTATTTTTTGTAGGCCATGGTGTCTCGCGTGGCACCTTCGATGGTGGACCCTGCCGCCTGGATGTTGGAGAAAATCTGGCCAGACGGTTTGCAAAGCAAAGTACTCACTTTCCGAAGAGTGGGCAAACTTGCGCCCATGAAAAGAGAATCTTTTTGTCACTCCAAATTTAAATGTCGGGTGAAGAAATTGGAAAACCTTTTCCACAATTTGGTGGTAGAGCAGACGGGGAAACTAAAATTTAAGCTGCAGCAACGCCTTCGTCCCGATGAAATTTCACCAGCTAATGTTCTCCGAGCTTTGCTCTCTACCGATTAATTAAACTTTGAGCTCATTCTCTGTCCTAATTTAAATACTTAATTTATGAGATTGTTATTTTTGTTAAGTTTTGTTGATTATAATAAATAACGCTAAAACTATTTCCTGTCGATATCTTCATAATAGAATTTTCATGGAACTACCAACCAACTACACCAAATGCCAATTTCTCAAATAACTAAGCCACAATATTTTGCACTTATTTTTTAATTGTGGAAAGAAATTAATGAATTTATTTATTCTTCATATTTGTCTTATTACAATTAGCATTATGGACTGGATGCTTTAATCAATCTTATCTTATATAATACTAATATATTTATGTACAAACTCTTCTCTTCAAGAATTTTAGAACGCTTTAGACATAAAGTGACCAATAATAAAATCTTTGTACACGTTAGAAGCAGTCTATTAGAAATTGAGTATTCATGAAATTTAATAGGGAAATTTTTTGAGTTGTGTTGAAGAGCAATAGAATAACGAAATGAATAGCTTTTCATTTGTAGCATGACACTGCTTTATCAAGGAGAGATTATGTAGATATCAGATTTTAATATTTTTGCAGTAGGTAAATATTAATTGTCAGCTAACAACTGTTAACTATTGACTGACCAGTGTTCAGTCCAGTACTGGAAAAAGATCCCCAACCCAACCGCCACTATAGCAAATCCACATACCAATACTGCTGCCATATCATGTGGGAAGTAGCGCGGTGGTGGTGCGAAGGGGGCCGGCGGAATACGGAGAACGCCCTCCAACCGCTTGAGCTCAGATTCGAGAACCTTTAATACTTGTAAAATTGGTCTTCTTGCTCGGGTAACTGTAATTTTAAGATGTTTAAATAGGTACTCTTTGTGTACTATTGTCTGAGTAAATAGGACTGAGCAAGCTAATTCTTCTTGAGAATTACAACTTTCAAACTCGAAATATTGTTTTCGTGTTATATAAAAAATCTTAATACTCAGACCATACGTATTACGTACATATGTACGTCATTTTTGGACGCATCGTTTTACCTTGTCTGGTTTGTTCGAGTTTATCTAATCTCTCGAGCTGCTCCCTAAAGGCCTCCGTGTTTCGCCTTAGCTGGTTATATTGGTCATAGTCGAAATCTGTAAAATAAAATGAATAAAGACTGACGTGAATAATGTGCTAATATAAATTGTGTTAAATTAAATTTGCTGAATTACATGCTCACAAAAGTTGAATGCTATGGCTTATTTTCGAAGTAACGCAGGGTTCATTCAAGCTCCAATGATATCGTGCATGTTACATGGTAAAGGAAGCTTCCGAAAATTTTTGCAATACATAATTTATGAGCGCTTCCAAGGGGTTCACTTGATTTTTCACCATATTCCATGCATTCGCGTAAATTACACTGTTGTAATATGCAGGATGTCTTTAGGTATGCAATAATTAATAATATGCACTTACCAGCCATGGCTGTTGAGTCTTCCAAAGCAGTGGAATTGTTCTATTTAAAAATAAAATACGAGTTAACGCACAAAAAAATTATTCTGAACTACTGAGAGGACTATGTAAGACTGGATGCAAATATTTAGTTGCAGAATGGAATAGTTATGGAATGATTACATGCAACGAACTAACTAATTTTTTTTTACCAAAATCATGTTAAGTCATTTACTTCAGCCTTTGCACAAATTTGATTATTGCATCGTTGATTTAAATATTATTAGTCTTAATCTTAGTCTTTTGAATGAATAGGTGAGGTCTGAGGTTCTTACCTGATATCCAGCAACATGGTTATGGAAGACATTATGGGCAACCATAATATGCAAATTACTTATTTTCTGTATGAAATAAATTTAAATTCTTAGAGGACGATTTATTATGGTGGAAATTGTGAACTAAGCGACATTTATTTTTGAAATGAGGCATGTAAATATGTATAATGAGATATATGTATCCTTCTCCAGGTTGAACCCTTGTATTGTTGCACAAAATAAAAGGAATGCTTCCAAACCGATGCATGGTGGCGTTGGTGTACCATGAAAATGCTAGGATAAAACTAACATTAGCCTGGAGTATGCAATGTATGCAAATAATGGCTGATTGTTCTGATCCCATTTACGTTAAAGGGGATCACAACATAAGTCTCTTTGTCCGTTAGCAAGATGGCTTTCGAACGGTTCAACATATTTAATTTTATGACCTCTGTCGAGGTCGAAAATAAATTTCATCGCCAATCCCACACCATCAATATTTTTTACCTCGAACCAACCAATGACAAGGTCAAATGTCAAAAATCTAATAATTGTCATAAATATGTAATTTCAAAACAAAATTCATTCAACTTCTTTATGTTTGTTCACAACGGTTTATTATTATAACGGTATAATTTTAATTTTTTGTAAAGCTTCACCATTCATCCGGACAATTATACATTAGCCGAACTTTTCCAGCATCCAGCTGGCTGATTTGGAGTCTTTGACCAATTGTAACTCCAGGAATCTGCATAATTGAAGTAAAACAATTTATGAACAGGTTAAAAACTTGATTTTGATTGTTATACCTTGGGCACGAGAGTATCATTCCCGTCAATTGAAAATCCTCGAGCACTGTAGTGAAGAACACTACCATAGTCGTAGGGAGCCCCTAATGTGGTGACCGTGTCTTCTGGGTACTTATTAAAATTGTGTTCTTTTCCAGGCTCAATCTTGTCCCAAACGACGGTTAGATAGTCGTCTCTGTCCGGTCGCGATTGCTCGTGATAAAATCCGATAGCATGAAGCATTTCATGAATGATTGTTCCGTGTCGATTTGTACAGGATGGAGCCTCAAGATTCATTCCCTGTCAATATCAGTCATGATTATATATGTGTAGCTTGGTCAATAAGTTATAGTAGCTAACTGACAATGGAGGTCTTCCAGCGTATGCTCTCAGATTTTGACCAAATTAATTAGTGTCAATCGATCACAAATTCAATGAATATGAAATTTGCAAAAAATACGATCTGCCAATGCTCAGATTTGGCAAAGATATTTGCATCCGAAGAGGAGAAAACGTGCAGGAAATTTGGAAATTCTAAAATTTGTCATCTTTTGGGCACGTTTTCTTCTCTTTTGATGAAAATATCTTTGTCAAACGTCAACATTTGCAGATCGTGTCTTAGATTTGAGAGCATTTACGCTGGAAGACCTCCATTGTAAACGTTGCTAAATTACTTGTTGTCCTCCCCTCATCCCGACTGAGGATGAACACCCAGTTCCTTCTGCTCCTCTTCGAACCATTACGTAATTGGTGTCGGAGGGTCCTTTTGGCCTGAATTTGATGCACGTAGTGTTGGTAATTTCTGCCCATCCGGCATAAATCTTTGCCAGCTCATCTACCATGAAGGTTGGGTCGAGTTCGTAGACCACAGTGGCATTTGGCCATCTGTAAACCTCGTCAATTAGTCCATTTTCGATGGAAGGGGGAAGAATTATGTCCCCCTCGAAAAGACCAGGAGTCTCCTCAATATCTGATTTAGGTCAATATAAATCTGCTTAAATGTCTAAACTCCATTGTTTTTAAATATTTATTAACTAACCTCTCACCCATTTCTGCTGCGGAGCTGCATTTAAAATGCTGCAAACGCAGGCTAGCAAAATTGCTAAAGTTTTAACAAATTGCATTGTAATGGAGAAGCTATTGTTTATTGAGCCGATGTCAAATGTCCACTGGTCAATATCACTCACCGAGTAAAGACATTTAACACTTTTAAAAGGTCATGAGACTTTTACTCTTTATGATAATCAATCAATTGCATATCACAAAAGTTGACTGTTATAGATAATTACTGTGCATAAGTATGTTGTTGTATAATTAATGTTTTATCCAGGTAAATCCAGCCCCATTATCTATGGGTGCATATTTTAAACTAATACCAATTGGACTTACCAGACAAGGATACATTTACTTATTTTTGCACTGACAGGATGATGGAATAGTGACAAAATCAGTGGAAAATGACTGATTGTTATAAAGATTGCATAATGTATTGAATATTTGCTTATTGTACTTTACAAAAAAGAATACAATTTTGTAAATTATCCAGTAATTATTTGTAATAATAGTGTAATAATAATTTCATGATGCAACCCAACCGACCCCATTCGTGGGAAGAATTGCAGGAGCTTTTTCAGACGTATTTATAAATAAGTACACATAACAATGATCAGCAGCAGCACCCTATCAAACTGACGACGACGAGTATCATTCATTCATCCAAATTCGTCACATCCACATCCCGATTGTGTGTACATTCTGTCTCACAGACCAAGAAGACTGCATCATTTATGTTGAAATGTAATTTGTAATTCTGCACCATTTACGTGCCACCACATTCATTCAGACGTACAAACACATTGTTTGAATCCTCTCCTTAAATTGTCTTGTGGTGATGATGATGAGAGGAAAAGACGCAGTGATGAAGATTGTTTGTTGGGCTCTGCGTGAAATTTCGGCTTCTGAAGTATTCGAAGAAAAGCTTGTGTTCTTTTCATTTTTTTAAATTCAACAAGTAAGTAAGTATCTACCTAAGTCGTGGTGAGGTAGAATTCATTCAAGAATTGCGTCAGGATAGGTTTTTGGTATTTTTTTAAATCCAAAAGCTACTTACATCAGGAATACACGGCGCGGACTAAATAAATTCGTTATAAGTTTTAAAGCTTTTTTTTCTGTGTATGTAAAGGCTCCTAGGTTTAATCAATTTACGAAATGTTACACAATTCGAGTCATCATCATCAGTAGCAATCCTTGTCGTGATCGTATTATTGTATATGTGCCAAATCAGACAAAATAAGTGAATATGGTCACAACTTGGCAAAGATAAAGACATTGTGCAAAAATAGCCAACTAAATCTATTTGCATTTATGTATAACTTTTGCTTTTGGCGTTATGAATGAATGCGGGATTTATTTTTACTGCAGGTACCTTTTTGAGCTTATTTGTGTGTGTACACATGTACCTGTGGGGCTGGGTGTTTTCTGACTTCTTCTTAAATATGGAGATATTTATTTATGCTTCTGTTCCTGCCTGTCAGCTTAACTGGTTGCACAAATCAAATTGAATATGACTCGGATGAAGTCGGCGGATGTCATAATAACATTATTCTGTCTCTTTCTTTACAAAGCTTTGTCCATTTCCGCGTCTTTTGCATTTCCCTTTCAATCTTGAGCTAATCGGCGGAAAATGAAGTGTCATCAAATAAATAAATTGGCCGTCAATTTCAATTCACTATACAAGAAAGATGTGATTTAGTCCATCTAGTACAATTGGAGTACCGCTGTGCGTATACTTTCTGATTTCGTGAGCATTAAGTACGAACGACGAGGATGCTTTTCATACATTGGTTTTGCATTTCTTTTCTGGGAGTTGATTGAATTTGCATGAACGGATTACGATGAATTAAAAAAAGAGAACTTGCCGAATGAATTATAATTCTTTAGCACCCGTCATTTATTAAGAAGAGCAAATAATAAAAACTTTTGTTTTCTCCCATCATTTTTTATTAAAGCTCGTTGCAAAATAGTCCTCTGTCTGTCAACTAGGTCGACGGGTACATAATCGAAGAAACACCCAAAAATATTTAATTACTTACTGCTGTTACGGAAAGTCAATTATTGCATAACACTTGAGATCTTACTCCATCCGTCTCGTTCATCACGTGCATAATTTGCATACATACATCGTTACAGTGACACTAATTACATTCGGCGGTAGCAAAAGGCGAAAGAATTTACCATTATTTTTCAGAATACCTAATTAAACAAGAGGTGGGTTTAGGTAGTATTGCCAGATAAAGGATTCGGCAAGTGTGTGTTAAGTCGTTTCGTTACTCCTGATTACAGATGATGCTGAAAGATTATCCCAATTTAATGCCTCATGTAAACTAAGGTAGAATTCACGACAATAAAAGTAATAATAATGATAGGACGCTCTCCGCTAAAGAGTGTTTGATGATTTAAGATACATTATACATTTGTGGAGAGTAAGTACGTACCTCACACTTTTTTTTCATACATTAGATTTCTATTCTTCTACTAATATTCGTTCGTCTTATTACGTGTACATACTTTCCTGACATCATTAGATCTTCCCTTCTTCTAGTTCGTGATCAGTCGTGACAGGAAATATCGGCTGGGATGAAAATAAAAGCTAATAATACGTATTTGCACTATCTTTAGTATTTCATATTTGGATGAATTGGCTAATTATAGGCTAATTACGTGCACCTCTTGTATACGCCCAGCAAGTCACAACAATGTAGCGTTTCTTTCTATCCATCCATCTCGGTTTCCCAAACTTTTCCCCAATGTGACAAAAAATATTTGATAAATTTAAGTAGGATAAAACATACAACGCCTTGTCTAACTAGATATTTGCAGTTTGTGTTGTTTTCATCACTCCGCGTTATTTTTAGGTAGTGGCAAATTGAGAGGTACTGACAGGTCGTATTTATATACATAATTGTTTAATTAGTAGGTTAGGTAGTTTGCGGGTCGTTTAATAAGCTACATGCTTAGCAGGCTGTAACTTTATGCATATAAATTTTGTTGATATAATAATGTCAAATTTTATATCAAAATTAAAAAACTTGTGCCACGACAGAACAAGTGACAAAAATGATTAAGACCCCGACTGCGACTTCGCTAATCACAGCTTGATGTTGCCCATTGCATTTCATCATCTTCTCCTCCGCATAATAAGTCCACACAATGAACAATGGATGGATGGGAATAGGTAGCTTGTGAAAAAATGGAAACCAAGCTCTTAATGAATTTGAAAAATTGTAAATTATAAATTATTAGTAGAAATCAACAAACTGTTCTGTCGTAAAAAAATAATAAAATCAAAACTTTCCTTTCATCGGGTTCCGATTATGAATATTTCTTATCGGGAGAATTAAGTAGTTTATATCACTCACTGGTCATTATGGAATGGAAATCTTGACCAAATAAATTAGGTACTGGTAAATATTAAATAATGGGACAAATCTCTCTTCCAAAATGCACAATCATATATACAAATGTAAGCATCCCGTGCTGACCATTGCGGACGCAGCAGCACGTAAACCAACCTGCGTATTTGAGCTACTAAATTGTTGCTTCCTTCCTTATGGGATGTTAATATGCAGAAAATAGGCAGTCATCCTTTTCTTCATATTTTTTTTCTTCTGGTATACGTTTGTGGGTTATGGTACAGTGTTTACGGTTTACTTTTTTTCAAATTCAGGATTATTACGGACTGTTTTGTTACGTTGGGTATGAAACAAATTCTGCTTTAGCCGGCTTCTTCTTATGATATGACAAGCATGCAGTACTGCTGACAACTGAGATGATGACGCTGTTGCTAATGCTTGTGTGCCTACTATGCGTCGTCTTATCTGGTTTAAAGCCTTGGTAGACGAGGTGTGAGAAATTAGTAAAAAAGGAAAGGAAACAATGAATTATAGGAAAATGCAACAAAGAAAATCCCTTCCCTTTCAGCTGAACCAACGCGGTTATAAAAGCTCGATAACTGTTTGGACTCTTACTTAATACTTGGATTGGGAGCCGTCCAATCCACATCGATGCAAAGAAGTCACTCATTCCACGGATTCCAATAGTGAAGTGAAGCCAATTAAGTTTAAAATCTTGTGTGCCGTGATGGTGGGAAGAGTGTTGTAAAATATTGAGTGGTTTTCATAAGATTTCGATCTGTGGTGAGAAGTGAGTGATTGATACGTTGCCAATTTAGTGGGGGATATTATTTTGCTTAAGATGGCAAGAAAGCGACAGGTATGCAGGCACAATTTTCATGCAGTGATACAAAGTTTTCTTCAATAATGTTAATTTTGATGTGTAGGCCGTCGTTTGTGTGCTTCTGGCCATTTGTCTAAGCGTACAATTCCACGAGTCGGAAGCAATTTTTAAGAAATTAAAGAAATTATTTAAAAAGGGTGAGTCATTTAATTGGCTTGATTTTAATTGGAAAGATTTAATTGGAGACAACAAATTAAAATCTTTTTTTTTGTAGGTGGTGGTGGCGGAGGAGGAGGGGGAGGTGGGGGTTGGGGAGGTGCGTTTTTTAATTAAAATTTAAAGTGACATGTCAGTATGAATTTCAATTTTACGGTCCAACTAGAGCTTATGTAACCGTCCTGTCGTTCGATAATTCTTGAACGCGTTGACCTATTTTTTGCCAAATTGAATAGAAATATATATATGTAACGACTGAATTCAAGATTCGTTCGATCGATCGGGTGGTTAAGTTATGTTATGTAATTTTAGGTTAGGTTAGGTTATCGGGTTGTCTGGTTATCGGGCAATTTTCATAAATTGGCTTGAAAAGCTGGACTTTATGAAAGAGTATGAAATTAAATGTTGCTACATATATTCAGCAGAATTTTGCATGCAGACTAAAAATGATTTATTGGTAGCAAATACGCCTTAGGAATTATACATATTTTTGTTGGAACGACCCCAACCTGACCCAACATGCCCCTGATCAAGGGGCATGTTTCCTTTGGTGTCAATAATTATAGTGCAAAATTTTCCTATTATTTAGTCCATTTATTTTTATGTGACAAAGCTGTTTACTAATAAACCCTGTCTATGCAAAACTGTACTGAGAGAGGTTTTTATAATTTCATTAGGTGGGGGCGGTGGCGGAGGAGGAGGAGGAGGTTGGGGTAAATCAAAATTTAAATTCAAAATTTAAAAACTATGCAAATATGTAAATATAAATGTTTATGATTTCTTTAGGAGGAGGTGGTGGAGGTGGTGGGTATGAAGGTATGAAAATCTCCTAGTAGGGATAGGCCATTTGCAGACTAACTTACCTCGCGTTTATTTCATCAAGTGTGATTGTTTCTTCTAATTGCTACATATGTTTTATTAGGGGGTGGAGGAGGAGGCCATGGTGGTGGATACGGTAAGTTAATCGCGATTAGTCAAATGCGATTTAAGCATTCAAATAATTTCATTTTCGGATTTACTTTACCGTTTTTAGGAGGAGGTGGAGGTGGAATCGGTAAATAAATTTATTGAGCGTAATTAATGCATGGTGAAAGTGCAGTTTAGTGGATTAATTTGGATTTAGCTGAATTTTTTTGTGGATACCCTATGGTCCCGTGACAAATAATTTTTTTTCACCACGGTCTCGAAAAATAAAATTTCTAGAAATTTTGCATACAAATTACTTCTTGTCTCCGATTTTTATGAAAGTGATTTTATAGACTAATTAAACTATGCTGGACAACCTAAAAAATGGTTCATGGTCCATGGTCCATTGCGAGCTATGGACGGCGCAGGGAGCTCAAAAAGAGCTGAGCCAAACATGTTTTCTTGTCCTTGACACAGTGGGCCTTACAGAAATTATAATTTTGACATTTTGGGGTACCGGTCGTAATTAGCGAGCGAAGCGAGCAGGTTAGGTTAGGGTAAAAGGAGGGAAATAGCTTTAGCTAGCAATCCTAACTTTTTGTTATCAATTTTTTCAAAAATTGCTTCGGATTATTTTCAGCATAATTAGTCAAGAAGATCATTTTCCTGGAAATCGGAGACAAAAAAAATTCTAGAAATTTTATTTTTCGACACCTACGCGAACAAAGTTTGGTACCCCTGCTCAGGGGACCATAGGGTATTTACAAAAAAAAATCAGCTAAATCCTGCCTAGTCCACAAAACTGGAGTTTTCCAAATGCATTTATGCAAATTGACCGTCCATCATTAAAAATTACTTTCTCTTGTTTTGCTCAGGCCAAAGTGGAAAGATTGTGATTATCAAGGTCGCTGATGGTGGTGGCGGCGGTTATGGTGGAGGAGGTATTATTTAATCCATTTCGTGGGTGTGGTCATCTCAAATTTCAAAATCCTATGGTTTTGTCCAGAAAATTTGCAATTTTCAAGGTCCCAAATGTGAACGCGATAACGCAGAAATACCGTTTCTGTTTAGTTTTAGATTTGAAATTAAAATTGATCTGGTCAAAACCAGAGATGATCACGTAATTTTGTCGCATAATAAAAATTAATTGGTCATGCTAATAAGTCTAAATATTACGGGGCTATATTATTAGGCGGCGGCGGCGGCGGCGGATATGGCGGAGGAGGTAAATTGTATATTTAATCCATTATGCGTGGGTGTGATCATCTCAAATTTCGAAAACCAGTGGTTTTATCCAGAACATTTGCAATTTTCAAGGGACAAAACGTTCACGCATTGTGGATAGCGCAAAAACACCGATTCTACTTTAGGTGGGGAGGTTGTGTACTATAGACCTCGGTTCGCTTTGGATATGCTATAGTGTCCCATGAATGAACAAGACCCCCCAAATGGTTTGATGCCATGACCACATTTCCGCCCGCCACACCCATTCAAATGTGCCCAAAAAACGCTTTCACTCCAGCTTTCACTCACTTAAATCCACGCCAAAAATCCAATTTTGCTCGGATTTTGAAATTTCTTTCACCATTATGCTCCCAGATAGTTGTTTTCCTATATCCAACATCAAACTCAACTTTTGGAAATTTTTAGTATTTTTAAAATTTAAAATTCTGAATGAGCATTTCTGTAGTAATCAACAAAGCAAAATGCCTGTGAAATAATCACCAAAAAAGTTTAGTTGATGCTGGATATAGGAAAACAACTATCTGGTAAAAGGAATTTCAAAATCTGAGTAAAATTGAATTTTTGGCGTGGATTTGAGTGAGTGAAAGCTGGAGTGAAAGCGTTTTTGGGCACCTTTGAGTGGGTGTGGCGGGCTCAAATGTGCCATGGCATCAAACCACTTGGGGGTATTGTTCATTCATGGGACACTATGACATATCCAAAAGGCATCGAGATCCGTAAATTGATAGTACACAACCTCCCCTCTTTAGTTTTTGTTTTGAATTTGAAATATGGCCAGAACCAGAGATGATCACGCAATCACGTCACATTATAAAAGTGAATTAGTTATGTAACAAGTATAAATATTACTCAGGCGGCGGCGGATATGGTGGGGGTGGGGGTGACCTCGGGGGTGGTTACGGAGGAGGAGGTGGGGGTGGTCATGGAGGGGGGAAAGGGGGTGAGATTTTTAAATTAGATGTCAAGTTTTTCGACCCCTCTAAAATTACCCCTTAATTTTTATATTGTTATTGATCTCTATTTCAATTCATGGTGCATTGGAATTTTTTGGTTTTTTAATAATGCACGGTGAAAGCAAAAGAGAAAGCGTATTTATGATTTTATGCCTTAAAAGTGAACTTGATCATATAACAAGGGCAAATTTTGCTTAGGTGGTGGATACGGAGGGGGAGGAGATTTTGGCGGGGGTGGGGGCTATGGAGGAGGTGGTCATGGAGGGGGAAAAGGGGGTGGTAAGAGATTTTTAAATTACATGTCAAGTTTTCCGATCCCTAAATTTGATATATTATGAGGAATGTATAACTGATTATAGTTGAATACTACTCCCGACCATAATAAGCATTTAAAAAGATAGAAATGCTTCTTTTGCTCATAATAAATTATTTCGTTCATAACTGCTCGATTTTTCCAGAAATAATAATGCACGTTAAAATCGTTTTTAAATTTTTAAAAACTTTACACATTTTATCAATTATTAGCCAACCTTTAATGTCTTTTTAATATGCGCTTTTGCTGGTCAACCAAGCTTGCGTTCCCCTCAAGACAAGATATTTTCTCCGTTATTGTCAACTTGGATTTCTTTATGATAAGAGGAAGTATTCGGGAAAAAGTATTAATTATGGTCGCAATAAGAATTATGATTAGTTAAATAGGGCCCATATATTACTATTGATTTCTATTTCAATTCATGATGTACTGAACTTTTTAATAATGCACAGTGAAAGCAAAAGAGAAAGTGTGTTCATAATTGTTATAACAAAATTTTTTAGGTGGCGGCGGATACGGAGGGGGAGGAGATTTTGGTGGGGGAGGAGGTGGAGGAGGTAAAATATTGCTATTCACTAATGAAATGTTAAGGGGAAAAGTGCTTTGTGTTTTAAAACGCATGTATGATTGTTACTTTGACAAATTAGGTTATGGGGTGGTTTCGTCGTCATACGGAGGAGGTAGGTTTCCACCACTGTGAGCGTTGATTATAAAAATTACAATTTACAATTTCAAATTCCTTAGGGGGAGGAGGAGGGTATGGCGGAGGGGGTGGAAAAGGAGGTAAAATACGTGCTATTTACTAGTTTAATGTTTTAAGGGAAAAGTATTTTGTGTTTTAGAATGTATGTATAATGCGTGTTTTTATTTTGACAAATTATTAGATGGGGGAGGAGGGTACGGAGGAGGAGGCGGAGGCGGAAAAGGGGGTGGAGGTAAAATTTTTACAAATTTTGAAACTTTCTATTCGGTTTTGACTAGAAATTTCGCTACACCTGATGGAGTATTTAACAAGTGGGAATATTTATTAGGAGGTGCTTATGGTGGGGGTGGGGGTGGAGACTTTGGGGGTGGGGGCAGTTATGGCGGTGGAGGAGGTGGGGGTGGAGGAAAAGGTACGAAAAATCACGTGTCTGTGGATGCATAATTACAGTTCATCCATCATGTATTCGATGAAATGCTTTGCATTTTTACTAAATCAATCGGATTAGCTATAGCGAGAAGCCTAGCTAAATTTCGACAATTTATGAGTGTTAAATGCTTGATTAATATACTTGAATAATACTTTTAGGTGGTGGCGGTGGATCCTATGGAGGAGGTAATTTTGCATTTACCAATTTGATACATACATGACTAATTTTTCCGATCGATTTGAAATTGTCATTCAATTACCATTTGTTTCTTTTCTATTGAACTTTGTTAGCATTTTATTTTTAAATGCACTGTGAAAGTAAAGGAGAAAGCATGCTCATGATTTTATTTCTTATCAGGTGGTGGAGGAGGGGGAGGAAAAGGAGGTAATTTTTGTATGAAAATATTATTACATGTAAATATATTTTTTGCTCAATTTTTGGAAATTTGTATATTTTATATGTAGATGGAGGGAAAGCCCACGGTTAGTAATATTACTGCTTTTGCCATTGTTTTTACATAATAAAGTATATGTTGTTGTATCACTAACCTGTATTCACTAACAATACTTAATTGGCACGCACTAACTTAACTGCACCTACTTACCATTGGTCAAATAACTTACTAACTCGTCGATTTTTAAAAACCCAACTGAAAAAACGTGTAACGGGGGACGATTAACAAAAGAGTATGCAAAAATAATGCTGAATAACATATACTCTTAACTGTTGCATTGAGTAATTAAGGGCATCAGTCATACTAACCATATTGGGGGAAGGTCGTAAAACTAAAAATATCCTATCCATGACATGACATGAATCTGATTCCATACGTCAAGGCGGAGGTCACGAACATCATCACCACCATCATCATCATCATGAGCACAGCGGCGGTGGTGGTGGATACAGTGGGGGCGGCGGCAGTGGTGGATACAGTGGGGGCGGCGGCAGTGGTGGATACAGTGGGGGCGGCGGCAGTGGTGGATACAGTGGGGGCGGCGGCAGTGGTGGATACAGTGGGGGCGGCGGTGGAAGTGGTGGATACAGTGGGGGCGGTGGGGGTGGTGGATACAGTGGGGGCGGTGGGGGTGGTGGATACAGTGGGGCGGTGGGGGTGGTGGATACAGTGGGGGCGGCGGGAGTGGGGGTGGGGGTGGATACAGTGGGGGCGGCGCCGGTGGTGGATACAGTGGGGGCGGTGGGGGTGGAGGCGGATACAGTGGGGGCGGCGCCGGTGGTGGATACAGTGGGGGCGGTGGGGGAGGCGGATACAGTGGGGGCGGCGGCGGTGGAAAAGGAGGTGCGAAAAAACCTCGCATAGAATAAAAATTAGGATATCTTGCGTGGTGGATGGAGCATATATAATTTCATTAAACAGTTTTCTATCCTTCAACTTTAAATCAATGCGTCAAATAGTTCGGCTTTGAGAATTGCAACCAATCGATGACTTTATAGACGAGGCAGACATTATTATATAACAATCTGACAATTATCAATGAGGGAAAATAATTTAGAGGCGAGCATGACTAATTTGACAGCACAGCACCTACACCCAAAACTTATGTCAACGAACCGATAGTTCGGCCGGAACTTTTACTTATAAATTGTATTTCAGATTCAGGTGGGAGCTACGGTGTCGTCGCAGCTGCTCCTGTGTCTTCCTATGGGGGAGGGGGCGGTGGGGGTGGAGGAGGTAATTTTTATCAAACATTACGTAGATAATATCCCACAAGCATATTGCTTATCAGATCATTTGCTCATCTTATATGTAAAATTTTTCATGGCTATGTTTTTGATCATAAGTATTCTGTGCAATTAGAGGTCTTCATAAAATGAACTTTTAGGCCTAAATTCTGCTGTCACTTCATTAATTATCGTAATAAGTACACGCGATAATCGATTGGGCTGAAAACCAGCCAAGTCCCAAACTTACTAGGCATATAAAATCCTTGCCCTTAAGGAAAGTTTTTCGAAACCTAGAAAAATTAAATTAAATTTTTCTCCAAATATTTATCTCTAAATATTTACTACAAAATAATACATATTTGCATATGCACATATTTCTCTCTGTAAGATTTTTGCACTCCTCATGCAGTTTATCATGTCCAGATTTCATTCAAGCATATGTACTATGTTTCAGGTGATTATGGTGTTCCCTCAGCTCCAGCATCCTCGTATGGAAGTCCGCCGTCTTCCTATGGGGGTGGGGGCGGTGGGGGTGGCCATGGTGGTGGCGGAGGTACGTTAATTGTATTTTCTGCAAGGAAAGATGACACTTTAGAACAATGACAGTACAATTAAATTGCATATATTTTAGGAGGTAGCAGTTATGGAGCGCCTTCATCTTCCTATGGGGGTGGGGGCGGTGGAGGTGGCCATGGAGGAGGTATGTTTTACTCAACGTGTTAATTTCTTGTCATTGCTTTCTCTCAACCCTTCATTTCACTTTATCATAAGTGAATTTGTTACAAATTACCTTTTCTGCTCAACCTTTCATTTCATATATTCATATTGTTCATAGGCGGTGGGAGCTATGGGGTTGTCGCGGCTCCGTCATCTTCTTACGGCGGTGGCGGTGGGGGTGGCCATGGAGGAGGTATGCTTTACTCCCTTAAGCTGACAAAGTGTTAATTTCTTGTCATTGCTTTCTTTCAACCCTTCGTTTCACTTTTTCATTTTACTTAAGGTGGGTCCAGCTATGGCGTTGTTGCAGCTCCGTCGTCTTCTTACGGAGGGGGAGGAGGAGGTATGTTTCCTCATCTACCCACAATAAGTGAATTTGTTTCTGCTCAACCTTTCATTTCGAATATTTGTTTAGGCGGTGGGAGCTATGGGGTTGTCGCAGCTCCATCATCTTCTTATGGGGGTGGTAATTTTTTTAAGAAAAACTTTAGCTATTCAAATTTGAAAACAAAATCTAAACGCAATGCGATTAAATTTTTAGGAAGTTCTAGTTATGGCGTTCCACAAGCTGAACCTCTCTCGTCGTACGGAGGGGGAGGAAAAGGCATGCATACAAGTCAAATAGATCTACTCGTCAATTAAAAAAAACATTGAAATTATTTTGTTTCTTTATAAAGGCGATGGAGGTGGTTTCGGGGGTGGGTCGAGTAGCTATGCTGCTCCTGCTTCTGATTACGGTGGGTCGTCGAAGGGTGGTGGAGGAGGTAAGAAACACTTACTGGCTCGATAATCTCAATTAAAATTACTTCACATGCTTAATTTAACAGGAGAAAGTTATGCCGCTCCTGATTTTGGGTCTAGCGTCAGCTACAACGCTCCTTCTCAGAGCTACGGAGGGGGCGGTGACGGTGGGGGTAAAGCAATTGCTCAAATCAGTGTTATTGTGGGAGATTTTCAAGACCACCATGTTTCTTCAGGTGGCCATGGCGGTGGTGGGGGTAGTCATGGCGGAGGAGCGTATGGAAAGAAGTGAAAGTTTGGAGAAAGCGATTCATAATCAGATTAGTAATTTTGTACTTTATGACTCAAACTCTAATCAGCTAGTCAACCAACTCAAAACATTAATGCTAACCGTAATGATAAGCGCAATCGTGTTGCCATCAAAGTTTTTCAAACTAATGACTAACCGAGTTACTTACTCAACTCATGATAACAATAAATAAAAGTGAAAAAGATATTCTGTTTGTTAAAAATATTTCCACGTCATACAAAACTGAAATTTGAACTGCAAAACACATTTCCACCATGACCAAAAGTCCATAGACATACATAAACTCACAAGTACTGTCCCGATCTCAATTTCCTTTCGGGTAATCTTAATTGATAGATAATTCAGTGTAACATACATAAACTTTGTCACTGAACACTTCTAGAAATTTGGGTAACGATTATAACCAAAAAGTAAATGCATGTGACTCTACCACCCTGGTTATTATGTCATCGAATGGTTACAATTGTCACCGACTAATTATAAAGTTTCACCGAAATAGTATTAAATTGACACCAGAACAAATAAATTTATAACCAGTTGGTGCCAAATTCATTACCACGGTGGTAGAGTCATATACGTTTACATTTTGGTAATAATCGTAACCCTGTGATATGATTTGAAGATGAAATATGCACTTATTCATAATCTGAACCAAATCCGTTGTCAATTGTGATCTGAACATCTAACCTAACCTAGTCTCAATAACAGTACCCCACTAATGGGGCATATTTTTGATAGCCATTGACAAAATATACCCTAATAATCTCACGGTGGTCCACGTAAACTTACGAATAAAATAGAGTGAGTTAGTCAGGAGCGCAAATATATAGGCCTATATTCATGCCGTCCTATATATTTGTATAATCCATAGTGGAGGGACCCCATAGGGCCCTTCCCAGATAAATTTGTTCCAGTTTTCAAAGAAAATCAAGATGGGACAGTACTTAAGGTTCCCTTGTCAGTTACATTTCGTACGAGGTGTCAATGACAATTCGCTTCGAATTTTCCACGATTTTTGCGCTGTGCCCACTGGCGTCAGTTGTGAATTCCAAGATCTGCACAGTTTACGCCCATAAATACAACTTCCGATTAGCCTGAATTATGTAAGTGAAAGCATGACGCATGTAGAAAATAATGATACTCCGCCACAAAGCATTTATTCGATTCGTACTCTGGTAGGAATGTTTACATACAAATACAGTTTTTGTAACCTGTTCGTTATTAAAAAACGAAATTTCCCTGCGTATTTAACAGAGTGACAATAATATTAATATTACAAATCACTATCGCCCACTAACAAGTCATATAATTTAATACATTGGTAAATACAGAGATGACAATTAAAAATTAAATAGGTAATCAACAACTGGTACACAGTAACAATAAACTATATAGAATAATAATAATAATAAAAAGTCCTCAGTTCCTTGAATTAAGTAAATCTGAATGACGATGTTCTTCTTCTCAATCAATCGTTCAATCGATGGGGTTTTTTCTCAGTGGGGTTAGTCACTTGATTTTCTATTTAATATACTTTATTATTATTATGAATAGTTCAACAACATCTTTTGTGTCAGGCTATCAAAATTCAGTTGTTACATGCAGATTCAATTGGGACTGGAACTGGTAATGGTTCGTCCAGTTTCATCTTCTTTGCAGCAGGGAAGCCTTCGTTATCGTTTGCATCTTCGCTATGGTGGTTCACCACATCTGCAGATGAAGGAACAATGTCATTCTTTTTCGCCGTGCCGTTCATTTGCCCGTCCGACTGCCCGTTTTTCTTGTGACCTTCAAAATATAGCAAGAAAATAATATTAATAACATTACTCATTTTACATGTTATCAAATTATTATTATGATAACGTACTTTGAACAAAGGCGTCCACGGAATTGGAATCGTCTCCTGTTCCCAAGTTGGAATCTTCATTTCCGGTAGCTGTAACAAAAAAATATAATTTTGGCATATAGAAATATTCTGATTAATTGCAGTGGTGCTGTGATATGTATTGACACTCACCGTCACTCACGGATCCTGCATTTGAAAGATTGGAATTGCCATCTTCACTCAGGATCTTGGAGTCCGCCGAGGAGATGGTAGACGCTAATGAGTCTTCCTGCAATACTCCAATAGGAGGAACTATCCCTTCACCGTCTCCAGGTATATTTTTAAGAAGATCAGGTTTGAGGGTTAAAAGAACGTTATGAGTCCATCTGTAGAGAAAAAAATCATGTCAATATTTTCATCCTTTTCTAATATATGTACATGAATTTTTGTGGTTATTCACAAAATGCAAACTTACAAGGCCAACTCAATCTTGTGTGGAGTCCATTCGCTTGAACCTCCCAGTCTAGCAACAGCCTAATTCAATAAGAAAGAAAATTTAATCAGGTTCCTGAAACAGTGAAACCGCACAAGTCACTGCGTACTACTCAATTTTCAGTAGTGTGACGTATGTAATGTGCTAAAAAAGTAAAAATTTCCATAGCACAAAAAATACTCGTGTCGCCTGTATGTATTACCTGCTGAACGTGTTTAAAGAGTTCGAGATATTCTTTGAGAGTGTAGTCGATACCCTCGAGTTCGGGAACCGCTGCGATACACTCGTCCGCCATGAAAAGGGCTTTGTCGGGAGCGGCGGCAGTCAACAAGCTGCTCGCCGTCGAAGGTCCAACACCCTGCCATAAAATATAACATGAATGATTACATCAAATGGTACATGTTTTGAGGTACAATTAGTGACAAACGAGAGCCACACCTTGAGATTACACATATACTGAATGGCAGCCGCCAGGTCATCTTTCTTAAATAGAGCTCGGAAGGCTTTCTTGGTCTAAAATGCATGAATACAAAACAATTAAATAAGCTATTTGGTGGCCAATTTCATAAACAGTTTGACTCATATGCAAGAAAATTCACCTCATTTTCAACAACCCTTGGAGAGTTCATTGTAACCAACTCCTTCAACTTGGGACGGAATTTACCCCTCTGAAAATGATAACATTTATTTCTTAATTTTAATAATCCATATTAAAATAAAACAATCGATACTTGGATTTATTCCACTTACAGCCAACTTCCATCTCATGCAAGTTACCAACTCATCGTGATTGATGTATGGGTCTTTCCCTCTGGACTTGATCTTGACTGGCAATTCCTTTTGGTACCTGGGTTAAAGAATATACAAATTCTCGTAAAATATATGCAGCATTTTATTTCATAAATATTATCATCCATCCATCCATCACCAATCATTAGTAGTAATGCTTTTCTCCTCCCCAAAAAAAACGTAGCCGGTGAAAGTTTATCCAATAAATTTCAAAGTATCCATCCATCCATCCAAGTCATTCAATTTAGTAAACTAACATGACGCAACAGTAATTCTTGTGACTTATAACGATGCAAAACTGAGTCAGAGAGAATGTGAGACTTTTTTGCCTTCTTACAACAATAGCGTGGCAGTTTTCTCACCTAAATGCAATGCTGAGCAAGTCGAGAAAAAAGAAGGGTAAGTTTCTCGCCCCAATCAAACCCGTTTCATCCGTCTCGTCTCAAATTCGAGTGACAAATTGGGTGAAAGCAGAGGAGTTAAAGAAAGCAGAGCACGTGGAGCTATTTTGTACATGTAATAATGTTGAAATCACCTCATACTCGGCGCAATTAAACCAAATTCATGCATTCATTTTATCACCAGTCCAAATACTCGCTTTATCAGTAATATTATTAAGCAAAGGAATGAATCACCAACCAAACCATTTTACATTTACAGCAGCAGCCATGCCAGCAGCACCATCATGATGAACCAACAACTTATATTATTTAGTTCATCCTTTCGAGTAAGCCAACTCTGCAGGTTTTTCTATTATACTTGTGCCTACGTGAGTTCTAGGTTGGATTGGAGAGAGAATTGTGAGGTTGGTTGGTTGGTGGAAAACCTTGGGTTCGTTCGTTTCGTTAGCAAATTCGTGATACTTTACTGGCATGGCTGGCTGGCTGGTTGGTTGGTTGGTGGAAGTGGATTGGACTTGAGCACGAAGAGAGAGAAAAAGGAAGCCTGTTCTGTAATATAATGCTGCTGGCTTGGCTTGGCTTGCTCATGGGGCGAGGGACGTCGAAGCGATGGCGATGACGCTGTCGACGACGACGACGCTTAAACGAGGAGAGAGAGCAGTTGGTTGAGCAAGCAGAGAGAGCTGGGCATATCTTTATGCATGGGCTACATTCGATTCAGCTACGGCCCACGTTAAAAACTTGGTCGGTTTGCCTTTGGGAAACAGAGAGAGAGAGAGAGATGTGTTATTTGCTTCGTAAGTAAAGCAGCAGCTAACATTTGTTGGCCAAAGTTTCAGCCGCCTTACTTGGATGCTTGCATGATTGTACAGTACTGAGAATTTTCCAACTACGTACTTGTGTACCATCATCATTCCATCCACCATTCTAAACAACCTCTCTTTTAAGCTAACTAAAACTAACTACATTTAACATTACTTTTACATAGAAAAGTACGTACGTACATTCTGTTCAGCTCATCGTTTTCAGCCTTAAATGCTTACTTGCTTGCTTGCATATAATATTATTATCATACATATTGCAAACACGCCACACTTGTGCCTGTTTTTGTGGCACGTCTGACTCCTCTGATGTTGACTGAGATACTGAATGTGCGATGTGGTGGCGAAGCGATGATGATGGTGATTTTTCTAGTTGCGAAATAAAATCTCAACTCAATTTGCTTTCTACAAAACAAAACCAGCTCTCTTTCAAGTATAATATTGGGAATTGGGAGAAATTCCGAATACACTGGCTGCTGCACTCTCAATCAACATGAAATTCGATGAGTGACTGAGTATGCACTGTGCTAGGTGAAGTAGTATTTATGCATGTAAAATAATATGATTACGATTACGCGACCTTCTTCCAGGAAGAGAATGCATTCTCTATTGTGCTATGCTCTCAAATAATTGTATTTGCATGCATGCATTCGCACATTTGCGTATGCACTGTCGCGATACAGGACTAGTTAAATTTTAAAAGTTGGGTCGGAGGGAATATTTTGCCGACTATGTGTGTAACATTGACTGTTTTGTTGTACATATTTGTTGATACTGGACTTGACTCTTTCCTTATTTTGTGTCATTCTCTCCTCGACAGGGAGACGAGGAGAACGTTTAATAAAATGCGATCCTGTATTGAACAAGTCTACTAACGAAGAATGAGAGGAAGCCGTAATAATAATAATAAAGCTCATTTCCACATTTTCTATAACGTAGAGTGACTCGATTTAATTGTAAATATGCGTACGCCAAGATTGTTAATGGCAATGCGAAAAAAAACGATGATCAATGTGGTTTATTCGTATAATAGTTGATGATGCACCTTGCCTTGAGAATTGTAGAAGAGTTACTGTGAATATAATTAGTTAGTGACTACCTTAGCTTACGTAAAGTAAAGACCTTTACGCGTTACTGGTTTTTATTTAGTCTGGTAAAGTTCTCAACTTGCCCAGATTTGATTTGGGTTAAAAATGAGATTTCATTCATCCATCCTTTTTCTCCAGGCTTATCTACACATTGCATTTCCTCCGTGTCCTCAGATGGAAATGAAATGTTGAGCCACAACCAACCCACACCGACCGACGGACGAACCGGTCTCTTATGTCCTACTCCTACTCGCATTCACTTTCCAGCAGATGTTTTACAATATATGGACAACTTCACAGTCTCACATCCGCCGATAGTTTTTCGTAAAACGTAAAACCTACTACTCTTTTTCGATCCGTCTCATCTCATCTCACGAGTGAAATGGTCAGATCAGTTTTCATTTTCGATTGCTGCTATTTCGCTGTTACTGGGTTTTACGAGGAGGAGGACTACTAATGTTGTCATTCATAATGACGTGGTGGTGTTCACATAACGAGTAATGTCATGTGACCTTAATGACCTGTAAAGCTTTGTCTGATGAGAATATTTGATGCCGTAATGACATGGCTCGTGTAAGACGAAGAAGGATTCACTTTACTACCGTCAAACCATTATTAGTTTTACTACTCAGGACTAGGACTCGGGAGCATTAAAAGCATTATGAATGATGGATGGAGTATGTCAAGTCGTCCTTTTCGTCGACGAATAATAATAATTTAATAAAATGGGAGAACATATGCAAAAGAAAAAATAAAAATTGCACTTACCACTGATCTAGTTTAATCAGTTCTTGAGGCTTTTTTGACTTGGATTCTGCTTTAATCTTCAACGCTTCATCATACAACCCTAGGACATATCTGGAAAAAGAAAATTACACAATTCTTTAGTCAGAGAAAGTAAAAGTCGTAAACAAACGTGCTGCATAATAAAAACACCTCATCAAATCAAATAAAAGTACAGTATATATATACTTCTCTATTTAGATACGCACAACAAGTGACCCTGCCTGCGTTACGCTGCCAAGCAAAACGCAAAGAGGAGGCAAAGTGCGAAAGAACACATTACTATTTGATATAATCAGCCCAAATACATAATCGCCGACACTACTGCTGGCCTGACTGCATCGAGTTACATAATAATAATGAAATGACTCTCCTGCCCATGCACCAGCCAACTGCATTACGTAACTTGTGCGTTTACTAAATACTACGACTCCTCCGATACAAGTGCAAGTTCCTGTTGTGCGTAGCATATCCTAATAAAAGCTGTTGAATGAGCTGGCCCAGTGTACGACTAGTATGTATGTAATACTCCTCAGTAAATCAAGGACCCGACCTAGGCTACCACCAACCCGACCGACCATTGGTTTAGTACTCTCTCTCTCTCTCTTTACCCATGCGGATGCATTTCTTAATATCACATGGCACACCAACCAGTAGGACTTCGGCATTGTATAAATAGCCGTGAAGTGATCCAGCGAGACAGGCAGACGATTCAACGAGACGCAGGAGAAAGCACCCACCACCCGAAACCAAGCAGAAAGTGTAAGTAAACTACTACCCGCATTCTCAAAAACTACACTGCTTCTGCTGCTGCTGCTGCGATTTGCTGATTGCAAATCCCAACTCGGTTCTCACCATGCATGCTGCACACACAAATTGACAGTCGGTGTCCGGTCCGGTCTCTCACCAAGTCACACCAACAACAACCACATGCTCTCCTACTTTATTTACGCACATGCAAAACAATTACATGAAATGAATGATGATGATGATGCAGGGATGCACCCAATCTCGTTTTCATGGGCTTCGCACTCACTCCTCTCTAGTTTTCTCTGCCTGTCTCTGGTGCATGGAATTCTCCACTTTCTCCACAATTATAACTCCCCCAAAAGTAATAATAATAGTAAAAAATAATCTAGTACTTACTTGAACTGATGATCCGACCCCTTACTGAGGAAGGCTGCCGTCGTGATTTCACTCATCTCGTTCGACTCACCCCCGCCCCCACTCCCGTTGGAGTTTGTCGAGTTGTCGATAATGTCCAAATTGTCGATGCTCATTTAACGACTGGTTATTCCTTTTTTATCTCTTCAAGTATCCCACCCTTTTATTATTATTCTTGACAATAATAATTTCAATTCCACAATAATAATAAAAAATCGCCGTGTGTTTAGAAAAATTAAGTTGGAGAAAGCGGAATTCTTCTTGTGACTGGACAATACGGAAGAGAGGAGAGCGACTCTCTCGCAAAATTCAGGAGCGGAACAAAGTAAAGTCACTTCTTTCACTCGTCTCGTCGTATGCAGTTTTACTTATCTCTTCTCCTCGCTCCCTTGCTTGTACACTGTGCTAAAACTCTTTTTAAATGTCAGCAGAGCCAGCAGCAGCAAAGGAAGAATCGAACGAACGAGCGTTGCTTTTGCTTGTGATGTGAGTGAGGTTGAGTTGGATATTGAGTAGGAGAGAGAGAACTCAGACGATGCGATGGGAGAACCACCAACCAACCAACCAATTTCAATGCCCAAGTCCCGTAAGCGTAAGCTTCTCTTATGCCATGTTATAAGGTTTACTTGCAAAGTATCCTGCCTGGCCTGCCTTAGCTTTATACAGAGGAAAGAGAGAGAATATTTTATTATACGGACGGCAAACGTAGCAGTGCACAGCCCAACTCGCAACGCGCTACCAAAAACTCGATCGAAGTGAGCAGAGCAAAAAGGTCTATCCATCCAACATGGAATAACCACATCCATCCACCAAGTAACCAAAGTAAAATAGTGAGTCAAGCTAAGCTATAAAAGCATGACGAGCTAGTAGTAAGAGAGGAGGAAAGGCAATGCAAAGCTGTTGTAAGTGGGGGGGGGGGTTGAACGGGAAGGAATGCGAAAAGTTTTCCCCACTCGGAGGGCGATGACCTCGGAGCGGCGGGAGTTTTAAGGATCGCGAGGAGGGGGGGAGAGGGTGCGGTCGAAATGTGGCCTCATCCCTTCTGCACGGTCCAAGCAGCAGGAGAGTGAGTGTGAGAGAGGGTTCGTTGTATTCCCAATGAAATTGAACGACGACGACGACGAGATAGATAAAAGCAGCCTGCCTGTACAATATTATTCGTTTTAACACACGGCATGAGAGAGAGAGGATTTCAGAATGTTGGCTCGTTGGGTTGGGTTGGTGGATGTTAGACAGACAGCCTCACAGAGTAGATTATTTAAGGCGAAAGAAGCCTTCACACATTACGGGGAGAGGGGCACACATGCATCCTAGGTAGCTCCGTAATGTTAACTATGAGTAACCTTTGACCCCAAAAGGAACAAATGTGGGGAAGAGTTTAAAGGATAATAATATTATGTGCTGTTCATCTTAACTGCTGCATAAACGCCTTCTTAGCAGAGGAGTAAGTTAAGTACTGCTAATGATATTTAGAAGATTTTAGCAGCCTCAGTTTTCTATGCCATGCGAATCTACACACAAGTCGAGTCATTTTACTTTGTTCATTTTATTCCATGCATATGTCAGCAGAGAGGAACTTTTAGAGTTGAGTCAACTGTTCAAAGTGAGACGAAGCAGTAAACCCACACCTCTCTTGTGTAGCGAGAAAAGCAGGATGTGAGTTTGGCCAAGAGCTAAATTCACGTCTTCTTCACATTTAGATGTAGATAGGAAAGAGAATGGGAAAAGGCAATAGCAAACTCAGGCATGAGCTGACAGCAGAAAACCCAACCAAACCAGCAACACGGTATTATTTTCTAAGCTGAGAAAAATACATTCATTCCCCCAAAGGATATCTGCTCGTTGGTTTCATGATGAATCTCTCTCTAGCAAAACAACAACTCTGATAGCGTACAAACTCCTCATAGGATTTCGTTGAAATGTAATGTTTGAAATTGTAAAAATTTATTTTTCAAATAATTTTACAGCCTTACATTTTGTACGGAGCACTATCTGCGAACAACCCTTTCTGTTATAAAATCCTCCTCGTCATGCATGCCACCAAAAAGAGAGGCTCAATAATACTCCCCTTGCCTTGCTGCTTTTATACGGCACAAAAACTCTCCAACCGTTTCCATTATATGGCTGCTGGCTACGTCGTGTCCTCGTATATGTGTTCCTCTAATCCTAAAAACAGCAGCATGCTGTGGGCCCAAATTGTGGACAAAAATTTTAGAAAACTTAATGTCAGGAATTGCCACACCTAAGGAGGGGAGGTTGTATCAACTCGATGCCCTTTGACCTTTGGGTATGTTGCAGTGTCCCATGAATGAACAAGACCCCCCAAGGGGTTTGACGCCATGGCCACATTTGTGCCCGCCACACCCACTCAAAGGTGCCAAAAAAAGAGAAAGTAGCGCTTTCACTCATTCAAATCCACGCCACAAATTCAATTTTACAAAAATTCATGTTGGATATAAGAAAACAACTATCTGGGAGTATAATGGTGAAAGAAATTTCAGAATCCGAGTAAAATTGGATTTTTGGCGTGAATTTGAATGAGTGAAAGCGCTACTTTATCTTTTATTGGCAGCTTTGAGTGGGTGTGGCGGGCGCAAATGTGGCCATGGCATCAAACCACTTGGGGGGTCTTGTTCATTCATGGGACACTACAACATATCCAAAGGGCATCGAGATCCATGAGTTGATAGTACACACAACGTCCCCTCTTAAGAAAATTGAAAAATTGTAAAACTTTGACGTCGAATTGCTGATTGTAACAGCTACATAATTTTTTGTATGTTCTGCAATCTAGATTTTTTGCTTAATGTATATTAGTATTAAAACGTTGAAATCGACTGAAAATCGTAACATTTAGTCGTGGCCTGAATGTTAGCAATTTGGCCCAATGTGCATAGCAGCAGCAGCAGGCCGACATACAGAATCGAGTTCCCAATCGTCGACGCTTATAGCTTCACTCACATTGCATTTGAAGGAGAGGAGGAATGCTGTAAGCAAAGACCTCTGTTTTCAGGCTCAATGTTATTCACAGGGCCGTAGAATTGTGGATTGGAAAGGGATGTCAAAATTTCTTGCATTTCCTTTCTCCAACTTGAGGAATTGTGTGCATCGTATCGGAGCATGATTTCTTTGTTCGGTGTTTTTTTATGATTTTCTACGTATGCATAAAATGTCACAATATGTCGGATCAAATGAGAGAATTTCGAAACTTTGGAAATATGGGGTCAATATTTTAATGTCAAAAGAATATGTTTCGATTATTTTAAACTCTCATGAACTTGCTGTATACTTCCTGTAACACAGTTTTTATTTAGCAGTCTTATGGTATACGTTAATATGGTGCAGATGGTGGTATAATTCCAATTCCGGTAGTTCACTCACGGATAAAAAGGAATGAATAATGCCTAATAATACTTACTAAGCAGCGCAATTATAGAGCAATTTGCTCCACTCCAAACAGCAGTCAATCAGTGAATGAATGAGAAACAGAGAATTGGGCAAGTTTTTAAGGCATAATATTATTATTAGTTGTTATTTAGTGACGTGCCCCGTGAGCCAAGTCTCATTTTTGCATGTGTGAGTCAGTCAGTCTCACACACAGGCCGTCCGTCCGTCAATTAATTTATTGAATGAAAGAAAAGGTACATCAGAATGGTTTTTATTTATGCACACGTAGCGAGTATTTAGTATTTAGTTGAGTCGATTATGGAGTGGTTGGTGTGGAAAAGATGAATGAAATGAGGTGACCAATACGAAAATATGTGTGTACTGCTAAAGGTTTCTTGTTTACAAATGATGGATTAATTGTGCATTATTTACTGCATTTGTAGTAATTGTAAATGGAGTGAGCGAGTAAAATGCGTTCCAGTGATGGGTGTTTTACACAGTAATCATATCATCTAATAAGGTAAAGGAAATGAGACTGTTTTTACATGAAAGCAATTTTAGGTCCGCGATTTATTCTTTGTCAGCACACGAATATATATGATGAATATAATGGTTTTTTCCATGATAATCCGTTTTAAACTCCGCTTAGAGGAATGTCAAGACAAAAACACGACAAAAGTAGTTAATAATTAAAGTTCTCGCTCGCACTTGCATAATAATTAGTCATCGAAAAACAAACAAAAAAATCGCATAATAATATTATAATATATATATATCGAATATAATAAAATCTACTTCAAAGCGCCACATTTTCTAATTCCAATACGCTTCGTGGGATTTCCTGAAGGGTCACCGCATTCAGAGATTTTGTCGACAATCTCGATTCCTTCGAGGATATGACCGAAAATTCCTGTAAAACCGGGCATGTCTTGGAGGATGATTCGAAATTGGGAACCAACCAGTCCTTTCGAATCATGGCGTTTTTGAGTGCGACGCATCCCGATTGCACCTCGGATCGCTAGTTAGAATAGTAATAATTATAATTATGTACATTTTGCATTTAATATTATTAAATTATAATTATTATTTACCGGGTAGTCTCGTGTCTTCTGGCATGAAGAGACCTTCTTCGTCTAGAAAATACAACCGAAATTGTGTAATTATTTAAATATGCATGTCATGCGCATATAAAAAATAAATACTCACATATTGAGTGTCCGCCTCTGCCATTGTTGTGCTTCAGAAATAAAAATATTTTAAGTATAAATCTAAATTGTATAATATAAAACTAAATATTACCTCAAAGTCACCCGTAATTACAGATTCGCCTTTCCAACACTGGAACACAACGCACCCATGAAAACCAAATCCTATAGAGAGGATAAACCAAATTATTTATTGCAACATGGTTCTAATATCACATCACATTATAAATAAATATTGCTTACCTCTCTCTTTCGTCGTCAAAGCTTTGAAATTTTCACACATTTTGGGCGCAACGTCGGGCCGGGTTTCGATGATTATACGTCCCAAAGGAACAGATTGAACTGTAAACATGATGCATATCATTTTTTGACGTTAATAATTAATGCAAATACTTCATAAATATTACTTACCTTCCATGTCGAAATAAAACCGAGGTCCGGAAACACTGCCTAGGCTCAAGGCAGTAGGTGAGTACTTGGGCGGAGATATCAATGCCTTCTGACTGCTCTTGAGAACTCCATTCCCAGTGGTAAATGCAAAATTATTCAACCCCAGTTTGGCCTGCGGACAATTCAGTTATATATATTCTGCTCAACCACAGACTGAAAATTATGCAATTTGTTTTGATTCAATACAAACTTACCGAAGTGTAATTATGAATTAATCTAAGGGTTTCATGGTTTGAGTTCGAACCACATGCGTACATCGGCGAAACCTGGAGAAAGCAACGAGGAATGCATTTTAGAAATAATAATAACTGCTAACGTAAGTAAATGTAAGTTGGTTGGGACACTTACGCTGACCATTGCGCGAAAAAGACAATTCTCGAGTTGCTGTTTGCGACAAGTGAGTGCTGCAAGGACAAAACTCGTCACTTATTTAATTCCAATAAACCACTAATTAATAAAAAACATTACCGGAAATAAGGGATGAAAGATGGGACAGGTGGTTTGATTCAGAGCTGCCGTTTGCTAGGGACTTGCGCGCCTTAATTAGCAAAAATTAAATTAATATGGACAATTACACATTGTAAATCAATTTAATTATAGAATAATAAAAGCCGACTCACCGACGTTAATAGGTCATGAACTTGAGGCAACTCACTAAAAACGGAAAACCCATTCATTAGCTCCTCCTCGAGATCCCTTTTAGCCTGACTGTTGTGTAAAAATTGAAAAAAATTAACACTTTTGCTATATGCAAGAGAAAGTTTTTTTTAAATATTAAAACTTAATATTACCTTAATGCGTCTATTATCTTCATTACGATGTCTTGCTGATTTCTTTCTACGCGATACACTTCATTCAGTAACTTTCCCAGATTGAGAGTTTCAGCCTCTAACGTCAATGTTAGCGTATCGCCCATCTCCTTTAGCGTCCTTGTGCCGTGACCACGTGCGGTATGGTCCTGCAGAAAATATTTCAAAATGAGCAATTGTCTTATATAGACAAGTAATTTGTTAGTTACCTGAGAACAGATACGGCAGAGACCCTTTGAACACACCTCACACCAACAAATATGTGGCATTGCATCTGGAAAAAATTGCCATGAAATGAAATTCATCACTAAATTAGTATATTACGAAATGGTTTATTTACGAATGAGGCAGGATGACACGTTAGCGACTCCATTTGAAATCCCATTTATTCCGTTGGTTATTCCATTTGGAGTTGTCCCATTCGTGTGACCGTTTGTCGTCACAACCACACCCCCTCCGCCCCCACCACCGGTAAACTCGTCTAGCCTCCAGCCTCCGACAAGGGAAAGGAGAGAATCAGCTTCGTCCTCTGACCAGCCATTCGTAGTCGTAACTTTCTCTTCAGCAGCAGCACTTCCCATCATCAATTGAATCGTAGTACCACCTCCTCCTTTTAAACTTGCGAAAATCTCGTTACTGTCCACCTACGCAAGAGAAAGCACATACGTAAGTAAATAAGACAAACAAATATTTATCATATTAATCATAGCATTTTCTTTCACCCTGATGGATGGTGATGTACAACACAGTAACACACACTAATATCCACCCACGCACATCCGAGAAAACGTTATCCCTGCATTTCTCATTCTCACTTTCACCTAAAGCAGCTAAATGCGAGCATTTTTTTCATGGAAATATGCTCATATCTTTGAACGAAAATTGGGAAATGCGTTAAATACACGTCAGAATACATTCAAATCCACGTGGTGTAGTTGTTGTATTAATTTAGTTTAACTAATTCCAAAAATTATAAATTAACCAATCAATTAGCATATCCAAACAACTAGTTCATTCATTGAGACATTCGTTCCGTACATTTTACTGCCCTTTTTGAGGATTAAACTAAACAAACACTAAACATGAATGAATTCCTCAATAATCCTTTTCTTTTATCCTCATTGTACTAGAAAGTGAAAGTTTTAACCCTTAAGTAGGCATATTATGTAATTAGTAACTAAAAAAGGGTCACTTTTCTCCCGGTGGGGCACCTCGGCACAAACACAAAACACAACTTTAGTCTAAGGCTCTCTTATAACAATAGTCTCAACAATTCCAGCCCGCCTCTGCACACAAGATATTCCCACTCATTTCCTTGCATATTATCCGACCGGGCACTCCTCACGCAAATCAATAAAACCCACACCACACCGGCATGCTTCCGTCTCAGTAATAAAATTTAAAAAAACTCGTTTTCTCATCTTACCAAAGTACCCATCACTCAGGGTCGCCGTGTCATCCAGCTCTTGAACTGGACACAACGGTGGGAAGTGGGGTCAGCAACAAAAGAGCAAAACACTGGAAATAATCAGATGGGAAGAAGAAGACATTAGAGTTATTTTAGATTAGAATATCTCCCGTCTTGCCGGCTAATCAACGTGCTTTTGTAATGCATTGACTGGGAATGCACTATACATACTACAAGTAGTCTATAGTATCCTTGTGGAGTAGTAGTAGTGGCGGTGGCGGTGATGTAGGCAATGCAATGCTCTTTGCAATACCGGCAACACAACTTGTGGCTACACTACCACGACAAAAATCGTGCTCACTTCACCCGGGATATCTTGCCGAGTTTGACTCACCTTGACCTTATCCAGTCTGAGGGGCGTGGCGGATGATCTTATCTACAAGGTGGTAGTACTCCAAAGGGGTCAAAGGTTATAAGGTAGCGCGTAATTATTAAATTTCACGAGCGGTGGCAGTTTCGCAGCCGATTTTTACGCGGCACCAGACACACTCTCGTCTTAATAACTTGGCCTGGCCTGCCACGCACGCTACGATCATCTTCCCCGGGTCCGCACGATCGCGCAGCACAATCCTCACAGGGGCGTAGCTTTCACCGGCATGGAAAAGAAAGCGGGTGAAAGTAGGCGTTTATCCTTTATGAGGAAGAGGGGGGCGACGTTTGATGGGTGAAAGTTAAATTTTCTCACCTTGCCCCAACCCAGTTAGCACAGTCAATGAGAAAAGTGCAAGGAAATTGTTTCGGAGCAAGCGGTGTGTAGCGTAGACGTAGACGCCGCTACTACTACTCTCTCTTTTCGTTCATTCGAGTTTTTGGTTAGGTGGGTGGTGGGTTTTAGATGAGTGATTGATGAATGAAACTATGAATGAAAAACGACCCGGGCTAAAAATAATTGAAGGGGCAGAAATGAAATCATGAAATGGCATGAAATCCCATCGAAAGTTCTCCCTTAACAGCAAGTCTCTCCATCTCATAAAATCAACCAGTCTCATCTCACCCCCCAAAAAAACTCTATCTCTCTCTTACATTCCTCGTCTCAAATTGTATCTTAATTTAGCATTCTTTTTCCCCTCCACTTTTTTTGCACATAAAACCACCCAAACTATTTCATTACTTGCCACACACACAACTAACTCTGCTCTTATTTGGGAAAGACAAAGAAAGTCGTAAAACAAGACCCACGCACATGTCCACATTTAACTCCAAAAACATGTCAAAAAGTGGTGAAAACGAGTCTACTTTCGTGAGGATCCGGCCCTTCCATTTGTGCTCGATGGCTGTTCCCCACTCCTTTTCCGCTCCGCCAAAGAAGAAGCTTCGGCAACTATGGGCCCAACGCTGCCCGTTTGGCCCAACGCTTCCCCCACGTCTGAGAGGGTTTGCTCCGGCCTCCCCGGGTCAACGACCTCCCACAAGGCCACACCTCTCGAGGCCAACCAGACTCGCCCAAATTAAGGCGTCCCATCACCCCAAAGGGTTCATATCTGTTACAGGGAGTGGCGGAATTCTGCAGTGAGACGGGATGGACATAGTGGCCCAGACGTTTCGTGGATGTGACGCAATCTGACCACGTTTCCGGAGGGTCTGAGTCACCCAGGATGGCGGTGGGGGTGTGACCCCGTCTGGGGAAGAGGAGGGGGCAAGTAAGGGTCAAATTGGTGGGGACAAGGGAAGGGAAAGTGGTGAGAAGTGAGGTTTTACTGTCCACTCTGCCTCGTGAATAATGTTGTGAAGGAGAGAGAATGATGGTTGCTTTTTGGATGGTTTTAGTAGTGTTTCAATAGCAGCAGGGCGAGTCGACGAGGAAAATATAGGCAGGGTAGGAATAGTGGACGGAAGGGACGATCATGTATCGCAGAAATGAGGGGGAGAGGATTTAAGGCGTGTTTTTTTCGTTAGTTTGAGTCAAATGGGACTTGAATTCGAGTAATTTAAAAGAAAGGTTCAAAGTATATGATGTAAATGAATACTTTTCAAGTCCGGGGAAAATGAGATACGCCAAGTGAAAGTATAAAATTACTACTTTTACCCTGCCGTGGAACCTAAATTTCACAAAATGCTTGCAAATCTTGTACTTTTATGAATCGTGTAACACAATCTTATTACATTCTCGACGATGTACAAGTTTGAGTCAAAGGATGGCATTAGCATTGGCAACGAGATTTTGAGACTACTGATATGAATATGATGGTGATAGTCAAATCATTTACTATCATCACAAAACTGACTGATTTACATTTACAACTAACATTTCTCATATCGTATTTATCTTTCTATTTAAGAGATGCAAATCAGCCATGAATGGGAATAAATATTTGAATGCATATTAAATACCATGCTAATAATCTCACGAGCCAAGTTTATTTACAAATATGTGGTTGGATTTCGTGGTGGTGTGACTCCTCCACATTTCTCATATTGCATTTACTATTTACAAACAAAATGCTTGTCTCACTTAATTGATTTCACTCCAAATTGGATGAATGGGACCTTGTAAATTTATTTAAATGGCTGTCATTTCTTGAATGGACCATACCACGAATTAAAGAAACCCTGATTCGATTCTAATCATAACTACGAGATTTACGAGCGTGTGTGTGAATGCAAAAAAAAACATGCAAAATAAAATTGTACGTATGTTCACTCTGGCTAAAATTATAATTACTTGACGTAAATTGTGGTATGATTAATTGTTCATTTGTATACGCTCATTTTGAAGTTGAAGGGCTTGAAAGTTGTGAATTACGATTATTTCACGATTGCATATGGGTTCAGTAACTCATTTTTTGAGACGCTTTGGTTGTACACAAGCACAACTTAAATGTCGCATTATCTAGAATCTCTATACAGTGAAACGCAATAATGTTCTACATGCCAATTTATCATCTTGGGCCATGTTTATGGGTCGACAATTCCAAAAATCGTGTCTTGGGTGTTGGCCGTTTCATGACCACCACGCGACGATACAAAACACATGAAATAACTAATTGTAATTTAACTAACTGCTGCTGCTGCCTGATGCGAAATAATTCCATTCAGCTCATGCATTGTGTTACATATATTCCAAAATAACTCATAATAAAATAAGGGAGTGACGGCAGAATGCATGGTACAAAAATAAGTGAAAAGATACATAATCAGCAATAATATTGTTGCAGAACATAAGTAATTATCATAACGAGCAATTTCACAAAAAAAGAACTCGATATTTATTATATTCTGCAAATCTCAATTGCTTAAGTAGTAGTAGCAATTTATGGGTTTACACCAATTCAATACATGTAAATATTGTGACCTGTTGCACAGTTGTCTGTGCCCGGAATTTTTTCATGAATGAAATCTGTTTAGGCATGTTTATAGTACCACTAAAACTTGAGCATAATTTAACACTGACCTTATAACGAAGTTTTTTATGGGCTTGGCCAAGCCACACATATGTTTACTTGCATGCATTTTATATTCAGTTTTAGGTACGTAACCATTCGCTCATTTGGATTCTCTTGTCAAACTGCACACCAAAATAAAACAATGTGTCCAATTGACATATAGAGTGTACTTTTTCATACGAGTCCCGTATGAAATGGATTGACGGATGTGGTGATAATGATGAGATTAAACATGTGCTAAATGGCTCTGCAGCAACCAACGCAGCACCTGTCTCACATTCTCCTCTTTTTCGTCCTGGCTGGCTGCTATCGTTCATCGACTTTACTAGATTATAAATTCAGTTTGTTGTGCTCTGTGCTTTCGGACAATTAATAAGTCGGATGGATGGATGGATGATGATGTATAATTCATTTGAATATCACTGCATGCATGCGTGTTGATGTATTAGCAAGTATTTGTAGCGGTCAACGACGTGTACATGCATGCATATTATTGAAGATATTCTGCTGATATTCGGACAATAATGAGATGCATAGTCTCTGAATGACTTAATACACAGGGGAGAAGACAAGTGTGAAGTGTGATAAATTTTTTTGGCACGTCAGCCCAACCAAGATCAAATATTTCTAAATTATGTACTCAAATTGTTGTATCGCATTTTTTTGTCAGGTGCATATTATCATTTACGTGTGGATATATCTACCTAGAAGTGAACTGAAATAAGATTGATGACATATTGGGACAGCACAGAAATTACCCAACAATGAGATGTAATAAAAGATGCTGCTGCTACATATTCATGCAGGTTGCAAACATTCAGGTGAAAAAATGTGGGCACATTATACATACGCATATGGATTTGCTCGTTGATTAAACAATTCCTTGTTGCCTCAAGTATTATAATTAATTTCATAATCATGTCGAAAGTTTGGTAATTATTCAGTAAAAAAAACCTTATAAAATATTCACTCAATTCAATTTGTGTTGTGTGTCGACTAAATTAAAATTACGGGAGAGATTTATCTAATGCATACGCAGCACAGGAGAATATTAGGAATTTGCAAAAATTGTGATCGACCAGACAAATCTGCTCGTCGCGATTTAGGCCAAATTTTTTAACCAGTTTTTCAGTCATCTAAACCAGGTCTAATTCTTAATTGCTATAGCCTGCCTCGTTTAGCTAGCTACACAGCTACCTTGTTAAAGACGACTGGCTACTACCACTATGCCGTTCTGTCGTAACAAAAAGTGTGCATTTTCGATTTTGTACTCACTTATTCGTTCATGATATTTGTCAACATAAAGCATTTTTATGTCACTCACTTTACTTTTTAACGCAACAGCGGAAAGATATATGGTAAAGGCTGCAATAAATATCGTAAGGTTTGTATCAGTCATTGTAATAAAAAAAAGTTAGCTCTTTTTTTACAACGAGCATAAACAGAGAATTTTACTAATCACTATTTACTAGCAAAGCAAGATTTTATTTCATTGCGTCCAAGTCGAACCGACCGACCGACTAGAAGTTTATATCGAAATCTTGACTTACTTACGAGAAGGAGTAGAAGAATTGTATTGCAATAGTTTCGTCGTTTAGTTTATTTACCAACTTCTCTCCTTAGCCAGACTTACTTGCATTTCATTCCATTGTTATCATGTTTACTCAAGCCTTTCTCTTGACCAAATTTTAAATTATCCAAGTCCGTGCTAAGTCAAGTAAAGAAAACAACCAGCATTCGATTCTTGCCTACTTTTTTAAGATACAGACAGTCATCTAGAGGATGATGGACCAATGTCTCCGTCTGTAAATGCATGTTTAACCATGATCATCATCACAATAACTAAAAATAAGTGTCTTGTAGTACGTAAAAGAATGCAGTGTCAAGCAATTAAGCTTGTATACTATTGTTGCAAAATGCAGCTTTACTACATTGAAACTTGATGCACTATTGTATTTATTTATATACATCGATGAGAGTTGGGTGCAATTTTATTAATCTGTTACAAACCTTTACTAACGCGTCACAGGTGCATCTGATCGCAAAATAATAATAAAAATTGATGACAGAGCAAGCACAGGATGGACAAAGGGACGAAATTAATTGAATTTATGATAGAGATCTAACTAACTTTGTATGGGATGCGGCTATAGGACGATGCGCTCAATAATATTTTTCAGGTTGTCAATAATGTCACTCAGTCCGTCCGTGATTGAAATACATAGATTCTCTCAATGGTCAAGTATTATAAGAAAAATTAAACTGTCCAACAAACAGTCGCCGTTGTCTACTGTAGTAGCAGCCAAGTCAAGCAAAAGTATGCCACAATTATGTATAAACCGACCTCGTGGGTTTTATTAAGTGGTTCTTTCTCTCATCTTTCGTACATACAATTCCTAAATAATAAGATTGGGGTAGGTATGTATGTACAATTTTTCTTAATGAATGGGCAAGTTTCTTCATCTTTACAAATAAATACAGCATTATTCAATCTACATAGTCGCTTGTCCAATGCATGTAAAATAAAATGCCTTAATAATCCATACGATCGGTAAGTAAACGTTGCGTTTACTACTACTTTTTTTCATAATTACCTACGCCCTTTTGGTTGAATAGATTTTCGACGGTACAGGCAGGCAGTCAGTCGTATGTACTTACTTATTGTTAGTTATTTTATGTACGCTCAAGTTCGTGAGACCTAGATCAGATCAAGAATTAAGATTTTTCTTACGTGCATGCACTGCTATCCGTGTGGACCATCGCACCCAACGCAGGATTCGTTGAAGAGGACAAGTCTCTCAATCTCAAAGCCACGTAGAAAAATGTGGTTTTGGAAAGTTATCAAATAAAAGGTAAAGGTGTTCATCCCTTAAAAACCTGGTTTTATTGTGAAGAATCAAGTAAAGTTAGTCAAATGAATTGAACAAAGGCAATTACTATTCAGATGAAATATCAAATAGCGTTTTTTGAGATACTCTTGTATTAAACACACTTTGCGTATACTTTATCATTAATTTATTACGAATACAATTTCCTTTTGTAGATAGGTACGCATTTAGTTTTCGAGCATATAAATTGTTTACAAAAAGTTGAGAAACCCCAATCGAATAAATAAATTTTTTACACACAATTTAGTATAATGCTTGTTAGCAAAGTCACACAATTGCTTTTGTAATCAATCTTATTTCTCGAAGAAAAAAATTAAGTTTCTCCACCTTCTTTTTTATTATTTAATCACAATTTATATTCATGATCTCTCGATTATCCGTAATCATAATCGTTCAAAGATGACGTTGCAGAAAGTTTAAATATAGCTTTTTTTACTTCATGGAATCATTTACACTGATGATGGGGCAGGACGGTATAACTTAAAATTAAGACTCTATTCTACATATCGTAGTCCTCTGTCAGTTCAATAAATGTCCAAGCTCATTCAAGTGAAGGGAAATATTTGTGTTGTAACAGGCCGATAAATGTATCAGGTTTAATTTGTAAGAATACACTCTTAGAAAACTGGTATTAAATCAATACATGACTACCGCCACGGTAATAGATAACTGGCATTACCGTTTAGTAATGTTGCGGTAATGAAAAATTTACCACCCAGAAACAAAACTACTACATCAATCTGGTAGGAAATTATTACCAAATCAATATCAGTGCGGAACGCATATTTGTGACTCTACCAGATTTTTAGCAGTGTGCTTAATAAATTCCACCCGGATTATGTTAAATACTACACGAATGCGATATCTGGGAGGTAAAATTTCATAGGAATGAATAATTTTAAACTCCAAATTCCTCTCTCCGCTTATGCACTTTTATTAGTTGCGACGAGAAATGTGTCACGGATTTTTAATCCAGAAACTCATTACCGTAAATTCCAACATGCAACCTCAATTTTCTCAGTATGGTGCGATCCTCTCTCTGCGAAGACGAATCTCATGTCATGCAGCAGCAGAAGATGAGAATTGCTTTGTATTGAGTGCCTTACCGTACAGAATACTAATTCGAAATACACACCCATCCCCATTTAATTCTTACCTCCCTGGGGAAAGGAATAATAATAAGAGGCCGACAGACGCAAATTCTCACTTCGTCTTCCTCCTTCTTTCAATAGAAAAAGGAACAAGAAATTATGTAGCTGGCGACGGATGGCTGATTATGATGATGACGAGACTGGAGCCCGGAAAGGACCCCACCGGCTTTTCACTAACTAACGAAAGCTATAATGTTACAAATGTTGTTATGTTTGCTTGTAATAACAATGAAATTGTAAAGAATTTTGATTGCGGCTCATCCACACGGATCGTATTTCGTCCACAAACTATGTAAACGATGTAATGTTATGCTTATTTACTAGCTGTAAATATGTTTCATTAGAAATTCCGGTACACAAATTACTCTTACATGAATCCAACATTTTATAAAATTCTGTCTTCTTCCTCCGTTTGCAATTAGCAAATGGGAGCTGTAATAATAATTGACATTCTTCTTTCCACTCCTCAGTTTTACCTTCATTTTCTCATCTTCATCTTCTCTCCCTGGCTTGTACAAAATCTGTACAAAAAGCATTTACAGCTACTGCACAACACGGGTAGCCTGTGCCTACGTATGTAAGCACATACCTGTTGCTCATATTTTGTATTTATTTACTGTTTATTACAATAGTAGAGATATAACGAGCATGCAGAAATGAAAGAAAATTATTTTCGTAGCACAAAATTCTCTCTGTGTTGATGATACTTTTTGCATAATAAAGACAACCAACCCGGACTTTATACATACACATATTCAATCATCATCATCATCATTATTGTATCCCTGCATTTCAATCTAGTCAAGAAAAACCTGTAGAATTCAATGTGAATATGCATAGGATTCATTTATTTAGCCGGTAGCATTTTTACCCTGTGCATGTAGCATTAACCCAAAGGTTTATACGTATTATTCCTCTCGGGAGAAGTGCATTCATTTCTTTACCCTCGTCGCCGTCGTCGTCGTCATCGTCGTCTTTCGTCGACAACGTCTTTGTGGAACCCAACCAAGTTTTTGGCTGTATCATTACGAGCGTAGGAAGGAATTCTACCTCATAGATTCAAATGCTATCCTACTCGTTTTACCTTGTCAAGGTAGGGCTTAAATTTAAATCAAAGGCACACACAGACTAAAGAAGGTTGAGGATTGGATCATGATGGGAAGGAAGGTAGGCGAGGTAGAAAAAATTCAAAGAAATATCTAAGCAGCTAAAATGTGGATGGTGGATTGGATGGTAACTGCAGCTTATAAGACTGCCATCATGCTTACCTTTACCTGGCTTACCTGTGACTTGTTGCTGGCTTGGCATACCTTCTTTTAAGCAGCAACAAGACAATGTTGTTGCCTAAAAGATCTCACAATAATAATATAACCAACCCAACAACACACACCTGACAAGAAGTAAATGTACTGCGTTCGTATAGTTGTGCTTGTATATTCTCTTCCGTAAAACTTAAGCATTCCATCCCGTGTACATACATACATCTCAAGTATATGTAGTTGGTTAGTTAGTCAACTAACCGCTCTGGCTGAGGTCAAGTCAACATTATTCCTTCTTCTCCTATCCACAATTCAAATTCAAGACTTGATTATCGACATCGGTTGAAACGCCAAACCTGCTCCGTTGGTTTGGTTGGACTCTCTCGGTTCAGGAATCAAAATTGAATTACGTGCTTACAGTACTTAAGTATTACTACGATTACCAATTAGTTGCATGGGCTATAGGTACAAACAAATATCGAAAAGTCAGGAGGACAAGCGAGTTCATGAGAGGAGAGACCCAAACGGAGTGGACTGATTCGACTACTAGTTTGTAATAGTAAATCAATGATCTTTCGCAAAAAAGTGTTAAATTCCTGGAAATTATAAGAAGAAATTTACGAAAATAATTTGCATATGGAGGACATTGACAAGTGCTGAGTGGAAATAATCGTGTCTTTTGTCTTTTGTTTCGACTCCTTCTTCCGTTGATCCTGCTCTGGTTTGTGAGTTTGTTGAGTGCGAGTGTGTAATAGTTGTTGAGTTGGTCACAAAGTGTGGATTTAATTAAAGGGTCCCATACTTGAAAGAAACGGGAAGCTATTTATTTTTACACGTAAATAAATTTATTATAATAAAATGCCGTGTTCCGCTGTGACCTTAAGTTTAGCCACGATTGCTGCGGTAATCTCCGTTGCACTATTGGCTATTTCGTTCTCCACCGATAATTGGATCCGTATTGATGTCAGAAGGAATAAAATTAAGGTAAAGCATGCAAAAATTCTCTTCCCAAATATTCATACAACTTTTTCCTTAACGCGACATGATCCAAATAATAATAAAAAAGTGATACCTCTCAATAATCATAAATAAATTGTAACAAATTCGCACCTCATCTGACTAATTACTACAAATACTTATAAAAAAAATTGCACGCATTTTGCAATCGACACACAATAAATAAGGAACGAACCCCTAATTGGATCTGACTTTAGTTTTTATTTGACCCAATTATTTTAATGATCCGATTGGTCCAACTAAAAAAATGCATGCCCCAACTGATGGAGCGTGCAGTACGAGAAGTTGCAATCCAATGCAATGCAATAATTCCATTGTTAAAAGATGGACATGATGTACATAGAGAAACAAACGAGATTTCAAATCTGGTACATACACACACATCCACAAATGAGTAGAGTAAGTAAAGCACGTCAAAAGAAGTAAACCTGTCAAACACCATCCATTCCATAATAATAATATCATGTCGATACGATATGAATGAATGTCGATAAGGATGTCGATATAACACTATCATTCATGAGTTGAAATTATTTTTTAAATCCGTTTCGAAAATCTATCTATACCCATTATTGATAGGAGGAAGAATGAACAAATATTAAACAATGTCATGCATGCATCAATCACATATATGGAAGCTATTCATTTGTGCAGAGTGTACGTACATGGTGGATGATAAATTCGTCGGCCAATTGGTTAATACTGGCTGAAATCACCAACCACAGGAGTGACTTCATGCTGCAATTATTAATAAGAAAGAGCTGATTCGTGAGTATCAAAACAATGCGATTCTCGATTAACTTATGGTTGTGTCAGCGTCTTCACGAAATTATTACCATCGATGATTTGATTGTATGAGAAGAACGTAATAAGAGAAATTTCTAGTGGCCACATACATGCATGTAAAAATTTAAAGGAGGCGATCCTTTGGACATATTGGGACAACAAAGTGTATCATTATTTTGGATAAGTATAGCTTGCCGAATTTATTTATTGGTAAAATAAAGTAGCAATTAAATTAGTTTTTATTATCTAACCAATTGTAAAAGCGGTATTGAATCCACGCCACGCACATAAATATCCCATCCGGTTTCTCTTTCCCTTTCAATCGTAAATCTCAACCAGAATAATTTCTTTGACAATTTACTTGTTGTATAATCATCCGAATTCATCTCATTTTGTTTAATTTGTCACTTACTTTAACCGAGGTGAATAGGAATAGTTGGCTTATTGCTTAATTGCAAACCACTTCATTTCATTTTGTCATCCTTCGTCATACATACTCTCGTTTTTAATGGAGAGGCGAAAAAGAAGAGTGTGGGTGGAATTGACAGCCAAGCGACACTCAAATCTTAATGGCAAAGAGATTTTTTATAGTTTCTTCAGCCAAGAGTGCTAATTACTCATTCAAATTTATTTTATGTTATTTTTGGCTTACTTTTTGTAACAGCAGACGCAGACTCAAGTAAGTGCTGTTTTTTATCTGCGGCATGATATCAGAGTTGGTTTTCTTAACTAAATAGTAAAAGTGAATAATATATATATACGTACGTGCACACAATTTAAGTGACACTCCCACCATCGCCGATGATGTTTGTGATACGTATAATTGTTTCTCAACCAGTGGTTCAGTTCAGATAGGATAAGTTTGTTAATGATTAATTAAAGAAATGAATGCTGAGAATAGTTCACACATTTTGCATTTCACTATTTCCTGACACAACCGGTAGTTCTTTATGCAGCTGAGCATAACCATGTTTGCGCTGAAGTAGATACATACATAAACTGCAAATAATTGTGTCAATGGTAATTACACTCGTATGGCAAGAAGTTCAAAATGAAAGTAAAATTGATCAGATCGTTATCAGTGCCGTTTTATATATTCTGCTTGAACAATTTTTGTCCGGGTGAGTATTTAGATTGTTATTCCAGCGTATTTTATGTATGTTCATTAGTTAGTACTTTGCCTATTTTAATTTAGACTATTTTTACATGGTCACATACACACAATAAAAAATTAGTTAGTTTATTACCGGTTTAAACCAGTGTGTGAATGCATGCAGCCAGTATCTGCAGCAAAACGTTGCAAAAAATGTTGCAAATTCATGCCAATTTAAGAGGATGCATCGCGACTTTGTGTTGTCCACTATCTATCACGGCATCGCCAATTAAATAACATTTAAACACATGCAATGGTTAAACAATAAAGTTTTATTGAGCACAGAGGAAGATATTTGATGCTGCAACTATCAAAACTGCATTTCGCATGTCGACTATTTCTTATCCCCAAAAAATCACGCTTTGATTATTACATCAAATAAATTTCGCTTCAGAAGAAGAGGAAACTCCGCCAAGTCATTTTTCCTCGTACAAATTTGCGCTATTTAAGTGGATGGATGGATGGTACGAAATTGAAAATTGAGATGAAACCGTTTCTCACCTAAAGCATAACGTATTTAGGTACGAACCTACTCCTAATGTGAATAAGTGGCCTCCCGTGAAATTCACTACGAAAAACAGTTACATACAACAAGACAGGCAACCATTTTAGAGTCCTCCACGGACCGAAAATCCATCATCTCATGGTGGAAGTGAAGATGATGATGATTCTTTCTTCATTTCACCGTCGTCGTGTTAAATAAAGCTGCCTTCTAGATATGTTAAAGGTTTGTCTTAATTCAAGCTGAGTGAAAGATTTTAACTTGTCTCTCAGCTCTCAGGTAACGATTTAGCATCTCTTTTAAAACTGGTGATCTTTGTCAGTGGTTGTAAACAAACGGTAAATTTTACACAATGACATTAATACCAATCAAAGTGTCGCTGCTTTACGTAAGCAGCTAAAAGACTAGAGGCAAGCAAGTATTGCTCCTTTATTTGCATGAGTCAGATTAAACCAGCGGAAAATCACGGCTTTTTGTTGCTCCCTCCAATGCGAGCAATTAGAAGGTGTGTTCTATCCATTATTTAAATAGATATTTCAGTTAGTTTATGTTTAGATCGACAATCCGGATATGAGATCCGTACGCATTCTGCATATTCTAATTTGCCACAGTCTAAAATTAATGCTCACCGTTGCACCGAGTGAATCACTTTGATCCTGTAATCGGTTAAGTACCAAATATGGTAACGATCATCTAATTTAGTACACATACATCGTGTATTTACTGTAACAGAAGTCATTATCTTCTTAGTTTGTTCCATCCCGACTAATTTGGTCAATTTTTAAAATTCTATTGAATAAAATGCTGCCCAGATAAAATCGCATTTTGACAGACTCTTCTCTTGCAGCAATTTGGCGAATGTAGGCTGTCTTGTGGTTTGGTTTATCAACTAAATACTTAACTACATAGCGGCCGACAGCAAATATCCACCTTTCAAATTATTATTCATTCAAACCCTCGCACAGCCCTCTGGGCAAGGACTTATTTGAAAAGCGTTGTGAACATTTTGGGCGTGGGATTTTTCAACATTGAACAAAGATTTGGGGCAGTATTGGCAATTACCATTTCTGAAACGTTAATAAATAAACTAGCATTGTCGCGGATGCAGGGTTAAATAAGAGAAAACTATAAAAGAAGAAGAATCTTGTTTGCATCTTATTATTAATTAATTATGGAGCGTCATAAATGCATAAATAAATAACAAGCTGTATTGTATTTTTTCATTGTGTGGATGGAGGAGAGTGGAAATTAAAAGTAAAAATAGGCGTAATTAATCACGGTTTTGCGGATGAAAGGGAGTTGGATGCAGTATTTTAATCGAAATAAAGCCAAAGAGGTTGGAACATGTATTCCTGTAACTCCTCTCGTCTGCTGTGGTCTGACCATGTCACGGTACACTGAGATTAATCAGTGTGGGTTGAAAAAATATGGTTTTTCAAGTTTACTATTTCTCCTTTTATCCACACGTTTTTAAAATTTCTAAACGCATAGAGAAACTGTGGGAATAATATTGTTTGGAAAACGCAACAATGTAAACGTCCCTGGGTGGAGGATCACGTGTCATAAATAAATTGGTTGGTAAAACTGCCCACGCCATGAGAGAAGGAAACTTTGAATTTCCGACTTTTCCACTTTTCCTTTACGAAAAAGACGTAGGTTCATCCTCCTCCTCACACACAATTTGGAAACATTTTGTTCAACATGTCCTCGTGCCAGCCAACAAACATGAAAATTTTAGCAGTGTCACACTTCGTTTTTGAGTTTGTTAGGCGATTAAGGCGACATTTGGTGGACCTGAATTGTCTCGAGTCAAGGAATCGGTTCACTTCACTCCCATTGAATACCGAATCATGAGACCATTTTTCTTTTTCTGTAAAAAAATGTCCTTTTCACTAAATTACATTAAAATAAAAGATGATACAAAAGAATTGAGAGAAAATCACGAGAATAGAGAAATCTGCTTCAACCACCCACCGAGGTTTGGCTCATTTTATTTGTACAATGTTTTTGCAAGAAATTTGAAGTCCCATCCAATAAAATGTAAATGTTACGCTGCAAACATTATTCGATTTTCTATTTAGCCTCCAACTTAAATTAGTTGAAGATAAAGTGTCATTGAAATAATATATTTCGGCCTTCCATATCTACACATAAGTAAATTTGTGAAATTAACTTTTGAAGATTAAAGATGATGCTGCTTCATAACTACTTTTCACATTGAAACTTACTTAAAGTCTTATAAATACGCTTCATTGGTTTTAAAACTTTCTGCACCAGTGAAGATTTCAAGCTGTTATGCAACCACAAAGTTATTAAGCCTTCGTGTCAGTGAGAATCGCTCTAGAAGGTTGGTAAAGTAATCCATCAGAGGAAAACCTCTAAAATGTGACAAGCTTCATACATGCGAGCAGATTCTACATAGTTAAAAAACACTAAAAGCAGTTACCGACCACACCATAAGAATAGCAGCATCCTTTAACAAACCAGAGTTGGATTTCGAAAATTTTCCGCTTAGAAATGCGGAACTAACCGAAGAAATCTTTTATTTTCCCAAGCGCTGGAAAAGAACAAGGATGTAAAAACGTCCTTGTGGGCCAGTTTACTTTGAATTGTATGCAATAATAATATCCGGCTGCAACAAAACCTTAAAGTTTTGGTACTTCAATCCATCCAAACCCTTGAGATCAGGTCCAGACTCTACTTTGTATCTACGATTATTGTCTCCACTCCAGCACGTCACGATGTCAGTGGAGTGGAACTTTAAGAAAATTCTAAACCATGACAAACCAAAAGTGCAGTTTGGCTTCCATAATTGGGTTCCATCCACATGAACGAAAATAACTTTTTTTCTTCACACCAACCAAATGTGAACGTGTTGATTGCCATTGTCATTAAGTGCCTGGCACCCCACCATCGAATCGAGGAGGCAAAAGGGTTCATCGCCGTGTCCTCAAATGTATATAAATCCTACCTGTAGATTCCCCTTCTTGAGGTGCAATCAGAAAAATGTGAACGTAGGTTATAGGGTGGAAAATTGAGAGTGTTGCTATTATTAATAAGAAGGAAGGTAGTAAAAGCCCTCCATAAGTTGGTGGTGAATTGAATGGCCCGTGGACACGGTGTGACCTAGAATTTATACCACCACCACACAACTTTTAAATCTTTTTATTCATGTCTCGAATCAAGTCTGACTTTGATTTATATATGTGCATACTTAAAAAAGAAAGAAAGATATTCTGTTTCTGTCACTTCAAAAAACGCAGTGCATTTTATCACAGATTTTTTTTACCTTTGCAGGAGCGAGTACAAAATGACCCTTCATCCATAGATAACCCAGATGACTTACAAGACAATCCTCTCTACTTTACGAGGACGAAGGGTCTCTTCAGAGTGTGCTTCCCCACTCCGGAACGGCCATCGTCGAGCAAAGGTACGCAAGATTTTCCTTTGTTTGCCCACGTTTTTTAAGCCGTGTGCATTCTTTCACAAGTCTGTTTGAAAATCTAAAATGTTTCTCATGTATTTGGAATTTCAGTGGCTTTATACCTCTCACCAGTGGAAACGTACTGCATGAACATTGACTATTTCATTCCTGACGAGGACAATGTCACGGCCGATTTTACCCCGGATCAAATGAACAGACTGCGTAAGTAGAAAATTCCAAATTTTATTTACCGTATGTGCTCAGGTCATGTGAATTTCTGGCCCAAATGTGTACTTCATTAGCACATTTAGAATTTGGCAGTGACCGAATATTCAAATTATTTCATTGTGCAGTCAGTCAGCAGGTGAATCGTCGCACTTTGAATTCTTTGATTCGATTGTAGCGTCAAATGAACCGTCTCCCCGGCGTATAAATCGTATTACAAGTCAGTCAAATTATGCATCTCTGTTGAATTTGTAACCGTACAAAGACAACTCCCGTTATGTTACTTACTACTTGATGTTGCCAACGTCGGGTTGACTTGGCACGGTGAATTGATGCCATAAAGCGATGCATTATCATTATATTAGAAGATACTGGTTCTCATACTTGAATGACGACGACGGGCTACTTAAACTTGACGGTAGCTGAATTCGAAGTTGGGATTTAACCCTAGTTTTCTTGAGATGAAAGAAAAGTGAAATTTTACAAATCTCCTCTCGGGTACAGGTAGATTATTACCTGAAAGGACCAGGTCTGCGTATATGGAACAATCTAACGACAATTTTAAGCAAACGAAGTAACTGTATGCTGCACTATCAAATAGTAATTTAATTTAAAACATAAAGCATAATGGTAATTTGAACCATACATATTTATTATGCCATACAATAGGTAGCTGCACTATGCACTTTTACATACCTCCATATATTTCTTTTATTCATGGCTATACATATTTCTAGCGTATGTACCTGTGATGATTACCATTTGATCGAGTCTTCTTCCGTGGGTTTGTTTGGCATTGGTGTGTGAATTAAAAGTTGATGATGCATAACTGAACAGAAGAAATGACTCAAGCAAACAGGAATTTTGAATCTGATTTTACCAAAACCTAATACATTTGCTGAGCTGATGAATAAAAGAAGCAGCCAAAGTATTCACATCGTCACTTCTGATGATGAGCGCCCATACATAAAATAAAAGTAAGGAGTTGGCTGGGAACGAACAACTCGAGGAAAAAAAGGCTGTAGGAAACAGCAGATGTTTAGTATGCGGGTTAAGTAATAAAAAATTAATTTTTTTTATTACGAGGAGGGTGATCAAATCCACCTTGCGTTTCGTTAAATACGTTACGTCCTTCGAAATGCGTCTGCATGAAAACACGGAATAAAATGATTCATTGAGGCAAAATCCGAGGCTGCACGGAATTATAATCAAGCCTGGAAAAGTGGTACAGAATTTATGTATGCATTTTAGTAAACACGATTTGATATCCTGCAACAAAATAAATTCTACTGTAAATTAGAAATATGCATGAAATCAACGCTACAAATTTCATACGCGTTTTAAAATGTTTGGCTTCTTCTTAATGAATTTCCAGATATGGGACGGAGCGCAATTGCCTTGTTCATTCTCGCATTTTTCTTTGTGTTCATCGCCTTCTGGACGGGAGTTGCTGGTTGTTGGAGAAGATCTTCGGGAAATATTACTGCCACTGCGATTCTGATGTTGCTCACATGTAATAAATTCTTTATAATTAATTATCTAGCATGAAATATCACTGTTTCAAATGTAATGCTGGCTGTTCTTTTAGGTTTATTCAGCGCAGGCGGAATGGGACTGTGGCACGGGGTCGAGTATTATGAAACTGAGAAGCTTAGTGGATCCGAATATTTCAAGGACTGGCCTCAGGTAATTAATTATGATAAAACAACACCTACACAGAAAAATTGCCATCAATCAATACATCATAAAATATTTAATCATAAAAATCCTTCACAAAACCAAATGAACCATAATTTGAACTAATTTTATCTCTTCGACTATGACCCATAGTCGCTCAAGCTAGAATCACAGTACAGCTTCGATTGGTCCTTCTACGTGTCCTGGGTCTCTGTCGGATTTAGTTTAATATCCGCCGTCCTCTTCGCCGGGGCAGCGACGTGTCTGTCCCGAGAGCGTGATGAGCTCGTGGCGTCGCAATCGCAGTATTTGATGACAGGTGATTTGATTAATATTTTGTCTTACCGCAGGCTTTGAAGGCGTCTTCAGTGTGGTCATACGACTGGAGTTATGTACTCGCTTGGATTGGTGTGGGTTGGTCATTGGTGGCGGCGTTATTGTTTTCGGGCGCCGCGGTATGTCTCCGTGGCGAGGCCGGCCTTGGCTACCCCGAGAGCCAACACATGCACTACTTAATGCCGGGTACTAATTACAAACTTATTAACATTACTAATCTAGCATTAATCCAAAAATCGTGCTTTCAAAAACTACTAAAAAATCCTGTAATCCAAGCGACACTAACATCTCTCTTACCCAAAAAAACAATTGCTTTACATTATTAACGAGAAAATGTGGCTTTATTTATTGCTCAATGAAAATCTCGCTCGGCAAAAAACAAGGAATTTTCAGCAGCAGAAAGTCTAATCCGTGTCGCAAGTTATGAATGATCTACTGTTATTTATGTGTTTCCAAATTATTATGTCTTATTTTCAAAGTCACCACCAACCATATACTTATTATCCTCCATTAAACCATAATATTAGCATTTTTCATTCATAAAATTAGCATTAGCTTCGAAAATTGTGTGATTGCGAACCGCGTGATTATTGTTATTTCAAAAAAAAATCCGAACTTTGAATTGAATGCAGGTGCACCAATTGCTCACCAAATTGACCATGAATTGCAAGTTTAATCATTGTTTTAAGAAGACATTCATCTCTCTGTGCAACACAATACTTGATCACCTTGAGTTTACAAGTGAAAGAAAATAACAAGAGCACAAATTACTTGCAGTGAGTGAAGCTGGGCTTAAAAACCAAAATTTTTTGGGTGACCACCACTCTCTTAAGTAGTACCACCACTTCTTGCAATTTACCACCCACCCACCTCCTTTATGTAAAACATGAAATAAGTATACCTGAAATTTGAGATGTTTGTGCATCAAAATGAAGGTCACAGAGTGGACTTAATCCACAAAAATCAAACTGTAAACTAAATAAATTATCACAGGCACCCAGATCAATTGAAATGTTTCCGTGCATCCAATATTACGCAAGTTTATTTCATTTCGCAGTATGCAAATTGTGTGAATATTGACGACACAGATTAGGTAGGACAGCCAACAACTTGCACATTTACTACCTTTTCTGATTAATATATTTGCATACGCCCTTTTCACCTTCAAATGGTCATCTCAAATGGTCATCGCTGATTGAGTCTTGAAAGGCTGGCTTGTTCATAATGGAAAAATTCGTATCGGATCATTTATGAAATTCTAGCACAGTGTTTAGAGACAAACTATGCTTGCTAACTAACTACCGGAAGATTATAGACAGCCAATTCTATTAATTTTAAAATAAATGAGGTAGCCACATCCTCAAATATATTACACATGTCGAGGCGGTTATAATTTCATGTCGATTTATAAAACATAGCAAAGGCCCCAAATATGGGATTATGCAGATAAATATGATGCTACTACTACACGATCATTACTTTCTTTGACACTGGTTATCTTACATGTTCCTAAGTACTTACTTGTCTTATTCGGCATTGAACTAAGAATATAATGCAAATGTAAAAGTGTGCAATGCAATTATGATTTTGAGATTATTATTATGCGAACCGTGGAAGACTTACTTGTTAGTGTTCTTTCGAGGGAAAGTGATAGAGAGACAGATCGTGATGGTGCTGTGTTTGTTGTCATTTAATTTCCATTTAAACCATGCAATTCGTTGTTATTTAGGGTTTAAACACTGGTGGACAAGGTGTCATTTAAAAATGACAAATTATGCTACAAACACTGAATACGCTCTACGTGAGGGTGCGTAATTTGCACACCACTTGTGGCACAAATCATCGCTAAACTTTCTATAGTTTTCCTTAACATTTCATTTTTTTAAGAAATACGTTATTACAGATATTCGAATATGCATCAACGATTTCCTTGAATAATAAGACAATTTTTTCCTCAAACTAAAATTAATGAAAAACTAACTCGCTGAAAAGGATACTTGCTTGCGTACAAATTTTGCAAAAATTGTGAAAAATTTTATGATGAAATGAACACCAACTAATTCCACTAAATGTTGCAGTTTATCCACAAAAACAACCCGGCTATGCGGCATACGGTTACGCAACTGCTTATCCACCCGGATACGGATATGGAAACTCTTACCCACAATACAGTAACTACTGAGAGGGATCGAGAAACAATTTTCGTACAATTGGCATTTAAAATGATGACTTGGCAAAAATATTCAAGAAAGAAATGATTAATTGGAATTTTCAAAAATTTAAAGAAAACAAAAAAAATTGAAAACAATCAGCATTATGTACAAATTGTACTTTACTTGAATCGATACGCTCATTCATGGAAATTACATGAAGTAAATAGCAACCTGTTATATAGCTCAAGCCAATAATATTGCAAAATATTTCCTCCTCCCCACTTTTCCATTAATCTTAAAAAAATACAATTCTGAACTAACGAACGATTTTACCGAGTGTTTTTCAAACCTTTTTTTATATTACAAAAGAGGTTCTATCATTAATATTATTATTACCCCGTCTACTTATACCATCACAATTCTGTCATTTTATTACACAGAGCGTTCATAATTTAGTGGTATGAATATGAATCTGAGCTGTTTTTAGTAATTTTAACGTGTATGTATTTTAAGCGATGTGAAAATGTTTGATCGCTAAGTAAATGGCGAGAGATAAGCTTACGGTTATGATGATATTTCAGGTAATTACTTATTATTTAGTTCTCCATTTACTACTCCACTGCTGTATTATGCCAGAATAATAATAATGCAAAATGAGACGACAATGATTTATGTGTAAGAATAAGAATAGAATGATGACAATAATTTTGACAATCCATTTTAACTTTGCTGACGTGTTAAATAGTTGACTAATTTAATTTTTATCGTAATTCATATCATACGTTTATTTTATTTTATAAAAACGTGTAACATTGACTGTCAACTGTAAAGCGAGTAAAAAGTTTTATACAATGTACGAGACGAGCGGAGGAGAAAGTGTTGGATTTTTTTTAGCATCACAATAATCATGTTGAAGCATTTCCAGTCTATAAGTAATTTTAAGTCCATTCATATTATTGCATCATTACAAGTTTATCATCTATTGCCAATTAGTTAAAGTGTGCAATTAGAGTTAGTTGTAAATAAAAAATACAAATAAACCGCATAAAAAAAATCAAACCAAACAAAAATCCAAAGAAAAAAGTTTTTATTTTATGTTTAATACGTAAAGTAAATCTTATAAAATTTACTTTGATAATACAACATTCGCAACAATATTCTCAGAAATATCTAATTTTGGAAGAACAAGTTAAACCAAGTGAATTATGGAAATGAATCAAGTCAGAATAATCATGAGGCAGCAAATAATTTGTAAATAATTAAATTAAAGTAGGCAAACAAGTTTTAAATGATATAAATCTGTTATTAATTTTATAGATACAAATCACAATATTTTACTCCAGTTTTTGTTTAAAGTTAGTCGAGTACTATTTAGTTGTTTGTTATTAATGGCCTTGCACAATTTTTTTCAAATAAAACGCTAACTGATAACTAATAATTAAATATAATTCTAAACAGGTAGGTAAGCATGGCCGAATGGTTTCATGTAATCACTGGTATCAAATAATAATAATTATTATGCATGTAGAGAGAAATCAAACTCGATCGTGATGTCAACGTGATGATGACAATGGAAAACACAATATAAATTTTAAATAATACAGCCTTGTGGTTCATTAATGGTCAGAGGGCTAATTAATACTACGAAACTAATACTCTATTAAACTTTATGAGAAAAAAACGAGAAAAGTACAAGTAGCCAGAATGTATATAGTAGCAGTAGTAATCATGGTCAACCCTGATTAATGATTATTGTTTGTTTGCATTCATCATTGTTTTCACTCAAATAATCCTACGGGGGGAATGTCACATGTTTTAATTGTTACGTAAAGCTTACATATCTTACGTCATTGGACAGATTAATTGATAAAATAATATATTTAGTCAGTTAAATGAAGCACAAATTAATTATCTTGAGCCTACATACATGTATCATTAGCCTAAAGGATACATTCTAAATTAAGCTATCATTAGCAAAGAGGTAAGGCACTGTTTATTCGTCGTATATTATATTATTATTCCATAAATAACCCATATCATCATATGTAAGTACTTGATAACCGACAAGCTAAAGTAGTAGAATTATCATGACGAAAAGTAATTATTGAGAGGTAAATTCAACGACGAGGACAATATAGATAATGCTAAACTATAACTTTTCATACTCACATACACAATAATTAAATTCTAATCGTATTGGGTTCATAATAACTTTTCCTTCTCTTCGTTCGTGTTGGAAGAGTTCATTTTAGTGATTTATGAAAATATGCATAGATTCATGGATTGACTCTATGCTTTTTCATCCTCACCGTCAAAGGACTCTTCTTGAGACGCTACAGAATCATCTCCTGGACCGGAATTCGGTAATGAACCTCTTTTGGATAAACGGCTAGAATTTAGGCTCAACCCCGTTCCCGTTCCACGTCTAGATAAAAAAGAATAAAGACACGTTAAGCAATGTTTACATGTAAACCTTTTTTACTACTATTTACTTAATGACCACCACGCCACAACACATGAACAATTGAACCATTTACTTAAACGTTACTTTTCCTCCTCCTTTTCCACTTCTTGGGTAAGCACAAGAGACAACAAGCACAAAAGTTAGTATCAAATGATCATATTTCATAACTTTACTTATATTGTAGTACTACTATTTTATGCCACTACTGTTACGATTATTTCTTATACAGCATGTGCAAATTATTATTACCGTATTTTATTCTTGAGGGTTCCATTTTCCCTTGCGAGCGACTCGTAACTCTCGGTCAGGTCATCGAAATCTCTTTGAAGTTTACGTTTAATCGCCTTTTCCCTAGAAATTTCCTCCTCGGTCTCGTCCAATTGCCGTTTCAAGGCTTTCACACGAGCGTTAGACTTGTCAATTTGTTCCTTCATGTTGCTCGAGTTCCTCTTTTCATCTTCCATTTGAAGACTGAGCTCCTTCATCCTCTTATCTTGCCGACGAACAACCTTCTGCTGGGCTAACCTCTCCTTGGCCTCCAGTTCCAATTGCTCTTCCATTTGTTGAACTTTATTTTCAAGACTAGTTATTGTCGCTTTAGTCTTCAACTTTTGGCTCGTGTCTAACTCGGTCAATTTTTGTTTGAGCTCCTTGTTCTGCTTCTCCAGCAGCGCACGAGCATTTTCTAGTTTTTGGTTGGTAGACTTCTCTACTTGTAGCTCAGCACCAAGTTGTTCGTTTAAGAGGACGGCTTTCCTTGCTCGTTCTTGCAACATTTCGTTATTACTTTGTTCTTCCTCCAGCTCTTCTTCCAAACTCTGAATGCGAGCTGTAATGTAAAAAGAGATTTTTAGCATTAATTCAGACAAAAACTCCATATGAATAAATTTTACTAGCATTCTTCTTAACCTTACCTTCAAGACGACGTTTTTCGTCCACCAAAAGTGTTCCCCTGTTCGTGCCGTTGCTAACTTCTTCAGCCAATTCGTCCCTCTCAGCTTCTGCGGCTCGGCGTTGTCTTTCTGAAGCAGCGAGGTCTTCTTGAAGTTGGAAAATATCCGTTTCAATTCCCTTGAGGCGTTTTTCGGCATCTTTGGCGACAGCAATTGCTTCTTCTCGGCCAAGACGGGCTTCTTCGGCATCTCGTTGGAAGTCTTTGATTTGGCCTTGAATCTTTTTCAATTGCTTGAGAGCATCCTCCTTCATCTTGTTGTTGGCCTCCATCTGACTAAGAAGTTCGTTGTAATCGCTCTCAATCTTTTTGCGAGCATTGACGGCCGCCGTTCTATTTTTCCGTTCATCCTCCAACTCTGCTTCAGTGTCGCGTAGTTGCTTGAGAAGGGTTTTACGTTTCTCTTCGTTGCTTTCTTCTTTGGCTTGAATATCTCTTTCGAACTGAGTCTTCAAAGCTTGCATGTTGACTTCGAGTCTAAGTTTGGCGTCCTCCGTCAACTGCAATTCGTCCTCGAGTTCTTCGATTTGTGTCTTTTGTTCAGACAGTTGGGACTCGAGAGCACGTTTTTGTTTCTCGAGGTCGTGAACATTCTTGTCAGCGGTGCCCTGAGAATTTGCCAACTCATCGAGTTCGTTCTGTAGTTGACGCTTTAGCCTTTCCAGCTCCTCGATTTGGGCATCCTTCTCCTCCAATTCACGATTGAGGGAAAGCAATTTAGTTTCTTTTTCTCGAGCTTCGCGTTCCGCTTGATCCTTTTCTTGGGAGAATCTTTCGCTAATAATTTTCTCTTCGACGAGGATCTTGTCAAAATTCCTCTGCTTCTTTTCTAATTCGATGACTAGAAGAAACAAAAGAATACATATATTTCTCGCAAATTGTTAGAACATGTTAAATAGGTAGTTTTAATTTTAGTTAAACCTTACCTTTGCTTCGTTGTGTTTCTAAATCAATGCCAACATCTTCAAGTTCTTGTTGAAGTTTCTTTCGAGACTTTTCAAGTTTGTCACAATTGGCCATCAGTTCCTCGTTTTGACTTTTAATAAGTTCCATGTCTTTAAGTACTTTCTTTTGACTGTTTTCCAGTGTGGTTATTGTTTCTAAGTCGTCTTCTGCCTTCTTCTTCAAGTCGGCAACGGATTGACTCAGGCTGGTCATTGCTTTCTCCATATTTTTCTTGGCTTCTTCCTCTTCTTCTAATTGCTCAATTATCTGCTCCTTCTCTGATTCTAGTTGACGCATTTTTGCACTAAGGGCCAACTTTTGTCGTGTCTCTTCTTCCAAGGAACCTTGAATTTCGACCATTTGGGTTTCAATAGCGGCAGAATTTTTACCAGCTTGAGAAGCCTTGGAGTCTGCTTGTTCCAGTTGAATGAAGGCAGCTTCGAGTTCACTTGTAACTTTGGCCAGCTTCTCGGAGAGTTCAGCTCGGGCTCGTTCACTTTCAGCCAGTTTCAATTGAAGTTCCTGAATCTGACTTTCCTGAACCTTCCGTTTTCTTTCATTCTCTGTCTTGGCCCCTTGCAGATTCTTGAGCTCATTCGCCAAGTCAACATTTTCAGATTCCAAAGTACCCTTCAGCTTTTCAAGATTTACACGAGTCTTCTTCAGACCGTCCAATTGTTCCATAAGATCCTGTACCTCCTGGACATGTTTGTGTCGTAATTCAGTGACACCTTGTTCATGCGACACTGTTTCTTCCTCTAAGCTTTTCTTGAGAGCGGCCAACTCTTGTTCTCGTTTGGCTCGAAGCTCGTGCTGTGCTGCGGTAGTGTCCAAACTGTCCAACAATTCGTTCTTAAGTGCCTCCAACTCTTCGCTTAAATCTCTCTTGTTCTTTTCTGCCTTATTTCTCGCAGCCTTTTCAGCTGAAAACAAAAAAAAACAGGTATATTTTATTAACAGGATATTCTATACATGAGAATATAAAATTGTTTAATAAAAAAACGAACGTCTTACCCTCCAAGTCCTCTTGCAATTCCAAAAGTTGAGACTCTAGTTCTCGCAAGGATTTCTGAGCTGTTGCTTTGGCTGCTGACTCTTCATCAATTTTTGTCAAGAGTTGGCTTACTTCTTCGTCTTTCTTGGCCAAATTGAGTTGAAATTCTTCAACTTGAAGGCGCTTCTCGTTAATTTGCTCTTTGATGTCTTGAAGTTCCGATTCCATTTTACGTTTCAGCCGATCATTTTCTTGTCTAGCGTGTTGTTCTTTTTTAAGTCGCTCTTCAATATCAGCAATTGTTGCTTCATGCTTGGTTTTCAGCTTTGCCAAGTGTTTGCTCTTTTCTTCTTCTTCAGCCAACGCTTGGCTCAAATCATTATTTTTCTCCTCCATTATTTTCTTGTCTTTAACCAACTTGGTGTTGCTATCTTCAGAAATGACCAAGTCTTCTTCCATTTTCTTGATCTTGGCATCTCCTTGCACTTTCTCCAATTGGAGCTTTTGTCTTGCAGCTTCTTCTTCTTCTAATTGTTCCTCCAAATCCTGGATGTTCAGTTGGAGCTTTTTCTTTTCTTGATTGAGGGAAACTACGCGTTCTTCCTCCTCTTCGATACGCGCTTCCATATCGTGAAGGATTTCCTCCTGGAGAAAGTAAGAAATATATTAGTTTTTAATGGTACCTTAAACCTAAAATTAGAAAGTAGGATTTTCGTACCAGTTCTTGCTTTTTTAATGCTAACCGAGCCCGCATTTCTTCAGCTTCAGCACATAATTCTGTTTCCGCTTGTAACTGTTCAGCCAGCATTCCTTTCTCCTCTATCGCTTGGGTAAGCTTCTGTTCAATTTCGGAGGTAACTCTCACAGTAGATTCCAATTTGTTCTTTAATTGTTTGAGCTCGTCCTCTTTCTGAATTAGTTTTTCGTCCTGTTTTGTAACTTGGAGAAGTGGTTTCACTTTCGTATACAGTCGCCACCATTGCCAATTGCGCAATTTTAAGTAAGCAGAGCAATTTCTTTGGATAATTCTGATGGCATTGAGCTGTTGCACTCGACGAGAATACATTCGACGAGCGAGCATCCCACGACAAAATGCTTGGAAGTTGACAATTAAATCGGTGATTTTCAAGTCTCTTTCTTCCTCCAAGTGAGCCAACACTCCAGCACGAAGGAAGATCTTGGATTGACCAATTCTGTAAAGGTTGCTATCCAACTCCAATGCGTTAATCTGGTGAATTCATGTAAAAAAATTGGTTACAAGACTTATAAGATAGTTCACAGTTAAAAAAACACTTACCATTTTTTCGCAAGCTTTCTTGCCATCCATAAATCCTAAGGTTAAGAAAGAAAATAGAGCATAAGGATTTGGAGATAATCTTATTGAATTACTTTTCCCATATAATTTACAAACCTTTGGGAATCACATTTGGCGTGAGTAACTCGTAGCGCTGTCGGAACTCTTGGAATGGAATTCTGTTGGGGAATCCTGTAATCGTATAAAATAATAATTTCCTTTGTTGCTTTGGTTGTCAATATATTCTGAATGCAGCAAATTCATACCCTGTCTGCAAATTCGAATTCCTTCCAGGACACCATTGCACCTCAGTTGGTCCAAAACTAATGGAGCATCAATTTTTCCAGACCTGTAGTTAGATTTTAAAAAGCATTAACGCAACTATTCGATATCATGTTACAAAACTCGTACAACGCACCTCTTCTCATGATTGGGAATTATACATCTCACAAAGTTGGGGTTTGTGTTTTTCAGTGTTGCCATTAATTTTGACAATTGTTCTTTGTATAACTGTGAAACAGTTCTGAACATTCCCTTTCGTGTCCTGGCTCCGAATTGAGTGTCAGACATTGCTTGTTGTGCCTATAAAAGAATTTGCTCAATATATGTTTAAATAAATATCTTCATTATCTTTTGCCTTACCATTCCCACAATTTCAGCTGCAAATAAATAAAAAACAAACATTAAAACACGTCCGTAGGTAAAATATTATTGGCGTCTAAAACTATATATTTATTGTAAAGGCGCACTACCATCCTTCCAGATTGTAACCACAAATGGATCCAAACTGTTTTGAACGAGTTGGACAACATTTTCATTTAGAGGGTCCATGTTCTTCATCAACCACTGAGCGGCAGAATAGTCAACTTTTCCAGCATAATGTAGGACAGCAAAGTCAGCCTGTCCTCGGAAGTCGGTCTTGAAAAACTTGGTATGTTGGGTATGTGCGGACAATAATTTTTCCACAAATGACTTATCCGTAGCTTTTGGGAACCAGCACTCTTCATCAAGAAGGGCAAGAATACCCATAGGTTTTTCAATCAAGTCAATAGTTGGTTGAAGATCAAGACCAAAATCAATAAACTTCCAATCGATTCCTTCCTTTTGGTATTCTTCTTGTTCCAGAACGAACATGGTGTGGTTGAACAACTGTTGTAGCTTTTCATTTGTGTAGTTGATGCACAATTGTTCGAACGAGTTGAGCTCAAAGATTTCGAAACCAGCAATATCCAGAATACCGATAAATGAAGCCCCTTGTCTCTTCGTCCTGTCCAACGACCTGTTGATTCTGTTCACCAGCCATCTGAAGAGTCTCTCGTACGTAGCTTTTCCAATGGCTTCGACAGCGAATTCTACTTGTTCCTTAGTTTGAGCCTACAATATATAAAAATGTATTAGTCAATCAATATATAAATGCCAACCACACTCTCGTATGCATATATACATGTGACTCGTTTTTATCCTTTTAATTCATCAACTTACTTTCGTTACATGGTCCCTTCCAACCTTTATTCTTGGTTTTAAGAACGCTTTAATCATTTCAGAGACATTGAGACCCAATAAGTGTGCAACTTTTTGGGCAACGGTATTGTCAGGAAGAATAGCCTGGTCCGAATTTCTTTCTTGCTTGAATTCCATATTTCCAAAGTGAAGAACGGCCGAAATGACACGAAATATAGAAGCAAAATCATCCGGGGCTATACAAAAAATTAGATTATAGTTTTTGAGTCCAGCAATTTTGGCGTTTGGATAATATAATAAATGTTAGTTCAATACCCATGCCCATGATTTCCATTGATTGAACGGTCGCCTGAAATTCTACCACGTCATCAACACCGGGGACAGGGAGGCCTCCATTGGTAAGGAATGTGTAGTTGCCGGCTGGCTCTATTACGAACTCCTCTATAAATCACAAAATTACAAACAAGCCATTAATAAACATCACTTGACAATAGTTTTAATTACGCAGCATGAAAAATACGATTTGCAGACTAGATGGATGTCTGCAAATTAGCTTGACTGCTTCTTACTTCTTTGAGCATCAGTTGCACCGGCCAGTAGTTGGTAGAATATGTGGAAACTTCTCTCATCCTTTGCTTGTCTTATTGCTCTAGATTTCTCAAGAAGGTACGTTTCGATATTGGCTGAAACGAAACAAGAAACAATGATTATTTGGTCGAAGAAAAAAGAGAGAATCATTTCTCGGGGTTATTGACCTTCTCCCGAATTGCATGAGATTTTCCTACTGTTCAGCCATTATTATTAGTAGTGATATTTGATTTTGGAATGAATAAAATTTCTACATTTGTTGAGCGATAAGTCTAAGTTAAATTGTTAATTTTAATTGTTAATTTAAATTAAAATAGTGTCATATTAAATGTAACATTAAGTTACATTTGCAAACATGGAACCACCACCAAATAAAGTGAAGATCACAAAAACATTTTTGATTGAAAGAGGGACTAAACCCATTGTGAAATTCCTGGGAGAAGATGAAGATGGAAATCTGGTGGAACTGACAGGTAAAACAATAAAAATTACAAAAAACAGACAATTGACAATGTCAATTACTCTGTGCAGAAGACGTGGTCAGCCCAGATGGTGTTATGACTGCCGTGACACGACCTACTACTACTCGTGGATTTGCTATAAATCCATACAGGTGCGTGAGCGTGACACTTACTCAGTTGTGAAATGCATGAGTGAAATACAAATAAAACTTGTTAATTTATATACTGTTTGTGGATTATAAATATAGACCCAAAATTGATTGGACTCCTCCAAGGCAAGGATCTCTGAATGCAGCTATCTGGAATGATCTAAACCTGTTTTTGGGTGATACTTTCACTGGACATGAAAGTGACTTGAAGACTGCACTGCCAGAGAAAGAAATCACTCGGACAGTCACTCTCAATGCTGTCTCGTATGTGATTTATATGAAGACTGGAAGTATCCGATGGAAAGATCAAAGAGGAAGGTGGCAAAGAATGTGTAATGAAGACAGATGTACCAAAAAGAGTTACAACACGGATGGAAAATGTGACGAACATTATATGCGGTGGAATTATATGCGGGTATGTAAAGTTTGTAGTGATGTCTTTGACGAAATAGTAGTAGTATTAAATTTGTTATTTTTTAACATGTTGCACTATTTCACAGGTGGCAGCAGTGTCCGATACAATGTATGGGGTCAGCATTGGAAAGACTTTTCAAAATTCAAAATCCCCTAAAACATGCATCAGTCACTATCACCCCCACGATGAAGATGGAACACCCGTGTTTCAAAATTTGGCTGGTTCTGCAGAGGAAACCGACATGATGGAACGAGTTGGACAAATGGCGACAGCAGTGTGTGAGATGCTCGGAGGACAAATGGATGGACGACGCATCAAGTATGGTCTCATGAGAATAGAAGCTTCATCAAATTGGACCTCTGAGTATGTTCAACGAATGAAGACAGTTGTAGAGTGGATGTCAGGACAGAAATTAGTTTTCGATGTAGATGCAGAATTTGATGTTGAGAGTATTAATTTGAAGCCGTTGTATGATCGAATTAAGCCCAAATTGTCATTGTTTAAGTCATAGTCAAATATGTGTTAAATAATAGTTAAATAGTTCTTACCTCCCGCAATGTAGCCAATAGTGTCAAAGTTTATCCGTATGAATTTACCCTGCAAGATACAAACAAGACAAATAAATTTATATTAATGGACCTTTAATAATGGTTCTCATGATACGAAGTCGGTGTCCATTACACTCTGCTATATATTATTTAATACATACTACAGTGGGGAGTCATTCTTCGCAGCAAGTAAGGAAAGTAATATGATGGCCAAAATGTGAAGGAAGAAATGAATGACATATTTCGACTCGCCCAACTGTTTAAGGCCTCGAATTATTTCAATTAAAATCGTACAATAAAATAAACGATCGAAAATGTGTGGGGGTTGTGTAGTCTCGTTCTCTCAGAGAATAAAAGAAGGGTACGTTACTTACAAATCTGGAAGAATTGTCATTTTTTACAGTCTTGGCATTTCCTGAAATGAGAGATAAAATTGAAAATATCATATATTCATATATACATTATAAGATAGTTGAAAACTCACCAAACGCCTCCAGAATTGGATTTGCTTGAAGAAGTTGTTGCTCTAGTTCTCCCTGTAGCGTCACAAAATACACTTCAATTAGGATAATATCTTTTTAATCGAATAAACCCATTGTCTCAATTGCAGCAATTGAATCACGCATGGAAGTGTTATTATTATTGAATTAAACCACATCATAATCCCAACATAACATCATTTCATTTAAATATTGTGGAAGAGCATGAATAAGATTAAGAAATAAGAAAATGTCTCCAGTAGTTGAGACATCTTAATATTTGCAAATAAATACAAAAGCAGCAAAATCATAAAAAATATAAATAAATAAATGGTAAAGTTTCCATAATTTTGTGCTACTATAAAAGATCATTAAATATTTAAAATAGAACCGTAGTGCGCAAGTGCAGTAAATGTATAATTGGCAATTTAGAACGTGTGTTGCAAAAACTTACTATATTGAAAGTGGGCACCACCTACGTACGTGAAAGGAAATGCCAATACCGATACCATTCAGATACCAAAGCGAAATTTGCGAAATAATCCAACAGCAAATCATCGAAAGTGCAGCGAGCGTGTGTGGATCAGATTCCGAGTGACAGGAAGAAATCCATGCAATAAGAGTCAATAATAATAATAATTTAAAATCAATTTCAATCAAAACCGTAGCCAAACCACGTTCAACAAATACCCACTCCACTCACGGGTCACGTCTCACACACATTTACAAAATAAATTGAACAAACTCGTACTAAATCTCATCGAAGCAACAGAATGACTTATAAAAAAAAACTAAAATACTCTACCACTAAAATCTACTTAATATTTTCAAAATCATTCAAAAGACTGCTTTTCAACTCTAATGATAGTGCATAGTAATGCCAAGTTATTTAAAATCAGCACTCCAGCAACTGCATTAATTTGTAGGGCAAAAGTGAAATAAGTTTGATAATAAATAGCTCAGTCTCATCAGCTCATTACGCATACCAAATTACCAAAACCAGCAATTGTTTTTAAAAATGTAAAAAAAGAAAGTATATAAAAAAGTGAAATGGAAATTTTGAAATCAGAGCATCAAGTTGGAATATTATTAAATCATTGCATCATTTATTGTAACATTTCGAACCGTGGAATGATGAATCCCAGTTCCGCGTGGTTTACTGGCAGCTACGTAGGCCAAGTATTGGATAACTTTCTTTGTGTTTTCCGTTTTACCCGCACCAGATTCTCCAGTACATAAAATGGACTGGTCTTCTCGCTCTGAAATTCATTAAACAAAATATTAATATTTAAGACATCGTCAAATCGAATCAAGTTATTTTTTTATGTCTGCTGATGAACTTTGTAGAAACGTGTGTATGCATTGACCAAATGTATCTCTATCTATCTATAATCTATACTTCTCTACTACCTGCATTGTTAAACCGTCTCACGTATCTCTTTTTTATAATCAGGTTTGACAAAAGCGTATAATCTTAAATATAATATATATCTATTTATTTATTTTACAAAGCAAGCAGCAGAATCTATTGACAATTCGTAAACCAGGGGGTCCCTCATGTCACTTAATTGCTGGTTGCAGTGACACATTCAAAACTTTGGCATCGGTTCGTCCGTCCATCCATCCATCCATCGATGTGACGTTGTCTTGTAAAATATTATCTACCCGTCTAAAACATTTTTTGCATGTGGTGGACATTTGCACGCTTCTTTGGTATTTTACATGTACTGCATTGACATGGGGTTTGGAAACCTCTATTAAAATCGCAAATCATCTCATTAAATTGCAGAAGGGGCACACACACAGCCAAGCCAAGCCAGAGTCGGGACACAAACAAGACGGAATTTTAAGTAGATATAGGGGGAATACAATAGGGAGATGTTACACGTACATAATAATGCTATTACTATTATCGTTTCGTCCCATCGTCATTCCATTGTCGATTGAGCGATTGTTGATTGTCCATTATATTATGCACCTAAATGAGAAAGGCGACAATAGATGTCTTCTTGAGACTGGCTGGGCGACTCAGCCATCCAATATTTTATATACACAAGTGTTATGAATACCAATACGTCCGACCAACCAACCACTTTATGGTCGTGCGTTGAAACTACAATAATTAAGGCACTGGATGCACGGCAGTAATCGAATCGAAGGTCCTCATCAACTTTTGACACATAAAGCAAATTATAATTGAATTTTTATTTAATCGGCCGTATGACAATGTATGCATGTAGAATAAATGAACGGATATTGAAACAATTCAGGGAAACTTTACCCAATATTGCAGCACAATAATAGTATTTTAATGCCACAACAAGGACCGACAGAGAACAGAAAGTTGTACAGAGAAGAAAAAAAAACTGCGAATTCAAACAGTTATTGAATAGTTTGGTGGACCAATAAGTCAGATATGGTATCCAACAATACAATGCATCAAGCACATTCATCCGATGTCAACAAGGCATCAATGAGACAAAATCTGATATTGATCTCTGAATAATTGATCAACGGTCATCGATAACTTGCGGCGCTGCTGCTGTTGTTGGGTGAGTGAAAACTTCGAGTCCACCCAGAGACCAGAGAGCACAACACCTTGAAAGAAGGTAGTAGTAGTCATTTAGCAGAAGGAATGTAAATATGCATATAAATATTCGAGTACAATAATAATACGAATTTATAAGACGTGTACACGAATAAAATGCAATTGTTTCATCAAGCATTTCAAAATGAACGGTTAATCATCTAACCTCATATCATGCCAACTTATTCTTGTTTTAGCATAATAAAACATTCTCGCCGTAAAGAATGTCTTTGACCTGAAATGGACAAAGCCAAGCTTAGTTGAGCTGGGATCTTTGGTTGGGATGATGACGGCTGGCTGACAAAGTTTGCCATATTTGGTTTAAAGATCTTGACTAAAAGAAACATAATCAAGAGAAAGAGTGGATTGGATGGTTGGTTTGGTTAGGATGGATTGATGGCCGATTTCGAATTCAAAATTCAGATTGGAACTAGATAATAAAGACACAGGATTCAAAATACTTTTCCACTCTGACTCGAACCAATAATAACCAAAAGAAGAAGAAGTGTAGTTTAATGAGAATGAATGAGTATCAACAACCACTCTCTGCTATCAAAAGAAATTATTTGCCATGTATTTAGGGTCCGTGGATTGAAAAATTACTTCCTGCAGCATACGTCTAGATATGTATGCAGCTGAATAGCGACAGCGAGTACTGCTCAAGTAAAGTTGCGCATTAAAGCGATATATGATAACGCGTAGCTGCTGTTTGTCTTCAATTTTGATTCTTTGATAAAAGACCAAGACATTTACATCACACTAAATTTAGCAATAGACAAGGCGACCGATGCCCGTATTTGGATGCAAATAGTGGACGACGGATGTTGCGTTCGTGTACTTATTTTTTGAGACCTTTGCAAACTTGGATTAGAAACTGTGCCGTACAATAATTCTTTTTTGGCTGATCTGGCAAAGAACGAAGGAAAAATAAATCAAAGCTACTCTTTGATGCTCAATCAGTTATCATATTGCAAGCTTTACTTGGTTTCGTTTCAAATTCTTGTCTCTCATTGGACGTATTATGGATTGATCAAAGTTGGAATTGCCCACATTGCTCATCTATGTGCTACTACTACCATCGTCATCATCATAACATTGCCTTATAACGAATCAAACAAGGTGACATAACGCAATAAACGACGTTTTTTGTTTAGGTAACAATTTATCAAAAGAGGGTTCAATCCTTTTACAGGCATCTCTTTCCCTTTCCTAATCCTTCCAAATAAAAATTGTTTTCGTTTCATAAATTTTCGTCATTTATCACAAGCACGGCTACCAAGCACCGACGACACCACCGCGAACCCAGCACGTATAATAAAACAATAAGTGACATACAAAAAAGGCAACGAGACATAGAAAATTACCACGAATGCAGTTGCAGCAATAATACTCATATTTTACCTGACGGACGTTTCATATGTATGTATTTCTCTTTTGGAATGCAAGCTCATAATTTATATGTGAGACTGCCTTCTTAATGAAATCTGGCCAAATTATGTTTAATATCTCAGAACAAAATCAAATCAAACATGTGTATCAATCATCGAAAACACGGATTCGCCCTGCAGAGAGGAGGCTAATCAAATAACTGATCTGAAATAAATGGTATCCTTCAGAACTTCTTTAAGCACAAAGGAGTGATGCGGGACGTCTGAGAAGACAAGAGGTGACTCAAGGGTAAAACAGCGTGAAATTTCCATCTCCCTTAAACAGAAGAATTGCAAAATGATAATGATTTTCACACGTGACAGAGGACTGGACTTGAATCTTGAACGTAAGTGGAAAAATATGTATGTAAGTAAACACTAAGTCCACTTTAAGCATTTTTCTAAGGAATTGTCAACAAGCCCAAACCAACATCATTTTCACTACTAGGAAATTCCATTACTTTAATCAGTTGGTCGCGATAACGTTACCGAATTCATGGAAAGTAACAACACAGTGTTTGCCCCAACACTATAAGAATACCCTTGTAACAACTACCATTTGAAACTAAACTCAAGATTTGTTACGTTCATTATCTAGTACACTTCTGTTCTTGGTAGCTAATCAAGAACAAAGAAATGTAACAGGATGAAATTGCACAGGTCGTTTATGATGTGTAGCAAGAAATTTCTCTTATTAATCATTAGTCTTTGCCCACAAATTGCATCATTCATCTCACTGCTTGCCATTTTCTCCACGTGTTCCACTAATAAATACGTACTGCTACCATATAGTAATGAGCTTTCTAGCACGCATACAATCTCAGGCTAGAGACAGATCATTGAATCCGTCCACAAAATCAAGAACGATGTGAAGTAGTTCTTTTGAAGCCCAACTAGTGTAGCGAAAAAGATTTGATGTGACTAGTTCGCATTCGCATGGCTCGTGTTCGTGATGGAGAATACCAGGCCAAATTAATAAACTTCAAAATCATCTTCCTTATTCCTCCTGACTTTTGTATGTTGTTGTTATGCTAAAGTTCCTTCGTATGTGGCAGTTTAATACTTGGTTGTATCTTTCACATTAGAATTTCTTTTCATTCCTCTAGATCCAGTCCGACCACCAGAGGCAACTGAACAGACGCACTTTCGACTAATCTTATTCTGTGTAAGCAGCAGGCGTTGATCATTGATCAGCCTTTCGACCTTCGCACTTGTATTAAATCTAAAGAATGTCGTAAACGTTAATCCAGCAAAGTATGGTTTAAACATATTTAATGTACTCTGATCTTCCCCCAAACCAAGAGTATCGCCATCACAAGAATTATTTTATGTTTGATAATTTACGCCTCTTTTCATCTCCCAGTAAAAAAAGTAGGCACAACGAACGCACAAATGCCATAGTTGGGCTAATCTGATCATTTACCATACAAGGAGAGATACGATACCTTGTCTCGGACTTAATAAGCCGTGGAACGATATATCTATGTAAGCAGTTGCAAAAAACTATGTGTGCAAGATGAGTATTATTATTTGATGTGTAGCAAGTTTTTAAAAGGTTGAGATCATTGTCCACAAGGCTGAAAATGTGTTCAACCATGTCTATTGTACACACACGCAGGCAATATGTACACGACCATCAAGTGAGTGAAATCAAATCTAGGTTTTGTAATAATGATGAGATGAGGGCATACTTGAGAAAAAATGTACATGGCGCATGCATGCCACAGAAATCGAGTCGTCTGTTTTAAATATAATATGTCCTTCTTAAGAAGAAGTATGCAGTTAGTTAACAGCAGTAGCAGCCCACCAAGAAGACTCGATTCGATTAACGAAATAACAATGGTATTTTAACAAGTAAAAATGCTATCAATGCAAAACACTCGCACCCATCTCAGAAGAGCCAGTGGTAGGGCTGGCCAACAAAATGAAAACATTGCCTTATATACACATTACTTTGTCAGCTAGTTGCTGTTAAAGTGACGCAATTTAAAATACCACAGCCACAGGATGTTTAGAATGATGATATCATCTGCGGGTCATGTAGTCAGTCACACAACTATGTAAAAGTATTAACTGTGCACGTATGTATAACTGCATTATCAACTCGACCAGCAAGCATTCCTAGGCATCCCGAGCCATTAATGTTCATTGTGCTATTGTGTCGTTTACATAATCGTTCAATTCAATTTTACCAATCGAATAATAATTAATTTAATTTTCTTCTCGTAAAACTTGTCGCGTGCACTACATCGTACTTGCTTAAGAAGAACATGCGCATGTGGTGTGAATGTGATCAATTGGCTGGTGTCCTATGACATACAATGCAATAATCATATGGGAGGCTAGCAAACAAGCATGTTATCAGAATTTTTACCATCTTCCAAGAACTAATAATGAAAGAATAGCTACAAAGTTCAAAGGTTGAGATGCAATTGCAATTCATTTCATTTCGAGTGACATATGTGACTTGGATCGACACATTTCCTTCCTCTTGATGCACAAATCACGACTTTATTTTTATAAAAGTTTTTTTTCTAAACCCTCAAACACCCGTTATTAATGCAGAACTCTTCTCACTATATTATTGAAAGGGTTTGATTTAGTGTACGTGTTCCATGTTGTTGTACTTAATATATGCATCTTTTGCTTTTTAAGCCAACTACTTGAATAAATTCATGCTATGATAAATCGACCTTGAATTAAATTAAAATGATGGAAGAGAAGATGGTGAATTTAATTCAAATAACTTTTTACCTTGGAGCATTGACCGGTAGGCTGAGTCAGTAATGGCAAAGACATGAGGTGGGACATCGTATCGCTTTTTCCCTTTGTACAACTCCATTATTTTCTCCGTATAAATTGGAAGACGTTTGTAGGGATTTACAACCACGCAAAATAGGCCGGAATAAGTCTGCAAATAGAAAAAAATACACGTTGAATGAATATTATAAGGGTAGAATTAAAAATCATCAATTAATTCATTTGAATAATCCATTGACCGGACGTCTCAATCTCATCATCTTTTTTGTTAAACATCTCGAAGTATTTAAATACCTGTAGAAGCAATGAACCATTCATTCATCCACCATCCATTTATGCACAAACATATTATGAGGTGAGTTTGATTTATGAATAAATTGGCAGTCGGCACGGATTTAATAAATTTGGAGAGGTGGGAAGTATGACGGATTAGATGGGGCATGAAATAGAACGGGTGGGATCATTATAAGTTTATCAGTATCCAGTACTAGATAGAGAAACCTGTAAAGAAAATCCATTCGCGAAATGATAAAAGTTCGTGATTTGGTTGGACAGCTAAAGGATTGATTCGCCTGTGATGGGCTATGGACTTTTAAATTATAGTATTTATCGTAATTAGCAAATAACCATGAGTTGGAATGATAAGTGGGTGCATCGAAAAATGTAAAAATTAAGACAATGATAACGAAGTAATATGTGAATAAGTAGTTAAGTTAGTAGATCTGTGCCATTTGGATGGAGTTGCAAAACTGGGTCTGGAATTTGCAAATTATAAATACGTGTATATTTTTATGGGCAACAAACCCTCTTCGTGCTTATGTAAGCATTCCCATTCATCAAAGTTGATCTATTTATGAGTTTATTGCATGCACCAATGATAACCCTCCCACCCAATAAATATCTAAGTCCAGGGTCTCTCTCTTATACATACTTTTTATTTTAGACCCCCGTCCATCCAAAATTTCACTCTTCTTCTCCCTTCAACCAACCCGCTCCCATTGAAAAGTGAGTTTCATGCAATTATTAATCAGTCAAATTACACTACTGATCACTATCATCATTTTCATTGTCCATCGAGCATCAAGGAGTGTATGGGCATCTTTTCGTAACTTCTTATTATTCTCATATGAAATTAGCATCAATAAATGTGCAAGCAACTCTGACGGGCAGCAGTGGGAGGGATGAATTTATACAGATACACTACTAAATTTTTTTTATAGGGTGACAAGCGGGCATTCAGCCAGTTAAACGGTCAGTGTCAATACCTCTTCGTCTATTAGGATACGTACAAGCATTTGTACTTGTTCTTTTACTCTCCTCCAACTTGACATGACCGATCAGACGAGATTTCGCTATGAATCTCGTTCGTAATAAATTCCAGATAACATCGCTAAATAGCATTAAATACATTTCATTCGCAGCTTCACACAACCGGCTAAACGACTAATAACAAGCAGATCTACATTTTTTACGTGCCCGAAAAACTAATTCAATTCATACATATGAACCTGCTGCACACGCTTATCAACTTTGCAATAAGTACTAATAACCTGCAAAACAAATAGCGGAAACTTTGCCTGAATTCTGGATGTGGTAGTTTTTGGGCGGTGATAAAAAGTTGTGGTGGGATTTCATTACAAAGTTTATTTCTAATTCTGATATGCTAATAAGGGTGTCATTTATTAATTGGTCATTACATCAGTCAGAGTACCCACAACTAGCAATGACTTGATAGTGTACACATAATTGTATCCTCACAAAGGTCAAAAAACTAAATTGACTTTATTATGCAATGCAATGAAATTGTGGGTCCTACAAATATCCGAATGGAGTTTTCTTTAAAAATAAATCACCACATCACTTATCGTACGTCAGACAACCAGCGTGTGCCATCAGCACGATTGACATCCAAGTAATGAAACCTATGTATATATGTATGTACATGGCAAGAAATAAATTGGTTTGATGTCTACTAATAATTGACTGCGTACTTGCAAACCTATGTTTATTTACATTCATACATTGCACATTACACGCATCTATTAATAAGCCAACCAACTAAACAACCTCATCTCACAAACACCCATAACGAGCTGTTATATAACTCCCCACTCTTTGAAAGACTAGCAGTAGCCAACTAATTGCAAAAACGGTTGTAATAATAATATCAATCAATGAATGAATGCAAAAAGAAGATTCGAGGCTTGCCGACGTAGATAATCTGATGTTTGAATTGTTATCCGTTCCGTTAAATTATCGCAGCCCAATTTTACATGCGGTTTTAATTAAGACTTCAAAAATTTGAGCCAAAAATTATTTCAATCCTTAAACGGAAACCAGCTATCATACATACAAAATTCTGTATAATGTTAGGTTTATAATACAACCTGCCATTAGCTCATCACCATCCGTCCACTTTGAGTCATCACTTCATCACCACCAATTATAACTCTCATTATGGCAATTTACAAACCATAATTACAGCCCATAGTCCCCACTCAAATAGTCAGCAGTATTTGCAATATCTACATATCTGTCTGTGCAAATTGAAAACTAAAAGTTAACAAACCATCCGAATGAGGAGTGATGCATATGCACACCTACATAATTTGTATTTGAACGTGATTATTTACTTATGTACATCCACACTAATAGCTTGTCTCCTATTTGATTTGACAGAAATTGGTGTGACACCGTATGTATTAGATTTTAATACCGAATATTTTAACATGTGGCTTTACAGAAAATGCGAAAATTAAGGTTTATATATGAACTCGCTGTTAATTATTCGTCATTTATAAATTTGCCATTTTATTAGCCATTACAATTTTAGGTGCAAATCTCCTGGGAATCCTGATTGGCAAGAGTTTGAATATATTATATGAATTTGCAGTTTCTCTATTTTTCAATTAGAGTGAAATTGAAACTAGAAGAAATCCTTTAACTAAAACCATCTTCTGATTATCTCCTTTCACGTGTGTAATAGTTCCTATACGTACAAAATGAGCAAGTGAGTGAATGCTTAGTCTTCTATCCAAATGTATTTGAACTGTGGAATCTGATTGTTCATTTTTTTGCTGTTTGTTCACAAAGGCTGATTTTTTTGTCCATCTCAATCTGCTGAATACTTACTCGACTTGACTTTAAGACGTCAAGTCAAAGAACACCTTAAAATGTTATCCAAATACACATTACGCACCTAACCATACTGGGCAGAGAGGAGAGAATTGGAAAGCAATAGACAGGTAGGATTGAACTGCTACATGCATCAAGTGACTGTCAGCCTGCCTGGTCGTAGAGATGTAAATGTTAATGAAAACGTCTATTCTGGAGTGGGATTTGTTGGTTGAACTCTTATGGTGGATTGAATGCGACGGGGGTAAACACACATCGAGGCAGCAAAGGTTCATCCTCATTGTTATATACTTTCTGATTCGGAGATACAAAAAGATCATCATGAGAATTCAGTGAAACCCAATACACACAACATTGATCGAGTCAGGTGAATGCGTGGTCGAGCTCATTACAAAAGAACGGCCAAAAAAGTATAGGCAACAAAACTTCTTTCAATTTCTGTCCTCTTGTACCTGCCTGCACTTGCATTATCTGCTGGACAAGAAGTAGACGCGACGCGACTACTATACAAAAAATTATCATGGACAATTCCTTTAAAATTTTAATCCGTGTCTAAACTCATCGTAAAGCAAAACACTTTTACTAACGAAGTGGAGTAAAAAGTTGAAAAGATAAGATTCCACATGTCTGGTGCACACAAGGCAATAAAATTGTGCAAATTAGCTAAACGTGTCATCATTGTCTAGGATGATTTATTTACAAACCAAAAACTAGTCTGATTTCAAGTTAGTCAGTACAGAGTGGACTAAGAAAGAAGATGGAATAATTCAGATTCCAGGCGTCTGATTGAATGATGCTTGCTTAACGATGTACAAAAAAAGTTGCAGATGCAATGCATAGTTTTAGGACATATGCCAGCTCGTTATATGCACTAAATTCGCACACATCATGCATGAAATCACGGCATAAAGCTGTTTTCCGTTGACAGCTAGCAGCTGTCGAATGCTAGTGCTGTAAAATAAGTTCGTTACAAATTATTATTCATTTTCCACATACAGCCAGCAGCACCACCAGAAAAAGTCGTTCGCAATATATTGATAACCTCGCCCAAATACATCAACCATTCCGTTTTTTAAGGACGAGCAGAAAATCTCTGTAAAACATAATGAGTACGTAATATCCGTGCTGCATTTCCAAATAATAAAACAATTCATATGTTTATGCAAAAAGTGCTTATCCTGCGAGCAGATTTGTTTTACAAAAGTGATCCCAACAATATGCATAACTGCGAATTCAGCTGTTGCTTGCTGCTAAATGAATTCTAGAATTTGAATCTGATCGGCACAAAGATTTATAGTGAGAGGAATGTTGCACAATGAAATTTGAGTGTCATGAACTGAACCAAGTGGTTATTGGAGTTTTAGAGTGGAAGAAGAAGAAGACTCATTTCTAAATCAGATTCACTTTTACCAACGGCTCTCAAGCCTCGCCTCTCTCAGGTTATAAAACGCTGAAAGTACCAAATAACTCGATTCCACTCAAGAAAGAATGTAAAGTAATATTAATCTCAGAAGACTGTGTGCTGTGTATGCATATCCTGTTGCATGCATATTGCAGTCAAGTCAGTTAATTGTCCTGTCCCGTCTCGCAAAATATTCATCTACTAACAATTTGATATGAATTTAGGTACATTTCATTTGCTCTTATTTTAAATTTTTCGCCGAAAGTGCTGCAAGTTTTTCTAATGATATGCTGACTGCAGAAACGTTTCCAAAAACCAGATGGATGTGAAAAACAACTTTGTGCAAGGCAGAGAAGAGCAAAGGCCGACCACTATCACACTTTTTTTAGCTCAAGATTTGAAATTCGCCATGCCATTTACCATATGGACCTCACCGGCTTTGTTGGTGTGGAATGTAGAATAGGAGAAGAGGTTGTTGTATGTAATGCACGTGAAATATATTTTACGACCTCTCCTACTCTCGCATAACAGCCTCCCAAACATTATATAGCTGTTGTGGTCGCACATATAACAAAACAACGCAAACACCCAACCTCAAACATCCATATCCAGCGAAAAGCATAAGAAATAGTAGTCAGTTAATACCACAAAAGCTATATTCCCTTCCTTTCTTCTTCTCGACTAGTTTGGAGGGCTGTTTTTATTGGTAGTTTACTTGTTTTTGGTTTCCTTCTCTCTGAGAAGTACAACTTCCAACTTTGGGTGGTTGTACTGCTTATTGCTGTCTTTCTCTCTGGTTACTATTTATGAAGATGGTCATACATACATTCTGTATCCTTGTTTAACCTTAACGGGGGGTTTCAGATGTGGTGTTTTTTCTTATGTAACTTGCACGCTTAAATGTTTGAGGCCAACGCATGTAGTCCACAATTATGCTCTTTTCCGCATATCATCGTTGATACCAAAATATTGTATCGTATCATATAGCTAAAATATTTCATTCATAAATACTCGATTTTCATTACGCATTTATATGTTCATAAAATTGCAACGGAAAGCCTCCCCTAAAGGAATTTGAGCATCATGCAATTCTTCCATTACTCGAGTGCTAATAATAATAACCAAATTCATAACACTTCTTCGCCATAATACTTCTTTGCAATTAAAAATCCTGTCATCCTTTGTGCAAAGAAAGGAAGGCTGGCGCCAATGAGACATAATGTCGTCGATATCTCCCCTTTTTACGTGACGTGGATAAGTAAATGTGTCTACATATGCATATTTCAAATGGACAAAACTTGGAATTTCATCCACAAGTGAATACATCAGAGGACCCACCAAGACTTAACTAAAGTCAACAATTACAATATGCACTACAATTATTTACTTGGCTTGGAACGGACCAAATTTGAATTGAATAAGATGAGCTTATTTAACCAGCCAACGAAACTACGTATATGATCTTCTATGTTTCGAAAACAAGAAACCAGGCAAGGCAATTTATTATGGCAGACCTATAAAGGTTCTGATGGAGATAATGTCCATATTTGCAAATTTGCAACCAGTTTTCTCTCTCCCTCGTCTCTCCACTACCACGCTACAATCTATTTGGTAGATCAAATGCAACAACTCAAAAGCTGAGCTAGCCAACTAAACAACTCTTCACATTCTTATCTTTCCTGTCGCATATCATATCAGTGACCAAAGCTTCATCCCGTGTCCAAATAATATGAAACTTCCATCCACCTCCGCGAAAACTGCAATCCTTTTCAATCTATGCACAATTCATCATAATGTGTACATTGCTAGCTAAACAGAATCCTCATTATGCATGTTCAATTTCATACATCATCATACTATGAGTTTTTGCATAAAGCAAAAGTCCAATCTCGGCTCAACAGGTGAGGAGGGGAGACAGGAAAGAGAAATTCATAAATAATTCATAGGAAAACTTTGACTTATAAAGGATAAACTTGTCAACAGCTCAAACTAAAGCTCTGACTTGACTCGCTTGAACGACGTACAAAACAACATTGACCAGCATACATAATCAATCGATTTATCTTTTGTGGATGGCTTATCAATAACTTATCGGTCAAAATTAGTCATCGGATGGACCGTAATAATAAAGCCTCTCCTAAAATGCGCATTTTTTGTCAACCAATGACATCAAACTTGCGGATGTAAATGAGTCCAACTCAATGACCTATCAATCTTGCTTATTTTAAAACAATGGAATGTGGGATTATGACCAACCAGCAGAACGGAAGCCGACACCAACAACACCAACGGAACATCGTCCGGGGAAATTTTCTGACGTATCTATGATCGCGCAGTACCTGCTTCGGTGAAGTGAAAAGGAACGACTCATGCTTTATAATCCTGTGTGCGAAATTGAGGTTGCCTGACTCATCCCTTGTTTGTATACACATTAATTTTGTGCATTCATCCTGCATGAATAATTATTTTTTATTCTTCAAGACATACCAACAACTAAAACTGCCACTGGGTGATGTATAATTTCTCAAGAAAAATATTCGGGTCAATAATCTCAACTTACTGAAAATATAAACATGACATAACTTGACCCATGCATAAAAAATGTGGAGGTTAAATTGTAAATAATGTAACAATTGTCTGTGTCAATTATGCTTGTTTAGAATAACAAAGGTGAAAGTGCAACATTTCATTAAGCGAAAGTATATACATTACGACATTATAATTAATTGAATAAGACTATTTACTTAAGATGATGACTCAACACGACACTTAAGAAAAATATGTGACCTTGTAATAATTATCGCCATATTATTGTCTGTCTTATCTAATGAGGGAACTTTTTGGGTACCAGTACCAGGCACAGAATCGGTTCGTATTGTCTCAAACCGCGCCAAATTTAATGCATTAAAACTTTTGCATAGCACACTATCTTCGAATTGAGTTTGAGCTTACCAACTGCCAGCATTTACTGAAATTAATGGAAGTAAAATGGTATTTTTCTTTAAATGTTTATGAAAACTTTCATTTAAAGTTTTGCATAAAATTAAATTGCTTCATATTGTACACTTTATTTTATGACTGGAGTTGGTCTAGAAGCTTTACTGTCCTCTGAAAAAATTTATAAGCCATTTGTGAAAGTGAATGGGAGTTGGAATAGTAATACTTTCACTTGCAAAAATTTCTGTTTTTGTCCATATTTTATTCATAGCTTTCTTCTAACTAAAGTTGAAGAAATGTTTCGTGATAAGATTGTCAATTGTGTTAAATTTGGCACAGTTTGAGACTAATATGAAATAATGCATGAACCCCTAAAAGGTTCCCTCGTAAGTGAGACGACTGAAATGAGTACGTAAATAAAATTAACAAAAATAAACATTTCACGAGTTGTGACTTGGAAGAAGGCGAAGCAATTATGTCCCTTGAGATTATAATATGCAATAACAACTACTGCGAAAATCATTTGCAGGTGTCAATTGCTTATGATGATGGTACGTATGCATGTATGACTTTTTTTATGACTATGAGAGACTTCCGGCCAATTTTCCCCAATTATGATGAATAATCAAATCATAATAAAAATAATTAATTTTTGTCACATACGTAAATAAGCCCAGAGTAGTATCTATCTTTCAAGTTATGGAGGACGGAAGCTTCATTAAGACAGGTGAGATCTGCCATGTCTTCAACCTTGTCGAATCTGGGCGGATTCATCTTTTGAATATCGTCCTTATTTACGACCATCCTCTTGGACGTATCGACCATCTCCACCTCGACAGATTCGCCCTTCTCCATCTGAAAAGAAATTTATCAATCATCAAAATTACCCCATTTACATTTTACACATTCCACTAAATTTTCATCATGAAAATCCACCTTAATGGAAGCCGGAACGAATCCATACGCCTCATTTGGCACCCACACCAGTCGTTTCTGCGTCCATTCTGCCTGCGATGCCGGATCATTGATGATATTCCGGTCGACAATGAGGTACTTGAAGTCAGGGTCATTTTTGTCCAATGTGTTATCATCCCCACTTGGACCACCGCCTCGCCCTCCGGCACTCATTTTCACAAAATACGACTAAAATTATCCTTAAACAAACTTTGATATGAATTATCCACAACTTGTCATTTAATCAACACCACCACCACCATAAACAAATTGGCACTTTTTTGTACAAATTTATTAAAACTGGAAGATATATGATTATTATTCTTCTAATCCAACCCGAAAAAAAACGTCAGTCAGTCACTCAATGAGGAATGAATTTTGCAGCTGATAATTTTTGTACTACACAAAAAATTCCGAACCGTCGTTCTCTGTACTTATCAAACTTGAGAAATTTGACAGTTGCAAGTAAATACGACAAAGTGTCATCAACAAAGCCGACAAACAACTAACTTAACTTTGTGTGCAGTTAAGAAGTCGTATTTGGCAGAACCTTTCTTGGGGGAAGGATGACCACGAACTAACTGATGAGTCGGTTGGTTTGTTCTTGGATGGAGTTATGCAAATTTGAACGACTAGTTTGCCCCAGTCGTGGTTAGACGGCGGTGGTGCTGCCGAGGAGAAATCGCCACCCGCAAATAAACCCGACAGATGGGATCAGCTGGTTTGGACGTAAAAAACTTATTTGTACATTATTTGTCTCATTTTTCCACCATTTTTTGTCGTCGTCACTTCATTAATATTAAATAAAGGCAAGAATTATTATTGGGTGGCTAAGAATAGACGACGTGGAGAATGACGGTAACAATAAAGTAATTGATATCTGTTCTGTGGGCTGACAGACAGCGAGGGTAGAATATCGAAGACTATTTTCTCTTTTCGTCGATCCGTCCGTTTAAAGTTTGAGTTAGGGAACAGTCTGGGCATCCTAGTGAGCGAGTTGACTTTTTCTCCTCGCCACTTACCAGTAATGTAAATGATTTTTGTCACTAAGACTTCTAATTTGCAGCTAATACAAAATGGATTGATTTCGTTTTGGTGGCAATAAATTCCCAAGTTTGTGCTTTACAATTGCCATGTTGCATAAATTCCATAATAAATCTCGGTGAAAAGTATTGGACTGAAACATGATATGAGTCCATGTTTCAGTTCAATACTTTTCTCTGAGATTTATTATGGAATTTATGCAACATGGCAATTGTAAAGCACAAACTTGGGAATTTATTGCCACCAAAACGAAATCAATCCATTTTGTATTAGCTGCAAATTAGAAGTTTTAGTCGAAATTTTTCTCCTTTTCTGGTTCGCGATGCCCCGTTTGGAGAGTGGGAACGGTCACTCTCAAAACCCAAAGCAACTTTTTACATGCAACTGCCTGCATTGTTTACATGAAAATCAGCTGCTCTCTTCGCCCCGCCCCCCCTCATTAGCAAAAAATCTCTCGGCACACAAGGAGACGCAACCGTCGTCTCTGTCTTTTAGTTATGAGATTTTTTCAACGTATATGCATTCTTAAGCCGTATCACATTTCACTCAATTTAGCTTTCTCTCCATCATTATCGACGACATGGGAGAGAAGAGACTTTGCTCTCTCGTTAAGAAATGGGATCGAATCGAGAAATGTAATCCTTCAGAGAAGAGAACAGGACAAATTAAATTGCTATTTTTATCAAATTCTAGCAAGTTGTGATTTCATTTCACTTTCTTCTATTTTTTCACTTTTGTAGCCTTCTTTTTTTCTCTTCCGCTGCTCCTGCTGGTGGTTCAAGTTTGTTTGCTTTTACTTCGTTCTTTGCTCTTCACATTCGGTAGCAATAACGATTGTAAAAACCAAGCTATCACCTACCCGGAGTATAGTGTCTTTACGTTATATTTAATTGTGCTTTGCTCGTTGGAATTAAGAAAGTGACTGAGTGAATTATACGATTATTTTATCTACTTAAACTAGATTTTATTTAAATCAATTAAACGATGGTCAACACAATTCAGAGCTCTGCAACAACACGAGTTGATTGATAACTTACTTTAATTATAAATTGATCGTGAAAATTGATCCAAAATGTCTGACTCTGACAACGACTAAAACTCGACTGTGTGGACTTTTTCCACCTTACTTACTTACTACGACTTAACAAAGAAAATCCCACCCCCGTCGTCTCCATGGCAACCACCACCACGACAGGGGGCAATTGTAGACGCGTAATCAATAAATTTCATACATAAACTTATTTTACATTTAACATCCTCCCACTTTCTTTTGTGAGAGCAAAAGAACTACCCTAAGAAAAAATCATAAATATTAAATCCAATTAAACTATACGAGTAATCTACAAATTCCACTGCGAATATCTAATTGGTTTCTTAGAGATCCTCCCTGATTTGGTCACTATCTCTTCATCGATAGTATCAACTTCCGGTTTATTCTGGACTTGCTTCTTCTTCTTGGAGTCCAGTGAGGGTCTTGAAATGGGTAAAGCGGCTGCCGTAGGGGAAGCGATTTCCAATGGATAGAGTCGTTGCAGTGGTCTCTTGAGTGTTCCTTTCGACGTCTTGACATTCGCAACTCTGCACACTCCGTCCTTCCCTGGAATAAGCTCAAAAATTCGCCCCATCGGCCAGTCAAAACGCTTCTTGTTATCAGCACCGACTAAGACAACATCTCCTACTTGAAGTTGTCGTGCTTTCTTCTCGTTAGCTTTCTGGACCAATTGACCGAGATATTCCTTCCTAAATCTTGCTTGAAGGTCTTGTTGTAGTCTCCTTGTTCTTTTGTAATGAGACTGCAACTCTCTTGATCCAATTTCCATACTTTCAGGAAAATTACACGTTAATGCTCCTCTCATGAACATTATTGGTGTCAAAGGAATGAGGTCGTCTTCATCCTCATTCACGGTTGTCAGTGGACGACTATTGATGACGGCTGCTGCGGAAGAAAGACAGGTCCTCAACTGGTCATAGGTCAACCTGGCTCGACCCAGCATCCTCTTCAAAAGATCCTTAATTGATCTGATAAGTCGCTCCCACCATCCGCCCCACCACGCTCCTGTGGGTGGGTTCAAGATCCACTGGATTCTCTTCACTTGACTTTCTTTCTCGATCTTGGTCCAATCCAGTGACTTGAAGAGGTTGACGGCTCCAACAAAATTAGTCCCATTGTCACTATAAATTGTATTGGGACGTCCACATTGTTTAATGAATCTTTCCAAAGATTCCAAAAATGCTTCCGTGCTCAAGGAGGTGATCAAGTCCACGTGTATTCCTCTGAACACTGCACACGTAAACAAAACGATCCACACTTTCGATCCATCTTTAAGGTATAGTGGTCCAGCCAGGTCAACACCTGTCGTCTGAAATGGCTCGGTCGCAGCGACCCTCTTCTCTGGTAGAGCAGCTTCTTCAACCTCGACCTTCTTTGATTCGAATCTTCTACACGTGGAACAATTATGGATGACACTTCTGATCGTCTTCCTAGCTTGCAAGATCCAATACTTCTCTCGTAACTTCCCCATGGTGAACTGAACACCAGCATGACAATAATTCCGATGTGCATCTCGAATCAATTGCAGCACCATCGGATGGGATTTTGGGAGTAATATCGGCATCTTGAACTCTTCAGAATCAATTCGATTCAGTAGTCTTGTCTTCACGTGTAAAAGTCCATCTTCCATTTTCTGAACTTTTACTCCGCCACCAGTCTGGAATTTGTCCACGAAGCTAGCCTGAATTTCTCTCAGCAGCACTATTTCAGCTTCTCTTAATTCCTGGACTGTCAGATAATTCTTCATGATCCTGTCTTCTTTTGGTACACGAGTATTCTCCACAAAACGACGCTGCCAGCCAACTACTGCAACATTCTTCACGTAGGTAGAGAATCTCGGATCTGGAATTATCTCGACGGCGGTAGTACCAGCCAAGTCAACACTGCTGGATTTCTTCATTTCTTGGTTAATTTCCTCCTCGTCCATAACTTCATCTGAGTGAGGCCAAGTTTCTTCTGATTCTTTGAGCCAATCAGGCCCCATCCACCATCCTGACTGTAGCAATTCTCTGGCATTGCATCCTCGTGATGGTAGGTCAGCAGGGTTGAGAAGACCCGGAACATGTCTCCATTTATTAGAATCCGTATACGTGCAAATTTCTCGTACCCTGTTTCCAACAAAAGTCCCCCAATTGTCGTTACCTCGAATCCACGCCAGCACGGTGGTTGAGTCGCTCCAATATGTAGTGGGGATGGTCTCATAATTGAGTGCACTCTTGACAGATTCACAAAGTCGCACCCCAATTAACGCAGCCATTAACTCGAGTCTTGGAATTGTTGGTTTCTTCAAAGGAGCCACCCTTGCCTTTGCTTGAAGGAGGCTTATTTCCACTTGATCCCCAACTTCGCTGCGAAGAAACACGACAGCAGCATATGCATCTTGACTCGCATCACAAAACACATGCATCTGCAATACACGTGTACTTTCTAATTTCATAAACCGTGGGAGGTGAATTGATTTTAGGTGAGGTAGCTCCTCGCACCATTTCTTGAATTCCTTCGCCTCCTCCATAGGTAATGGTTCGTCCCATCCGGTCTTCCTCTTCCACGCCTTCTGTAACAACATCTTCGGCTTTATTAAGGCTGGACAACTGAAACCGATGGGATCGTACACTTTATGAACCATGGACAGCACGCTCCTCTTGGTCAACTTATCCGGGAGATTGTCCATCTTTATGTCACATGACAGCGTATCTTCATACTTGTCCCAAATTAGACCAAGTACCATTGTTGTAGGGAGTATTCTTGACTCCTGTGGAGTGTCAGTGTTGCCGTCTCCCAATCCGCACCCACTCATGGCAGGCGAGCCGACTCCGGGAACCCCCACAACACTACATTCCCACTGTCTCAACTCCATCTTCGCTTCTTCCATAATCTTGGTTGAAGTCACTTTGAATGTTTCATACTCGTCCACGCTGTCGACTGACGTGACACAATTGTCCACGTATAGTGCTCCCATCAGTTTCAGGGCTTCTTCTTGTCGTCCATCCACAATTGATGATAGATGCATGTCGACGACTGCTGCAAGCAAGAAGGGTGAACAGTTAACACCAAACACAACTCGACAGTGACGGTAAATTTTAATTTTCTTTCCGGCAGGGTCCTCCCACCACAGGAATCTCAAATAATCCCTGTCGGATTCCTGTACGTCTATCATTTGAAACGCCTTCCTAACATCAGAGACGACCCCAATCTTCTTCTCCCGAAATCTGAGTAAAACTGACGGGATGAGTTCCATTAGATTAGGTCCTTTGTGAAGACAATCATTCAATGATGGATATCTTTTTGTCTTGCAAGAGGCATCAAATACAGGTCGCACCGGGGTCGTCACACTTTCCTTGAACACGGGATGGTGGGGCAAGTAGTGGCAGTTTAAGTCATCCAAATGATACACGTTTACTTCCTCCACTATTCCCTCTTCCTTCCACGATTTGAAAATGTTCCCGTATACGTCAAACTTTCCTGTACTTAGTAATCTCCTTGTTGTTGACTGGAGTCTATTCTCTGCCACCATCCTATTGTTGGGAATATTCTCTTCACCAATCCATGGTAAGCCAACCGAATAACGTCCATCAGCTTGACGAGATACTGTCTCTGCAAAGTGCTTCTTCGCTATTAATTCTTGATCCAACTTCGACTTCACCTCGATTGGATCCTTAATGCCGAGTGCTTCCAATGTCCACATTTCCTGCACGTTTTCTTCAGTCGTGAACATTGAGATCGATTCATTCAGCACACTATTGAACTTTGGAACTGGACCGCTCAGACTCCATCCAAAAACTGATTCACACGCGACGAGCCCACATCGTAACTTGATCATTCTTCCTGTCATGATGCTTCCCCACAGGTCGCTTCCTATTAGAATTTGGATGTCTGGTTCGGCGACTTGATGACGAGAATAGTCCGAGAGCAAGATCCCCCTGGCTTTCAACTCTTGAATCCATGGACCGTTTTGAACTCTGGGCACTATACCTCCAATAATTGGCTTCTCTCTCAAAACCACTTTGACTTGATTTCTTCCGTACAGACTTCTGAGCAAAATGTGATGCTTATAAACTTGCCCAACATCAGTAACGGAACCATCGAACAGCACATTTCTGGAGAATTCTGATCCCATTGGCTTACTTCTGATGGCTTTTGCAGTGCTGTAGGTTATGTAGCTTCTTTGACTTCCTTCGTCAAAAAGCAGCCTGACAACACGATCTTCTTTCTTTTCTTGACAGCCGACTTTCACTAGCACTGTCTTCAACAAAACATCACTCTGGCATTGGATGTTTGTTTGAGATGCATCGGTGGAAATAAATGTGTACGAGTTGTCCTGTTGATCATCCTTCTCGACTTGAGAACACATTACTTCATGATGATTACTCTTGCACACACGACATGACACCGACGCTTTACACTTCTTCGCAATATGGCCCCTTCCTAGGCAGATGAAGCATCCCTTATTTTCTTTAACTAGGATCTTCTTCTCCTCGAGTGGCATCTTCTGCGCTTTGAAACACTTCTGGCTTTTGTGGTTAGATTTTCCACAAAAAACACACTGTTCAACTTGTTGACCTGAATAGAGACCGGCAGCAGTGGGGAATTCTTCATTCTTCTCCAATTGACCCTTCTTCTTGTTCTTTTCCTTTCCCTTGATGGCTGCATCGAAACCGGATCGCACCAGCTTTCTATTCTCCTCGCCCTCCACTTCTTCTCGAAGAAACTCCATTAGAAAATCCAATTCATTTTTCTTCGGGTTAAGCTGTGACCCATCTTGTTTGCGAAGAGGACTTCTTTGCCAAACGAGTAGGATTTCTTCTGGGAGGCAGGATTCCACCATAGGAAACAGGAACTGGGTCGACTGCTCCGCCTTAATTCCTAAAGACTCCAATGCCCTTAATTGAGTCTCAATGTCATCATAAAGTTTGGAGAGCACGACTACTTCCTTTGATTTTGCGGTTGTGATAATCAGCCGAAGTAGTTCTCTCACATACACCTGCTGAAGGAACTTCTCTTTCCCAAATCTTTCCTTCAAAGCGATGACGGCCTTTGGGTAGTTTTCTGTCGTCATTGGGAAGCTTTCGACCAGTCCACGTGCCCTTGACCCAGATACCGTACTCTGTAGTAGGTACTGGAATTTGTCACTTGCATGTAGTTCATCATCTTCGTCGATCTTCCTAAACTGCGACCACCATCCCAGCCATTCCTTTGTATCACCGCTGAATTTCTGAAGTTGAATCTTGGGAAGTTTAAAAGTCCTATTTCTTCTTACACGTTCACCGTTCGCTGTGGTATAACTGCTGGCAGGACTTGGGCTTAGTGGACGGATTTCTGCATCAAGAACCTTTTCAATTTTCAAAATAGCTGCACTGATTTTGTCTGAATATTCTTCATTCGCTGCACTTTCTTCCGTATAAGCCTCCGCCGTACAGTTATCATCCAACATCTGGGTGAGCACTTTTTCATCATGTTCTCTGATCGTCGTCTGCAGAGATTGCAATTTTCTGAGCCTGATGGTAAGTTCCATTGTATCCTTCGGATCCTTCGCCAACTCAGCAACTGCTCCATCAATTGTCTTTGTAATCGAAGCTCGAACAGGAGTCCTCGCCTTCTTCAGTCGATCCATGTTGATATCTCGAAGTCAACAAACAAAAACAATTAGAACAGTACACGTTAATCAACTCAATCAGCAACAACGCCGACCTCTATGGCTCCCGAACGCTCAGGATGGGGCCCTCAAAAGAGGCAAGACAGTAATTGAGTAATAGACGAATAAAGTTGAAGTTCCTCTCGGGTCGGACACGCCGATTTCAATCTGGTCGGTCACTCCTTCCTCACGGACTACTTCACAGCAACAATAAAAACTTGAAAGGTATCACCTGAACAGCCCCCGAATACTCAGGGTCGGGTCCTCAATGAGGCAAGGCTTGATGTGAATCCTCTCCTTTGAATCTGCTCCTCGTCCAGACAGCAACAATAGCACAGGATTTCCACGGAACACTTTTTGCACGTACACTAATTCAATCTGCTCCTCGTCCAGACAGCAACAATCGCACAGGATTTTCACGGAACAGTCTTTTGCACGTACAACTAATTCACTCAAAAGATCACAACTCACTGACCAACTATAACTAGTCCACTTTCAACTAAAACTGACCCAACGAGCAATCACGTCGAGGTCACCACTAATTTAAAAACCAAGCTATCACCTACCCGGAGTATAGTGTCTTTACGTTATATTTAATTGTGCTTTGCTCGTTGGAATTAAGAAAGTGACTGAGTGAATTATACGATTATTTTATCTACTTAAACTAGATTTTATTTAAATCAATTAAACGATGGTCAACACAATTCAGAGCTCTGCAACAACACGAGTTGATTGATGACTTACTTTAATTATAAATTGATCGTGCAACAAAAAAGAACTAACAATTCTAAACTTGATTGCCTGCCACGACGACTAAAATCCAAAATGTCTGACTCTGACAACGACTAAAACTCGACTGTGTGGACTTTTTCCACCTTACTTACTTACTACGACTTAACAAAGAGAGACGCGCACCCAAAAATCCCACCCCCGTCGTCTCCATGGCAACCACCACCACGACAGGGGGCAATTGTAGACGCGTAATCAATAAATTTCATACATAAACTTATTTTACATTTAACAACGATAATGGATTGGACCCCCGATTTTAAACCTGGGGCATTGGGGAAAATGGACGAAATAATATAGTCCATAGTACATGTTTCGTTTGAGATTACGTCCATCCGTCCAAATCAAAGTGATCCTTTATTAGAAAAGAGCCGATAAATCAGCACATGTTTCCTACATACTTATGCCGACGAAGCACATCAACTAACTACTACTGAAATTGCATCGTTATGTCGTGAGAGACGTACTAAATTACAAGTAAACTAATTTATTAGAAAGGACACGAATAGATATCTACCCATCCATATCCATCCTCCTCTCGTCTGCACCTTGTTAGTCGGGATGAGGCGAAGAAACGTGATCGCTGCCATTCCATAATTACTGCTTGGTTGGTCAGCATTGTACGTAGAGGAATTTATGGAGATCAGTATTTTATACAGTAGTTCCTGGCTGTAGGGTTCGTTAACTAAAATAGTTTCTAAATTAGTACTTTATGAGTTCCAGTTCCATCCAGCTAGTTGTTTTGCTGGATGGAAATGGAATTGAGGTGGAGAATTGATTTTGCTTGGTGGGCCTTGAACGCGGACAACGCTGGCTGACGACGACGACGAGGGAAATTGATTACGCTGAAATTGAAAGGATATTACACATTAAGTTTTAACCTGATCTGCAATTATGGCTGGATATTCTGTATAGCAGGCAATATGTCTCCCATTATCTATGTATCTATACAACTTCACTTCTCCACCGCCTCGCCTATGGCTTTAGTAAAAGTTTCATTTTGCTGGGTATTAAACCAGAGCATAAAGTTGGAAAAGGCCATATGGCAGGAGGGGATGGGAGACGGTCACGAAACGTGTACGTATGTATTTTCCTTTATGCATGAAGGCTTCCCTCTCTGCTGATTGGTTTGCGAAATATCCGGCTGGATGCAAGTTGTTGCCAATTCTGATTTGCTTGTTAACAAATGAGATTTCACAGGAATATGATGATGATTACACGATGTCATGATTGCAAATTCTATTTATTTTCTGAACCCAATTCCATTCGACTTTTAGTCCTCCCTGGTCAAATTCATCTTGGTTTTCTATCATCACATGCATCGCAATGGCCAAACCAAAGTATTAATTATTACTTGATGTGCTCAGCCTCAATCAAAGTGATGATTTTGCCCTTCAGCAAAATTCACCAAATGGAGCAAATAATTCCAGAAATTGGAGCAGGTTCAGTTTGAGGAATTTTTATTTGATGAATATTAGGATTACATAACTTGTTTACTGTTTACATCACGTATCTACTAATTCATTTATGTAGTCGCTCGACTCGAAAATTATATATGAATTGAACTTTCGAATTCTAAAGACCATCGACACGATGGATGGAACATGAAAATAATCTATAATGGGTGAAAGTTGATAATGCTATCTCACATTCCCAGCAGTCGGCAGGAATGTAATAAGGGTGCTGATGATTTTGTTATCCTAATATCCGGTGTTCCGATCAAAAATCAATTCTACAAAGCTTCATCAATCTCTCCTTCTTCCATAATATTCCACTCATCCACCTACCCAGCCACGAAGAGGACGAGGACGAGTAGAGAGGATCTATTTATAGTATAGAAAAAAAAGTTTGCAGGTAGCAAGCAATCTCAATCTCCAGGAGCAGTGAAAGTGGAAAGAAATGTATGAAAGACCTTGCTCAAAATCGGTAACTTGAGCATCCCAGGAACGATCCAAGGCGTCATTCGAAGGTCATTTTCTTCCTCTTCTTTGCTACAGAGACCCGGTAACCAGATCGAGGCTGCGATAAAATTGATTTTACTTGGATGAATGCTCCTCTCACCAGGCGATTAAGTATTGTGGTGGGGAAAAAAGAGGTAAATTTTAATACAAATTTCTACCAATCGCATCCTTAATTCGATTTTGTATCTTTTTTCATCCATGTCAGCAATACTTGGATGATGGATCTATCCATCTCACTTTCTCAAGGAGCGGAACATCATCACGGATTGCCTAATGATGAAGGGAGGAAGGTATTATTTGGAGGTACATCTACTTGTCCGGCTGCTGGTGTAACTTCCTTATTTTGTTCTGGAATAATAAAATACTCTCGCCCTGGCTGCGTTGGATGATGACGACCCGTTTGCGAAAAGAGAGATCTCCTTTCGACGTCGTCAATGTGGAGGAAACAACCCAATTTGAAGTCACATCACGATGAGACATCATGCACCTTCGTCCAAGTCCAACATCATTGATCGTCACCCACGACCTCCATTCAGTCCTCGCCACCACCACCGCCACGACCAAAACTATAACAGCCATCCATGCATTTCTTTCTTTCTTTTCTTCTTTTTTCCATCTGAGTATGGGTGAAAGCGTACGTACAACTGAGTGGTTGGTTGGTAGGAATGTGGAGAAAGTGGGATTGTGTGATGCTGAAAGTGGGCTGACAGAAGGGAAGACAAGGAAGATTTATGAAGGGGATGTGGACTGAAATGGAACAAAAACAAGAGTGCCTTGTACCAGCAGCAGCAGTACCACGGACGTAGATAGATCATCGCCATCCGTTCCTTCCTCCACGTCCTTCGCATACTGCAATTTCCATCCGATATGAATGGATGGAAGGATCTCACGGACCAACAAGCCGCGTCGTATTTTTCGAATAATTCTATAAACAATAAGCTTCTTTTACACATTTTAGAAATTACTTACGAAAGACGACGAAGATGAAAATAATGCTAGTTGAAACAGATCCAGAAATTAATCATGTTTCATTCCATCCCAGCAGTTTTCTAGGTTTTATTAGAATCTCGCTTTCTCTAGGTCGTGGTGGTGGTGGTGAATTTCGTGTTTTCAAGATTCACCAGAGCGGAAAAGCACCAGTCATTTATACATCTCTGACATTCAGCACAATGGAATCAAGCTAAAGTTTGAGAAAAATTTAATTAAGGAAATTCACTAAGTTCCAATTCCTTTCAGACTTGAGAACAGAGAAGAGAAGAAACAGCATGTCATTCATGATTAGGAAATAAATTGTGTAATTTATAAATCCATACTTATTCCCCGGCATGGGAAAACCGTCCCAAATTGCTGTTCCCAATTTAACCCGTGCATTACCAAAGTGAAAGCGCAGGTAGGTATTTTGAACCACATGCCATTTATACTCCACGTTACGCCATTACACATTCTACTCCCAATCATTACGCTGAGTAATTGATTCTAATCGTGCTACAAAATGTCTCCCATTTTTGTACACATAACACATCCATCCGATCAAGAAAGTAAAAAAAAACATGGCATTTATTGAAGCCAGGCAGGTATAAACTTTCACATTTTGCTCACTCAGCAGATACATGGCTTGATGGATCCACGTGAAAGTAATGGCCCACCACCACCAGCACCGCATGCATGCATACATACATTCATAGATAAGGTATGCCCAATGTGTGTAAATATAGACCTGCCACCATGTAGTTTCGCCCTACCTACTGCTGAGTGACTGAGTGGAAACACGGAACAGGGACGCGAAAAGAAGAAAGCGATGCGGTGTGGGAGAAAGGTTGCAGTGCATATTATGAGATTCGGTGAAGTCTGGACTTGTGTAGTTTCTAGGCGGCGGAGGAATGTGTATACAAAGTTGCCCTTGAGAAGAGGACAAGTGAGTGGTGATGGCGTTTGTTTCTGACGAAGAAAGTTGTACGTACGTAGGCGGGTATATCGGGCAGAGTCGTCGGAACGGCCCGTAACGTTGTTTTTCTTCCTTGGTGCTTCTGGTGGAGGAGAGAGCTCAGCAGCAGCAGCAGTGGAAGCAGTGGGGAAGGGAAAGTAGGGGATGAGAGACAGAATTGGGACAAGAAAGCCGGGACGGGCATGAGGAAGGAGATCGATTCTGCTCTCCCGAATTTCTGTCTCATCCTTGACCTAAAAATAAGGGAACATGAGGAAGCGCAAAGTAAAATGAAGGTCCCTTCC